TAGTTGGTGTGTGTGTTTGTGTGTATAACTCATTAAAATTATATAGAATATGTCGAAGTGAATAGATTTAAATAAAAAATACTATAAATTTGATTTAAATAAATTCTAATTATATATTTATATATAACCAAATAAAATTGTGAATTTTTTTAAATAATTAATAATTTTTTTGAAAAAAATTCAAGTCAAATTATTTTTTTAACCGATTATTATTCTTTTTAAAAAACGAATTCAAATTATTTAAAATACACTTTTAGCTTTCTCTTTCGTTAGAATTTATATAAGCAACATCACCATTTTCATATAAAAATTATTAATCGTATAAATTATAATAATATATCTTCAAAAATAAAACAATCATGTTTCAAAATTTTATTTCAAAATTTATATATATATAAAAAACAAATTTATTAACAAATTAAAAAAAGAGACAAACTAAATCTCAATAGCCCAACTCTTTAAAAAAAAGAAAGAGAGATGTCAGTCAAGGAAAAAAAATTAAAAAAGCTACACCAACAAGAATATGAAAGATGATATATCAATGAGACTATGAAGGATCAGTTTAGCAGCTTAAATCTTTAAGGGGAAAAAAAAAAAAAGACAAGGGAAAAAAGGGCAGGGGGTGTGTTAAGAAAGAGAAAAGAAAAGAAAAAAAAAAAAAACAGGCAAGGCCGGTAAAAGAGAGAGGGAGACTGTAGCATGAACAGTCTCACCCCCGTTTGGTTTAGTTTTTAAGGTAATATTTAGTTCTTCTAGGCATCAATCTAAGTTTTCGAAGAATGGGATTGATGATGGGGACATCTCTTGCATCTCCACCAGAACACCACCTAATCCTCTTCATGTAAAATAATTTCAGCCCATCCCTGAAACCATCATTCCCGGGATCAGAAATACTACAGGGGAAAAACATGGTGATCTTTTGTTTTTTAGTACAGGGCTAGGGTTAGAATATTTGAGGAAGATTTTTTTTCTGGGTTTATTTATTTGCAAATCCGTGTGCTGATTCATTGAGATTTGAAATTATTTAAATTCTTGTCCAACTTTCTCCTGACATGCTGCGGTTCTCATGCAAGTCTTTTTGCTACGAGTTTAACCTTTTTAATGTGCAAATATATATAATTTTTACATTAATGGAAATTAAATATGTTATTTTTTGAGTTACATCAATGACAAATTATATTTAGTCTTTATTCACTAGTAACCTTTTAAGTCAAATTAGTTCAAATTTTATATTATTAAAAGATAATTATGACTAATGATATATGAATAATTAAAATTAAACTTAAGTATTGGTTAAATTAAAAATAATCTTTTTACCGATTAACTATGATCCTTGGTGGTTGGCTTCTCCAGTGTTTTGCAATTCATATTATTCATTTTCATTGTTCGGCAACCAAAATGTCTGTTAAAATTATGATTTTGTTAAAAAGAGTGTTCCTTCTTTGAGGGGGAAAAAAGAGAAAACATATTGTTTCTTATATTATAAATTAAAGAATATGAACTATAGGGTTGGTTTAAAGCATGGTTAAATGCCACAAAAACTCATGTTTGATCCTTTTCATGCTATAATCATGAGCAATATGGAAGAAGAAGAAGAAGCAGCAGCAGCAAATATGGAATAAAAACTACATCTATCCGCCGCAAAAATAAATGAGGGTGCTAAGGATCTTGCAGCAAATCTTATGATAGTTACGTATAAAAAAAGAACTCGGGTCAGACCAGCAACATAATTAAATTCATGAGCTACATGTGTTCATCGTGTAATTAAATTTGAGGCTGCGGTAATGATATTCTAGTGCCCTTTCAAAATCGTTGGATTATATTAAAAAAATATTTATTATATATTTATCTAGTATATTTAGAAAAATTTAATAAATTTTTTATAGCGTTGTTTCTAAGATTTGAATCGAAAAAATTTAAAAAAAAAAAATCTTAATTGGTAAGATGGAATCAGAAAAATTATAGTTTTTTAACATGTATGAGAAATGAAAACACGGCATATTAGTCAGGAATTCCTCACGTTGCAATAGCCTTCCATGTGAATTGCTAATGGAAATTGAGACCCAAAAAGAAAAAAGATAGTGTGACCTTTTTGAATGGACATCTAGTGATTTGCCTAACAAGCTATAAACAAACGATATCAAAGTATATGTGAATGGCCCCTTAACCTCCATTGGAAAATTGACAAAGGATTTATAATCCTTTTGACTTTGAGGAGATGGGACGTATAATATGAAAAAGAAGGTGCCTAAATGACAGTGATTTTATGATCAAGAACGTGATCAAGAATCATGAGTTGCAGCACTTCAAGGAAAAAAAATGGCCTTATTCATAGTCTCCATCATTTTCATCAACATACACTTTCTAGGATCAATGTGTTTGTTTTTGACGAAGAACATCTCTAATGAGCACAAATTTAAAGATTTGAGTTTTTGGTTGAGATGGATGTGTGATCGATTTACGTGATTCACTAGTGAAATTTCAATATCTAATTGCATTCATGACCCACATATTGAATTCAATAGGAGTATGAGATTTTCGTTGAATTGGCAAGAAATTTTTGAAATTGAATTTGAAAATGATATTAAAAAAATTTTATTTTTTCTCATAGTCAATCCATTTTTTTTTTACTTTTTTTACTTTTTTTATTTATTAAAAAATTAAAATAATTAAAAAAGAATTCAAAGAATTAAATTACATGAAAATTTAAAAATATAAAAACCAAATAATTAGTTTTTGAATTAAAGAGGACTAGTTACCTTGTTTCTCAAAATTAGATCGACTAATTTATAATTTACTCCTCCTTTACGCTAAAAGAGAAAAAAAAAACCTTTTTTTTTGTTTTTTTAATATATAAATCCAATCTGTTTAAGACTCCTTGAGCAAAAGATTTACCTTCATTATCTGATTTGATAAGTTATTTTGATAACTATTAACCAAAAAATTCAATAGCCTCTTCAACATGGTTGAAAAGCCAATACTAGCAAATTTGAAGGTACTTGTTGGCCCAAAATATGCCAGCAATGACATCTCACCTCTCCTACCATTTTATCTTTATAATTTAAATTCATTTATTAAATATATCAAATTCAAATTTATCTTTATTTGTTCTGATAATAATTCGAATCATAAAAATAATATATATGCAAATTCATATGCTGGTTGAGATTTGAAACTATGCAAATTCTTGTCCAACTTTCTCATGACATGCTGCGGTTCTCATGCAAGTCTATTTGCTACGAGTTTCAACCTTTTTATTGTGCAAAGATACCTGTGGTTTTTCTAGTGTTTTTCAATATGTTTTATAATATATATATTTTTAAGAGTATTTATTCTTAAAGCTCGTGAATCACAATTTTTTTATGAGTAATGTTAAATATTAAAAAAATATATATATAAGAAAAAAAATCAAAAATAAATAGGGAAAAGGTTGTGCGACCTTTTTGAGTAACGATGTCCACTCATACTTTATGTCCATTTGTTTTTTCTTATATTTTTGAATATCTCATAAAAAATTTTCTGGGACCTAAAAAGGAAAAGGTGATGCGACCTTTCTTGAGTGGACATCTGCTGATCTGCCTAACAAGCTCTAAACAAATGGCATCAGAGCATATGTGAATGCCCCTTTGCCCCTTTAGCCGCCATTGGAAAATTGACAATGGATTTATAATCTTTCTGACTTCCAGGAAATGGACATAAAATATGAACAAGAAGGTACCTAAATGACGGTGAATTTAAGATCAAGGACGTGATCAAGAATCATGAATTGCAGTCATTCAAGGGAAAATGACCTTATTTATAATCTCCATCGTTTTCATCAAGATACACTTTCTAGAATAAAATGTGTTAATTATTTTTTGGTGTAGAACATCTCTAATGGCTGCTACACCGACTTCCAGAGGATCTAGGGATGAGATCTCAATCTCAATTCAATCCAATGATGCTTTGGATGCTTACAAATTTAAAGATATGAGTTTTGGTTGCGATGGATTTGTGCAAATCAACTTGATTCACTTTTGAAATTTCAACTTCTAATTGCATTCATCCTTTAATATGGAATTTTCTTATTTTGAGGCTCCAATCTAAAAAAGAATAAGACATTGTTCGAAGACAAAACATTAAATAAAAAAATCTTTAATGATGATATCAATCAAATCATGTCTGTTTACAATCATATTAATGCGATCGAAAATCCAATTTATTTAAAATTTCAAAGATTTAACTTCATTGAGCAAAATCCGATTTGAGGATTTATTTTGATAACTGTTAACCAAAAAAAAATTCAGTAACCTCCTCAAGATGGTTGAAAAGGCAATACTAGCAAATTTGATGTTGGCCCAAAATAATAAATATGCTAGCAATGACATCTTACCTCACCTCTACCTTTTATTTAAGTTTTATTTTTGTCTAAGAGATACTCGAGAGAGCCCAAGATAAATATTTTATTTTTCTTGAGGATGCTCAACGATTTTTAAATTATATAATCAAAAAATAACTATTTTTCATTATATTATAATAAAAGAAACTTGCTTCATCATGAAAAAACTCCTGATAAACAGCCAGTAGACCAAGCATGCTTTTGTAAACGAGCCATAGATTTATGTATGCTTTGCATTCCAAAAAAAAAAAACTCGAAATTTATGTGCTTAAAACCTTTTATTATCAAGTTCTGAACAGGTCACAACACCTGTATTAAGTTCTCACCCCAATGATTAATTAAGTATTGCTAGAAATCTGGCCAATAAGATAAGAGACAGATTCACATTTTGGGAAAATGCTCTCGTATACACATCCATTTCCAGCCCTGGATTCATCCATAATCAGGGAAAAACATCATGCATCCTAGGGAATATCCAGCCACATTTGATATGTCTCATCCATGTTTTGGTAGGGTTTGGCTGTATGAGATTTCCTACAGTTCTGTAAGCAGCAATACTCAGAATGTGTAGCAATTAATTTTGTTGATGTCTGGGTTAGCAGCAAGCTGTCAATCTTTGGAACTACAAGATTTTCACCATATTTCTTTTCCTGGCTTGACAATCTGTATGTGAAGTAATTAATTTAATCATGTACCAACTGTCCGAGGCATCGACAGCAAAAATTGGGCAGATGGCGTTGTCTAAACCAACAGCTTAGATCACACATACAAGAACTATATTACAGGAGGGGAAAGTTTCAGAAACTTGTATGCCAGATGGCTCCATCACCTTCCCCACATCGCTGGTGTACTTCCTCCATCCTTTCCACAGACTTACAGATGCCACTGCAGGTCCAATCAAATGATGCAGCACACGGATTCCCAGCCTGTGCTTTCCACTCACAATCTATCACAACATTTCAACACCATTAGAATCTTTCTTTTTTGACTTCAAAGAGACATGTGATTGGTGTAACGTCGCAAGAGTTTTTGTACAGGGGATAAAAACTCATGCTTGGTAGTATAATAATTTGCTAGAGCAGAGGCTGTCAAAATATTAAAAGCATGCCATGCAGGAGCAGAACAAATTAAAACATATTTGCATCAATCTTACCAGGTGCAGTCCCACAGCAGAGACTTCGATCATCAATGTGCTCAACGTCGAGACCAATAAACCAAGAGCCCAAGGAAACGTCTTCATTTGCATATCTATGAAGTATGTGTCTGCAGATGAAATGTTATACATCAGCCATTCAAAAGGAGGATATTATCCAAATAGAATGATGGTGCAAACCTAAGGCTCACCGATTTACTGAGATATAGGTAGCTAAATCTTTAGAAATTGCATAGATTTGCCCTGTTGCATGCCGAAAATACTTGTTCCCCTCCTCACCAAATTTCCAATATTCTGGTTCATGATACTTGACCCCTCTGCAAATAGAATGCAGAAGAGAATGAGTTACCAAAGTTAAATAGCTGAACATCTTACAGTCAGAAAATTTGCTTCCATTTGAATGCTTACTTCTGTGCTAGTACAGGTCCAGACTTCATACAACCCATATAAACACGAGGCTTTGATCTATGACGGGCCAAGGTAGATCCGACCATGCCTGTAAAATATCAAAATCAGATGACTATACCAAAATATATCCCTCCGTACTCCAATTTTTTAAGGAGTAAAGCATTCAAGTAAACTAACCAAGATTTATGTGTACATCATCATCAACTTTGATATAGAAGTCAGCATCCCATGTAGCAACAGCTGTTGAAAAATATATTTGTGTTTTTGATGACAATTCATGATAACCTTCTACATGATTCTGCAGCACATATTAAGTTTACATAAACAATTTAGATAAGCAATTGAAAATTTGTTCCGATTATCATCCAGTGCCTCCAAATACATTTCAGAATTATTTCTCTCCCAAACCAGTAGCTCTGGCTATCGAAAGGGACTGGCTTCTCGAATAACATCCAAAACATATTTTCCATTCAAGTGTAGAAATTAGGACAAGGACTGGAAAACTGGGCAAACATTTTGGCTTTGGATTCAAGGACTGAGGCAACAAAGTCAGTTTAGAACTGATTTTGCAAATAGTTTCATAGGCTTTACTTGGTAGTTGTTATAACACTTACTGCATCATGCTTGGTGATTCTATAAGAGGATGAAGATTAAGGGTCAAACAGGTCCACAGAGTTTAAACCATCACATACCAATCTGAGGAAATCCTTGTTTTGATCCTCTTCAGCTTCAATGGCACGATCCAAAACACCACCTGGAGATGCACTGCCAAAATACAAACTATTTTAAGCCTGTTTAGAAAGATATATATAGTCAAACTGTAACATTGCCCTTTGAATAAACATACCTGTGTCCTATAACGAACCGTATTATAATACCCTTCTCTGTTTCCAACTTCTTTAACTCCTCTCCTAGAGTGAAAGAATATCAATAATTGTTAGCATTCTAGCTACTAATGGTTAACTTCAGAGAAGGATTGGTAAGATTTGGATTTAACCTTTGGGCATCCAAGTTTCTCTAATCGAGTCCCTTCGCTTCCTGCTGCTGAATGCAGTCATTATTCCCATAACAAAGAAAACTTTTGGTCGCTTCTTCAAATGCTCGGTTCCTGATTTTGTGACCATCGGAGATCCATCCTCATCGACAACTTTTGCAGCTCTTGCTGAAGCTAGCTGCATCTCCAGTGAGGAGATTGTTTTGTCCAGTGTCCTGTAATCATTATTATGAGGGTATTACATTAAATGATACCTCAGTGCTCCTCTTGAAGGTTCTGATTCAAAGTTACAAAAGCTTTTAAAAAAAATAGCCTATTTTCTTTGATAGAACAATGCATATTTATAAAATCACATAAGTGATCCAGAATTAATACACCTGGCTATAGAACCTCACATGATTACATCATGAGTTTGAGAAACCTGGGAAAGGATGTCTCCTGCACGAACAGCAACAGCAGTCTCCTGCAACATCATAAACAATATCATCTACACATATTACTGCATGCAGCGCTTATGAAACACTATTTTAGTAAATTTACTTGCCTGCTTCTCACAATTAACTGTGGGATGATCTGCTGTTAATTGATCCTTCTTCACAGATGAAGCTTCCTCGTCCATTTCAGCTGGATCAGGTATAGCCCAAAACCTATAAAATACAATAGCTCAGAAGCCATCCAATATATAATCAATAGAATGCACCAGATAAAACTATCATACTACATTAAGGCCAGTTGCTTGAGATACGGTGTTAAAAGATGTGTTTTCAACATAAATACTGGCTGTTGATGAAGAGCTAGTAAAATGACAGCACAAGTTGGACTACATTTCACTAGTTCATACGAAGTAGAATCACTTAGCAAATCTGTTCTAGTATTATGTCTTTTTTCCACAACATAACTTGATTCGCCTTTTTTTCTTTACAAACCACGTCTCATCATTTAATTGATATTTGGCTTGGTTGACAGCAATAGTTGATCAGATGGATTATATAGAAAATGAGGGTTTCTGAGCTACCAACTTTCAAATCCACTTCTTGGTCGCATTGCAATAAGTCAGAGTGACAACTATTCTGTATTTCTATTGCTGAAACATGATTCAAGTTAAATATGAATCAGTCTGTTGGCCATGCTGATTGCAATTAGCTCATATCTTCACTGGCATTTGAATCAGGAAGAGAGAATTAAGAAACTTTCTTTATCTTTCAAGAAGATCGCCATGATCTTAACCCCCAAACTTGAATCCATGAAAATTCAGTACTAATCATCATGAACGAATGTCAACCTTATAGCATTACCATGTAGATTCCTCTAAAAATTCAAGTCACCTGTAAAGTAATCCTCATGAAGAACCAAATTGTCTCTTAATAAATAAACCCAAAGTTTAGCATTCCAATATGATAGCTGATTTCTCTCGAAAGACAATTTGGAAGAACCTCTGCACATTAAATTTAAGAAAGAGCTTGATTTCCAACTGAGCAGATAGTCACTGCTTACTTGCATGTTCGAGGCATCAAAAGAGCCAGAAATATTTCTGCACTTGTTCCACCACCAATACCCAACCAAAATCTCTTCAGCTGCTTTACATTAGCCTATTCACCAACCCAGTGACCAATGACCTTCCGTTTGAAACTAATCAGCTCGTAGATTATCATTCCCTTGCAAGCCAACCAGTAAGTTTTTGAATTTCGCAGCAATGTATGAACTTAAACATCAAAATCAGTACTTAACACATTTCCCTTACTGGGAATTCATCTACGCAGTGAGAACTAAGCTCATTCTTCACTTGCAATCTCAAGCATTTGAAAACCACTCAATGGTATTGCAGATGAGGTAAGCCATTGAAGAAGAAACGTAAATTCTCTAAATCTAGTTAACAGACGCCTTGCTCAAACAAGGATACACCTTTATCAATTCATTATTTTGGCAACATACTCAAAGAGTAAGAGTAGAGTCTTCACCACCCCACCGATAACTTGAAATTCTGCAGACCCGAAGGCCAGAACAGCAAAAAAGTTCTAATCTTTTACATGGATTCCAAGAAAAAGCCCACAAATTCATAAAATAACAGTCAAATCTACACAAAAAGATTACATTTTGCATATGATTTCATAAGAGACTATGTAAGATTCTCCATCCTATACATAAAGGAAAAAAAGCACAAAAACAGAACCATCACCAAAGTTAAGCTTTCCAAATCCTACTAAGATAAGCAACAAATCTAACAGCTGATCAGTTCAAAAAGACAAGATCTTTAAAAAATCCACACAATAAAAAGAGAGAGAGAAACAGAACCTGTTAATAAAAAGAACACCCAAGAAGAAACTGGCAATGCAGAAGAGAGAAACCCATCTTGTAGAAACTCCATTACTGGACTTTTGAGTTCTGCTTATACCCATTTGAATCTAACAAGCTTCAGCCTTAAGAAAGCTTCCTTCTTTCTTCTTTAAAACTTTTGGGGTGGTACTATACTACTAAGAGCAAACAAGGGACCCCATTTCTTACAAAGCCTGAGAAAGATAAAAGAGAACAACAACAAAAAACATTGCCTGAACTTATTGTTGCCGTAAATAATAGGGAACTGAAGCACTATGATAATTTGCTGCTTTCTTTCAGTTTTCTTTTTAAATCCATGGTTTTATGGGCAACAACAACAACAAAAACAAGCCGTAATAATTTATGCTTGCTTTCACTGTTTTCTCACACAGAAATATTCTGTTTAAAATAGAGCAATGACAAAAGTCACGGCTACCTATACTGGCCTTGTGGTGCCTTCCTGCCTGTGCCTTTTTGTTTTTTCATTGCTTTTTCTATTTTGAGAAATGGCCCCCTAGCCAGCTAGCAGCCTAGTACCATAATTTTTAACTTCTTTCTTAGTTACTGCAACCTCAAAGGAAGCTTAAGGTTTAAAGAATCTATGATCTTGGTGAAATATGTAATTCATGAGAGATTGTGTGTAGATTTCTTGTTAATGTCTCTTGTTATCAGATGTCATGTGATGGAATTACTCTAACCAAACTTGTTTGATCCTGTCCAAACATGTTGAGGACCTCCAATTAATGTTAGGTGCCTGCCGCTCCCTCTCCTAGAGTTGTCTTTTTTCCTTTTTTGGATAAGTTCTTTGGATGAAAGCCTTTTTTTTCTAATTCATTGCATATTCCTTAGTTTTGTTAGTCTTTGTTAAAAATAAAAAATAAAAAAAAATCTATAGTCCCATTATATGAAAGCCTATGTTTCCTTTTCTTTTTTCATACGGTTAAAATTTTCGATGTGATATGAATATATGATAGAAATTAATTAAAGTTTTTAGCTTTGTTATAGATGGTTTGTTTTTAATGCAAGAAAGGTTTGATAATGCCATTCACTGAAAAACTAGGATTTTATTTATTTATTTTACGGTGTTGTCTACTCTTGTTGATTAGCAAGAGTGATGTCTTATGATATGCATTAATTGATCATTTGGAAATGCTGCTAGTTATTTATATTTGGATTTATGCTTTGATTATGAAAATGAGAGATAATTAAGTATATTATTTTTTAATTAAATATATGAATTTTTAATTTTTTTATTTGAGTATACTAAAATTTTCAAACACCCAATTATGTACTTTTGTCAATTTTTTCAATAACCGGTGACATGTTTATTATTACTAAATTATAATCTTGTCATCTTTTTTTTCCCCAATAGAATACATGGATTTTAATATTTTTTTTTTTGAGTATATTAATTTTTTTAAAACTATAAATCAAATACTTTCGTCAATTTTTTTTAATTAATCGAAGACGTGTTTGTTACTTCTAAAATAATAAATTATAATTTCATACTCTTTTTGTTATAGAAAACTTTCCATCCGAATGCTGATAAGTAATGAATTTTTTAATGAAAAATTTCATGTTTTTGTTTTTCAACTTTCACACCTAAACCTAATTGAATTTGGTTCGGAAATTTGTAGTTAAAAAATAATGAGTTTTTTAATTCTTTGTCAATTTTTTAAATGGTTGAATAATTTTGAGGTAAGTTCTCTTTAATAAAGGAATGCAAATTTATGATTTGGTATCCTAATAATAACGAGATACTTCATTAGTTAACGAGAGAAATTAATAGAAATACTTGATTGACGAGTTTTGAAAAATTTAATATACTCTAAAGAAAACAATTAGAGTTCATATATTCAGTTGATAAAAAAAATATTATAATTTGACATTTTAGAAATAACAAATACGTTAATATACTTAAATAAAAAAATAAAATTCATATATTCGATTGAAAAAAAGGTTAAAAATTAATGTTTACGAGCGCCTTTATCCAATGAAAATGATGGTTCACATGTTTCTAACCTGCTAGGTGGTATTCTAAACAAAAACCATAAAATGCAACAAACAAACAAAAATGAAATCAATAAACCACAAATCTAGGTTTGTGGATTAATATACAATCCAAAAGATTATTACATCTACTAACTCAACCACATCATATTACTATAAGCATTTTTTTTCCTTAGAATTATCATTATAATAAGCAAATTATTTCCTTATTGTTGAGTTGGCTTGAATTTTTATTTTTTTAGGGGCTCGATGGGCTCCATGTGGTTAATATGATCAAAATCTTGTAATATACAAATCCAACTTGCTGCCTTACCATTTGTTTAGAAAATTAACTTGTCTTAGGATATCATCAAGACTATTAGACTTTTGTTTTGTTGGTTTTGACAAGTAAATAATTTTTTTTTTCCAAGCTACTCTTCAAAAATGGTATGTTACTTGTAATCAAAGCAAGATAATCTCAGCATTAGCAAACTAAATTGTATTTTAGCAAAATTCACCACACTAAGTTACATATAAAATGATTTTAAAGTAAGAGTCATTGTCCATAGATTATAAAATAATATTCTTGTGCAAAGGAGATACTATTGAATAAATATACTCACATGGGGCACGCAATTCTGTTTAGTAATTAAGAAGTAACAAGACTCTTTCGGTTGCCAGGTTGGAAGATTTCATTAGCCTAATGATCATACCAACATGGGTATTTCATATTTTATCAACATGGGCCATTAGCAGCCAAATTTGGCAGTGATTTATACACTAATTGCCCCTATCTTGTGTTTTTCTTATTAAATTTTTGGAACTTTAACTCATATGGTGATTAGTTTTGTTTTGTTTTTTTATGTTTACTGTCATTTCAGATTTGAATACAGAAGATTGTGAAAAAAAATAATTTTTGATGGGTATTTTATTAGGTTAAATGTTTTATTTAAATTTCTGTCCAATCATTTGAATAAAAATTTAGTTTTAATTAACGTATAAAATAACGAATAAAAAATACTTGACCGTAGCAATATAATAAACACTAAAAAAAAGATCATGTTATTTATTTGCATGATTAATAAATAAAAAAAAAAGCCCAGATGAAAAGAAGATAGAGAAAGAAAGAAAAAGACCCTAACAGCATATAGTTCAATGGCAATGATCTTTTGTAAGAACTCATGGATTTAAATTTTAATAAACTATTTCTGGTAGAAGAATTTGACGATTTCGTTAAAAAAAGAAAAAAGAAAGAAAGAGATTCCCATTATAATTTTTATTGGAATCAATAATTATACAGTGAATTTGATCAATTTGAAAGAAAAAAAAAACTTTATAATTTCTGACAAAGTTGGTGGATTTAAAAGTTGGGAAAAAGTTTTGTTTGGTCCGTTTGAAAAGTGAAGCTAGCTGGGAATCCAACTTACCATTGCCAAATTTCAAAAATTTGAAGAGAAAAGCCAATTGGCATTTAGCAAAAACTTGGAAGAGGAGAACGTGGTCCATTTGGCTAAGAAAAGAGAGCGTTAGGAGCACATCTTATTTCTGTTCTTCATCATGTAGGCAGAGTCAGACGACAATAAATGTGTCCTAAGATGAGACAAGAAGACGTGAAGAAATCAAGAAGGCCACTTTTGATGCGATTTGTCTAACTTGCATTCATTTATTGCACATTTCTCTCACGGGTTCTGATTTGATTTGGGCATTGTCTTTGACATGGGCTTGTTCTAGCTTCCATGCTTCTTGTTCAAAAGCGCAAGGTTGGAACATGGATTGGGATTTATGGGATATGTGTCCCTCTATTCTTCATGTTTCTTGTTGTTTATTAATAGAGTAATTATAAGGTATTCTTGTTGTCATGATCTATCTTTCACATGAAAGTTGAATCCAAATAGTTATCAATTTTCATCCACTTTACTGTAATCTAGACATATGGATCAAAAGAATCAAACTTATTCTAAATTTAGTTTATTTAAAAATCAATTTTTAAATTTTGAACTTTCGTTTTGATTTTTTTTTTTTTTTGAGATTTAGAATATCTTATAATTTTTAGGAATCATCCTCTTCTCTCTAAAAAATACATTTTTGATATTTTGAGATGAAGTTTTGTACTTATATTGAAAAAAACCTAATCTATTTTCTAAAAAAATCTCAAAATTTTTTAAAATCAAAAAATATATTTATTCATATAAAAAAAAATAGAAAGCAACTTAGAATGATTTAAAATTTTTAGAAAATTATAGATAAATCTTACTCGAATGATTTTCATTATGAGACAATTTATAAGATATTTTTTTAATCGAATGGCATAAAACTATAAGATGACACACACACACACACACATATAGAGAGAGAGAGAGAGAGTAATTAAAAAATCAAAAATTGATTTTTAAATAAAATAAAGTTTAGAAAAGTTTGATCTTTTTAGTCAATAAGTAGTAAATACGTGTCTATTTTTTTTAATATTTTGTCAAGAATTGACCCTAAAATTAAAAGGAAGTTGGATGGAGAGATTATATTGAGATCAACTAAAAAAAAAAATAGATTAACTATATTAAGAAAATATCAAGAGTATATAAACAAGATAAATTCCATGAATTCATTCCATTAGTAACGATCATGGTCCTTCAACAATTAAAACCACACGTTTTGCCCCCAACACCCCAAATTTAGTTTTGTTGTCACTCTCATTAGCCTCCTTATCTACAGCCCTCACTCACCTATGTGAATTGTGAGGTTTATAGGTAGGTATGAAGGACCTTGGTGGGCTCTGGCCCTCTGGGCATTGTCTAGGTTTGGGCCCCCTAAGATTTTGAATTTTTTGCCTTCTATAATTATCACTTTTTTTTGTTGTTGCTTGTTTTCCGTATATAAAAAAAAATAATAAAAATCTTGAAAGTAATTAAGCTTCATTAGATTTCATGAATAATATTTTTTTTAAAAATAAAATTCTAATTTAGCTCCTATCCTAAACTTTCTGCATAAAAAGAAGATTTGAACATCTTTAATCATTTATTTTCTTTATTGGTTAATTTTTTAGTCTTACTCCATGACTTTTAGGAAACAAGAGAATGATAGTACAAAAGATTCGATCCAAGGTGCTTTTTCAGATTTTAAAAAAATCAATATAATCCATTATTTATTTAAGATATTGATAGAAATTATTAATCTTGATATGGAGTTTCATAGACTATAGAAAATTCATTTATAAGAATACTTTGGCCATATTTCTGTTAGTTTTTCCACTTTTTTTTTTTTTTTTTGGTTGTCGTCAAAGGCTAATTGTCACCAGCCAATAAAGATTAAGTCTACGTAAACATTTAATTTATCATAATTTTAATATATATAATCGAAAGGTAAATTCCACAAAAAAAAAAAATTCAATTCTTCTAGAAATATTTTTATAAAAAAAATAACACAAGGCGAAGGGTAAACGTTTAATTTATCACAATTTAATATATATAATCGAAAGGTAAATTCCACAAAAAAAAAAAATCAATTCTACTAGAAATATTTTTATATAAAAAAAAAAAAGCACAAGGCCAAGGGTAAACAATTAATTTATCATGATTTTAATACATATATAATCGAAAGGTAATTAATTCCACAAAAAAAAAATTATTTTAAAAAATCGATTCTTCTAGAAATATTTTTATAAGAAAAAATAACACAAGGCCAACGGTACTTATAATCTACATCTTCACAATTTCCCATTGGGTGGCATGTCTATTCTTAGTTATTACGGACATGTTCTCAATTATCCATCTTGCTTGTAAACAAGAGGAGTAAATTATAAATTAATCTTTTTATTTTTATAAAATTAATTAAATAATTTCATCTATGGTGTTGATTATAATTAATTTAATAAGATTTTGTTTTCGTATTTTTTCTTTTTTTTTTTAAAACAAAAAATTAAAATAATTTGAAAAAAAATAAAAAAGATTAAATTATAAATAGATTTTAAAATATAAAGATTAATTAATTATTTTTTAAAGCTGGAAGCAATATTTAATTCATTTTGAAAAACTAAAAGAATTAATTTATAATTTACCCCAAACAACGGCGATCCCATTTTATCAAAAAAAAAAAAAAAAAGAAAAAGAAAAAGAAAAGAGAAAACAGATCTCACTATACACCATTCAAAAAGTCATCCTCTATCTATTGGTAAATAAATCGATTTTTATATTATTTGGCTACATTCAATTCATGAAATGCTTTGAAGTAATGGTTTAATCTCGATGGATATAAAAATTTTCTCGACAATACTTTATTATTTTTAATATAAAAAAAGTAAAAAAAATAAAATTCGTGAAATGCTTTTTTAGCCTACTGATTGAAGCTTCTCTTTTTCTCTAGTTGGAAATTCCAATTACTAAAGATGGGGCATAAACCGAACATTTTTTTTTTCTTCAAATCCTCAACTTTGACTCTAGGGCTGACCAGGCAGATATTCACAGGCTGTGTTCGGATAATCAGAATTTGACCCTCTAACATGGCATGTATGACCACTGGCACCTGGTAAGACCATGCCATATTGCCATTGTATTCTTTTTTGCAGATTTAGAATTTCTGTTTTTTCAACCGTAAGGATGTCATGTCATCGGTCAAATTTCATATATCTCAAAATTAATTTTTTTCTAAATATAGTTGAGGGGCACTTTTAAAAACACGATTTCGAATATTTTAAATGGAAAGTGTAGGAAAGCATAAAAGAGAAAGGTGGTAGCTCTTAGATAAATAAATGTTGTAGCTCGAGGTAAATAGATGTTGATTCGCAAGATAGTTTCATGATTTTATTTTAAAAATAAATATTGATCATAAAAATAAAATCATGAAACTATCTTGCGAATCAACATCTATTTACCTCGAGCTACAACATTTATTTATCTAAGAGCTACCACCTTTCTCTTTTATGCTTTCCTACACTTTCCATTCCTGTCGGTCGTCTCTTTGGCCATGCATTTTGTCTCTTTCATTACACATAAATACTTAGGTGGTCAAAATCCATCGCATTTAAGAATCATCATCAAAAGACATATCTCAAGTTACATTGTCCCAGCCCACGTTTCTTGTCTCTTTAACTTTCATTTTACTTTTGCATTTATGTCAACACCTAATCAGCAAATAATGCTTTCGCTATTTCTGTCATCATCACTAGTTGGCATTTTTATATTTACTTTGCCTCAAATATGAGTCCAATTATTGTGTGATTTGATAATCAGATTAGATAGTTTTTAAAATTATTTGGTATCTTTTCATTCCATTTGACGTTGCATTGTGCTCATCACATATTGTTTAAATTTTTGTGGATTAAAATTAATTTTTTTTCCCCTTCTATTGTCATTAGTTTTAAAATTTGAATGCTAACGTGGGAAACTTGCCAAAAATACTTAATTATTGGTGGGACTCGAGGAGCCTCATATAATAGAAAAATATTGATATAATTAATTTGTTTTGCTTATTTTAGAAGTATAAAAATTGCATGATTTGATCAAATCTAAACTTATTCATTGTATACTTATCTTACCTCATCATCTTTTATTATTATATTAAACCAATGGTGCTCATTGTTATCTTAGGCTGATTTTTGCTTGAGAAAGTAAAATTCTTTTCTGGCTTCTTTTTATGTTTTCTGGGACTAGTTTAGTGAATGTGTGAGAATGGTAAGGTACAGTTATGTCTGTGGGAGTGAGAGGGATGAGCTTGCAGTGCCATCTCAAAGAATGATAGAGGCTGCTTTGAGGGGAGATGTAGAGTTTGTGGTAGAGAGTTTGAAGTCAGAAACAGTAGATGTGAATTATATAGGGATAGTAAGCTTGAGAATGATGTGTGTTGAGACTGTGTTAAGAGAAGAAGAGGCTGATGAGATTGAGATTCAGTACAGGGATTTTGTCACTGATGTCACTCCATTTTTTGCTGCTGCTCATTCTGGTCATGTTGAAATTGCCAGGAAATTGTTGGTATGTTTTTTATTTTATTTTTTTTTTTTTTGGGATTTGGTTTAGAAATTGCATGAATGGTTTGCTTCTACTTCATGTCGATTTTGCTTTTCCTAGCTATGAATAACTCCCTTGTTTAGTGAGATATTTAGATTTTTTTTTCTTAGGGGTTTCTCTTCTTTTTCAATGGTTAATGATTAATTGGTTATTTTAAGTTTTGAGTAATTTATGTTGGTATAATTATGAAATGCTTTTTCATGCTTAATTGGAGTCTAAACGAAGGTCTAAGCAAAACAAAATGGCAGACTCACAAACACCTTTCCAGTGGGATGGGATTGGTCCAAGTTTTTTATCACTGAAAGCTTTAGACTCAGGCCATATTCCTGTTTCAGCAGATTACTTCTTCAGAATTCCTTTTATGAACATGTGAGAGACAAATCAACAAAGGTATAATTATACTGTAACAATGTTTAGGATTATTAGGTGCTCTTATGCAATTAGTCCATCACTTAGTTTAATCTGTCAAATGCTAAGGCCTCAACTGTTAAGAGTTGTTTGTTTGATGCCTGAACTTATTGTCTTGTCTTAATCTGTGTTTTCATTTATAATCAGCTGGAGTTTATGTGAACCAGGGGTTATTTCGAGGTTTTGCTACCACACTGCTGCTCGTGAAGGTCACCGTGTCCTTCTTGACATGCTACTCAAGGCAGTTGCATCTCAATCAACTTTTGAAGATGCATTACTCGGAGATGAGAGGACCGAATGTGGCACTACACGCACTTGTATCAGTTAGCTGCCGTGGATTTATTGATGTTGCAACCACCTTAATCAAGGCACCAATTGAGTATTTTGGTTAGTCTAAGTTTCAAATGGAAGCATCTGGTTAACCCAATTCTCCATTTTTTCAGAATGGACTAGACATAAATTGCGTGCGAAGGTTCTGTTGCGGTCGGTAAAGCTTGCATTGTATGCTAATGTTGACTGTACAGCTCTGGTGGCTGCTATAGTAAGCCGATAAGTTTCGATGGTTAAATATTTGTTGAAGATAATGATCTAATTTTCCTTTTCTATAGGCTTCAAATTATGGTACTGATTTAGAGGACATCAAAATTGCATCACTGAATATCATTAGCATAGAATATCCATTGCAGTTTGCGATTCTTTCAGGACTTCTTCCTTTTTTTTTTTTTAAGTTGCCACAGCTTTCTCCATATTATCTGTTTTCAACTTATAGGAATACCACTTTTCTGTTTAGATGTGAAATTCCTGTTAATTATGAATGGGGTCTTATATGTAGGCAGGTGCAAGAACCAATTGCTATGTAAGGCTGGGTGCTTGGTCATGAGACATCTTCTCTAGTGAGGAACTGAGAGTGGGTCCTTGCTTGGGTAAGCCATATAATGAAGTTTGGTGTGCAGTTGAATATTATGAAGCAAGCGGCCAAATTTTGAACCTTTTGCTTCAGCATGAAACTTCTTTCCTTGAAAGTCAACAACAAGGAAGAAACCTTATTTGCCATGCCATCCTTTGCCAAAATTCTGATGCCATGGATGTGCTCTTTAATGCTGGTGCTGATGTTGAGTTCTACGTAAGGACCAAGAAAGGTCACGAATTTCGTCATATTCATTTGGCTGATAGAATGGGCTGCCTTCCTATATTGAAACAGGTGGTCTTGTATGGTTGTCAAGTTGATTCAAGGATCGAAACTGGCGACACAGCTTTGATGTTGGCTGCCAAAGCTGATCAAGCTGATGCTTCCTTGAGCTTATTAGTTCAGGAGCTGATTTGGGTCTCATCGACAATAATGGGGAGAGTGCAGTGCAATTGGCAAAAAAAGGTGTCTTTGGATCCTCTTTGGCAGATATTTTTCGACAGGCTATTGCTACTGGAAGAAAAGTCTGCATCTTCAATCTTGTGGTGTTTTCTTTGCTGCACTTTGTTGCTGGAATCGAAAATACAGAGCTTTTACAGATTATCCTTCAACATTCGACAGAAGATATAAGCAAACATGATGGTTTTGGTTTGACACCCACTATGTTTACAATAAAAGCTGGCCATACCGAGGCCTTTCGGCTTTTGATTGATGCTGGGGCTGACATCAATGAGAGGATCAGGGATGGTTAGGTAGTACTTAGTAGTAGTCTCTTTTGCAGAATCACGCCTGTTCTAGCTTGAGGACTCGATTTGAAGAGATATTACTTGATGCCGTATTTAGTTACAAAGTGACATGTTCTTCTGAGTTTAGAGCTTTGCACTTTGCAGCTCGTGTTAGCAAATTGCCTTCGATAGTTCAGCTATTAAAAATGGGCTCCTCCATTAATTCTGTGGATGACAGCGGATTCACCCCTCATGCTTGCAACCAGAGAAGGGTACGCCGATGCCTGTAAGCTTTTGTTGCAAAGAGGTGCTGATTGCAGGATGGTCAATCAAAGAGGAGAGACAGCGATATCTCTAGCTAGGAAAAGTAGTAAATGTAAGGCTGCAGAAGGAGTGATATTCGATTGTTTGGCTCCTTCTCATGTGCTACTAGGTGAGGAGCTTTGGAAGCACAATCGTGAGGGAAGAGGTTCCCCACACGTGAAGGTTATTCAGATGCTCAAATCTGGCTTGTTAACATGGGGAAAATCGAATCGAAGGAATATGGCATGTAAGGAAGCAGTGGCAGGACAAAGTCCAACCTTTTTGAAGAACAAAAGAAAGGTAAATGAAGCTGGAAATGAGATGGTTTTCTGGGTTTTAATCGAGATGGGGAGAGATATTCATTTTGAGGCAAGTTCTGCTGCTAATTCGAAACTTTAGGTTCATGGCATTAACCTCATCACAAAGGAGGTCACTTCTGGTGTTTGGTGATGGAATTCTTTAGCCTAGAGTGGCATAAAACTGAACTAGTTCATATAAAAATTGCGATACGATTTCAAATATTCATTTTTTATTATCCTATGTTCGTTGTTTCTAAAGGTTGAATACAAGTAAAGAGAATTGAATGCAGAGTGAAATTAGATAACTTTCTTAAGCTCTGGTTAATCACTTATAGATGACCATAACGATATTATAGTGATGATTGACTGATGAGAGTGATGACAGTGCTGTTTCTATTTTACCTGGCATCCATGAAAGAGCCTCCTCTTTTGGTTTTTTAAGGCCTTGCTCTTAGAGGCCTCTTATCTTCCTACCTCTGCCTCCTTTCACTACTGCTTGCATCCATTTTCAGACGACCTCTCCTGCCATGGTTTCCTTGGTCCAGAGTGAAAGTGGAAGAGACACCTAGCAAGGTTTGAGTATAAGGTCATCATTATCTATCTTCCTTCAACTACCATTACTGCTACGTTAATCAGCAATATAGGGCTACTACTAAGGTCGTGACAATCGGATGATACCGCTAACAAGTGGCACTACAGTGGGTAATTAATGCCAAATTAGGGATGTAAACCTTACCTTGTGGTAGATGATCATGCCTAACAATGTTCTTGCTTTTTTTTTTTTTTTTTGGGGTGAATGTGATCTCAATTTTATTAACTTAGATTAAGAGTAAATTATAAATTAGTCTCCTTAGTTTTGAAAAACGAATTAATTACTTTTTTTTTTTTTTTTGAAAAAACTAATTATTTAATTTTTATATTTTAAAATTTCTTGTAACTTAATTATTTAAGTTCTGATTCAAATATACAAGGGATTTAAGTTCTAAGATTAGGTTTGTTTTTTTTTTTTTTTTAATGAAAAATTCAGTTATATAAATAAAACTAGAATATATGAGTCAAGAACCAACCAAAATCGATCCATCTATTTTTTCTAAACATTTTCAGTTTAATTTAATTTTTTTTTTATTTTAAGCTTGGGTGAGGATTCAATAAATTTTAATAAAAATTTGTTTTTTGGTTGAAATTTCTAGAATATTTTTATTTGCTTGGTAATTAAATATAGGGATTTTTTTTTAATAAATCTTTTTGTACATCTTTTTCGTCGATAGTGTTGATTAAAGGTGTTTTGGATATTTCCTAATAGATTTGATTGATTTAACAAAAATACTACTAACATAATGACTTATGGGAGATTTTTCTTTTTAGAAATTTATTGAAAACCATCCCAATCATATAAGAAATGCTCTCAAATTTTTTCTTAAATTAACTTTGCTTGCATATCAAAGTAAAGTGATTAGAAATTAAAGTGATTAGATTAAGTGGTTATAAGGATAAAAGCCAAACCCTTCTAATCTTAGTATTCGTTCCATTGCTTGTGAAAAATGTGTGGTCTATGACATAAAATATTGTCTAGTGTGTATGGCTCAAGAACGTAATGCGGTTTCCATTTCTTTGTGATGTGAAAACATTACCTACCTAATGAAGAATGATTCAAATTCATCGACTTTTGTAGATGGTCCATTGATAGGAGGGAGAAATAGAGCTTCTCACACCACTAATCAAGCGAAGATAAAGTCATTTTGTCGTGATTACGAGTCTTTTTAGTAGATAATGAAGTATGTTTAGAATAATTTTTGTATCAATTTAAATTAAGTTTAATATTTTTTAAATTAAGTCAATATTAAAATATGATTAGTTTATAGTTTGACAATTAGATTATTTTTTATATCAAATTAATCCAAACTTGGTTATATATATATATATATATATATATATATATATTGTAAAATGTTTTGTTGACATTAGAGTTGCAAAGTAGTCTAAAGGTTAGAGTCAAAAGGGATGATGAGGGTAATTTAAAATTCTAAAAAGAATCACAACAAATAATAATGAATGTAAAATTGAATAATAATTTACAACCTCGCCAATGTAACAAATTAAATAAACAACACAAAAATATTATGAAGGCTAGTAGCTGTTTGGTTTTGTATTCTTCAACACAAACAAGTTGCCAATTTGGTAAAAAGATAGGGCAAAAGTCAATATTTATTCTGTAACTATTACATCTATCAAACATTGTCCAATTAGCCCTAAACAAAAACAATAATCAATTGGATCTCTCGTCTATCAAACATTGCCCAATTAGATGGTTCAAAGGAAAACAAAGTCGTTTTTTAAAAATTATGTTCTTATTTCTTATGCTTTAAAGGAAAAAAATAATAATAATAATTCTAAGGGAGGTTTGATTGGGAAATTTCCAATAGATGAAGGTGTTGATTAAGAATTGTGTTTGTTTAGGAATCTAATTGAGAATTGGATGATAGTTAGGGGATAAACATGTACTTTTTCCAAAAAGATTTTTAAGAAGCATGCGATGCATTCGAAGATGTTTATAACTATCGGGGTAAATTATAAACTAATCCCTTTATTTTTTAAAAATGAATTAATTACTTTTCTTTTTTCAAAAACTAATTATCTAATCCTTTAACTAGTGTTGATCATGCTTAATTTAATTATATTTTATTTCATAAAAAAATTATTTTTTTTCTCAACAATCCTTCCATATTTTTAAGTTATTTTTATTTTTTATTTCTTAAAAAAATCAAAATAAATTGAAAAGGAGCAAAAATGATTAAATTACAAGAAAAATTAAATTTATGAGGATTAGATAGTTAGTTTTCGAGATACGAAGAACTAATTAATTCATTTCTCAAAACTAAAAGGATTGATTTATAATTTCCTCTAACCATCATGAACGATATATTCTTCTTCTTCTTCTTCTTTTTTTTTTTTTTTTAAAAAAAAGTCTTCACATAAAACAAACGTAATAGCTATTTGGGAGCCAAAAAGTAGTCCAATCTTCTCAACAAAATTTTCTAATCACGAGTTTTTTTTTTTTTTAATAGAAATACCCTTTACTAAAATGAAAAAAAAATTAAAAAACTAAAGTCACATGACTTATATGCTTTATTTTTGAAGTATTTAGGGGTTTTTTTTTTTTTTTTTGCATTTCAATCAGGAGCATTTTGGGAAAAAAAATTCATTTGTACGAAAAAATTGATTGGAAGAACATATTGAATATTTTAAATACTTTCAAAAATAAAAGAAATGCAATTGAAAATCTAGAAACATATGAAAGATTTTAAGTATTATATATAAAAAAAACACACACACACACACACACACACACATATATATATATCCTTAATTTTATTTAATTTCATAAAATATCATCTTTTCTCATCAATTGTTCTATTTTTTAACTTATTTTTATTTTTTAAAACAAAAATAAATTAAAAAGGAACAAAAATAATTAAGTTATAAGAAAATTTAGATAGATAAAAATTAAATGATTAATTTTTAAAATAAAAATAAATAATTAATTCATTTCTCAAAACTAGAAGGATAGGTTTATAATTCACTTTAACAATCATGAACGGTATATTCTTTTTTTTTTTTTTATCCTAAATCTTTCACAAAAAATAAAGACAAGAGCTAGTTGGGAGCCAAAAAGTAGTTCAATCTTCTCACCATTCTCAAAATATTTATTATTTTTATTTCTTAAGCATTTCAAAACTTTGAACAGCTACTCATCTTACAATTCGATGTAATGTAGTGTTTTTGATGTTTTTTCCACCAACCAGCTCATCGAAGTAGCCTATTATTTTCAAATAAAAACCACATGTTGCCGATTACCTTCTTGAACCTTTGATTGGGTGCACTGTCCTTACCATGCAAAGGACGCCATTCCAGTTGCTTGCCATGGCCTACCATACCCTTCAAATTACCGATAATGTCTGCATCAAAAATCCTTACAAGTATTATATAAAAACACACACACATATATATATCCTTAATTTTATTTTATTTCATAAAATATCATCTTTTCTCATCAATTGTTCTATTTTTTAACTTTTTTTTTATTTTTTAAAACAAAAATAAATTAAAAAGGAACAAAAATAATTAAGTTATAAGAAAATTTAAATATATAAAGATTAAATAATTAGTTTTTAAAATAAAAATAATTTATTTATTTATTTCTCAGAAGGACAAGTTTATAATTCACTCTAACAATCATGAACGATATATATATATATATATTTTCCTAAATCTTTCACAAAAAATAAAGACAAGAGCTAGTTGGGAGCCAAAAAGTAGTTCAATCTTCTCACCATTCACATGTCTACTCATTTTTATGGGTAATGACCGTTCACATTTTGAGAAAAGGCTTTCTAGGTATAATTGCACACTAACCCAAGAAGCACATGACTTTGCCAAGCTACAAAAGTCAACCACTTTGTTAGGCTTACCTCATTTGCCAATCCATAAACAATCCAGTGAAAAGAGAATGTTCTTAGGAACCCACGTTCTACTTTGACCAAAGAACCACCCAGTCCGACCCTCAGAATTGTACAAAAAGCACCCCCAATTTCCATTTTTTTCCCTTATCAGTTCACACCGTAATTGTGCCGAACTGGCTACGTATCTATCAGGAGTTTATCCGCACCGTGTTTGAAGGGTTCGAGTTCAACTTCTTCGTCATTAAGAAAAAGAAAAAGAAAAAAAAAGGGTGAGTGCTTTTTTGCTTTGTATTGTTGTGGGAGATTTTTTTCTCTTTGGCTACATGGACAAACCAATGCTTTAAGTATGTACTGTTTCAAATTCCTTAACAACGTGAGAAATGGTAAGCTTCAAGTTAAAAAAAATGAGTGGTGTGCACTCTTTTTGCTTATTAACCCCTTGTAAAAGCTTGTTGCTCTCCCATTAGCAGGGCTTGAAAGGTAAGTGATGTTAACTTCTGCTTATTGACCATTCAACTTGATAGAATATTCCTAGCTACTCTACCAACATTTCTTGCAAAACCGCATTGAAGTTTCAATATTTTTGGTCTTTAATTGGCTTAAGGTGCAAGGGATTTCTATTTTTTTTTTCTAGTTTCAAGTTCTATATCTTTCAGCAGCTTGCATCTTTTTCTATGAGAAACATAGACGGAAAAATATGGGAAAACCAAGACCAATATGTGCTTTGGCTTGTCTTCTTCTCTGTGGCCAAGCCATCTTGATGATCACAAAGGTGGAAGCCACTAGCAATGTAAGAAAACCTTCAAGAATCTGCAAGAAATTCTCTTTCTCTCCGTGTTAAACTTAATTTTCAGATTCAATGAAGAACTTGATCCATAAATTCTACTGTTATTCAAACAGGTTCATATTGTTTATCTAGGAGGGAAGCAGCATGATGATACTATTCTAACAACAAATTCACATCACGATATGCTTGCTAGAGTTTTGGGGAGGTATGGTGAACTTTATTAGGATAGTTGAGAATCAAAATCATAGTCAACTGCTTGTTTTTAACAAGTCAATGTTATTCTGCAGCAAGGAAATGGCCTCGGAATTGATGGTGTACAGCTACAAACATGGTTTCTCTGGGTTTGCAGCCAAGCTGACAGAGTCTCAAGCTCAAAAAGTTGCCGGTAGTTGCACAAACGAACATTACTTTTTGTCTCATTTATGTTTCTCCACTTTGATTTAATGCAATCATCAACACTGAGATGATCATGTTCAAGTGTTAGCAAGCCATGGATTGTCTTTTTTAATATTATGCCTATGTTTTGATAGACTGAGCCTTTTCAGAATTGCCTGGCGTTGTTCGAGTTATACCAAACAGTCTTCACAGGCTAGAAACAACTAGGAGTTGGGATTTCCTAGGCCTCTCTTCTCATTCTCCTGTCAATACTCTTCATAACAGCAGCATGGGTGATGGAGTTATCATAGGTGTCCTTGACACAGGTAATTCTCTATCATGTTTCTTGATTCGTCTCTCACGCGTTCATAAAAGGAACTCTGAAGAAGTAATCTGCTGAAACAGGAATATGGCCTGAGTCTAAATCTTTCAGTGATAAAAAACTTGGACCAATCCCATCCCGCTGGAAAGGTGTTTGTGAATCTGGAACGCGCTTTAAGGCTAAAAGTCATTGTAACAAGAAAATTATTGGAGCCCGTTGGTTTGTGGATGGATTTCTTGCTGAATATGGTCAGCCATTGAACACATCTGGCAACCAGGAGTTCTTTTCCCCTAGGGATGCAAATGGACATGGGACTCACACAGCTAGCACTGCAGCTGGTACTTTTGTTGACAATGTTAGCTACAGAGGCCTTGCGCTTGGAACTATAAGAGGTGGTGCACCCCGTGCTCGGTTGGCGATATACAAGGTTTGTTGGAATGTTCTTGGAGGACAATGCTCTTCTGCCGATATATTGAAAGCTTTCGATGAAGCCATACATGATGGGGTTGATGTGTTATCCCTGTCAATTGGGTCTTCAATTCCTTTATTTTCAGATATTGATGAACGAGATGGCACAGCTACTGGTTCTTTTCATGCTGTGGCCAAGGGAATTGCTGTAGTATGTGCAGCTGCGAATGATGGACCTTCAGTTCAGACAGTGCAGAATACTGCTCCTTGGATTTTAACCGTTGCAGCCAGCAGCATGGATCGAGCATTTCCTACTCCGATAACACTTGGGAACAATAAAACTTTCCTGGTATATCTTCATTGTAGTAACAGCTTGCATTTCTGAATTTTAATTTAACCACAGAACTGATGATTTCAGCACCGGCTGCAACGTTGAATTTCTCACACAAATCTTGCAGGGCCAAGCCTTATATGCTGGAAAGAAAACTGGTTTCAGAGGCCTGATTTATCCAGAGGCTGAGGGACTGGACCCCAACGCTGCAGGGTAGTTTGATTTATTGGCTCACACCTAAATGCAATGTCTCTTTTGACGAAAAGGAAAATTCAATGTCTAATATGTCTTGCTTGCAGTGTCTGCGAATCTCTCTTAGTTGATGCTTCTACGGTTGCTGGAAAGGTGGTTCTCTGCTTCACCTCGAAGACTCTCGGAGCTGTAAGAAGTGCCGCAGAAGTTGTCAAGGAAGCACGTGGAGTGGGGTTGATCGTTGCTAAGAATCCCAGTGAAGCCTTGTATCCCTGCACTGATGGATTTCCATGCATCGAAGTCGACTATGAGATTGGAACACGAATTCTGTTTTACATCCGGTCTACAAGGTAACATCACCATCATTCATGTTTACCAGAACTAGCTTCTCTTTTGATCCTTAGACCTTGTCTGTTTGATTGTTAATATTGCAGGTCACCTATTGTAAAGTTAAGCCCTTCCAAAACACTGGTGGGCAAGCCTGTGTTGGCAAAGGTGGCATATTTTTCATCTAGAGGGCCTAATTCAATTGCTCCAGCAATCCTGAAGGTAACAATACTCCGATCAAGACCATCCTGCATAATGTTATACATTTCAACTGAATCTAGCTTATAAATAATGACTATGCATTTGGGAACAAATTTCATAAAAATCCATTACTTTTAAGCATGACAGTATTGATAACTGGGAGAATTCATATCCTTCTTTCTTCAAATACATAGGAATCAGTCGATATTTGAGCATAATTCCAAAGCATGGCGTTGCATAATCTGATAACTTCTGTGTGTCACAGCCTGATATAGCAGCACCTGGGGTGAACATTTTAGCTGCTACTTCACCTCTTGATCTATTCCAGGATGGTGGATATGTCATGCAGTCAGGAACATCAATGGCAACTCCTCATGTCTCAGGCATAGTTGCTCTTCTTAAAGCAGTGCATCCCGATTGGTCGCCCGCAGCCATTAAATCTGCAATTGTCACAACTGGTATCAAATCTGTTACCTTTCGCTGTCTGAATTGTCTCCATAATCTGATCGCAATTACGGCCCTATCTACACAGGTTTCGCTGACTGTATATTGAATGTTATGCAGCATGGAGAAATAATCCATCAGGTTTTCCAATATTTGCTGATGGATCTCCTCAAAAGCTGGCCGATCCATTTGACTACGGAGGAGGCATTGCCAATCCAAATGCTGCAGCAAACCCGGGCCTGGTTTACGACATGGGTACAGATGACTACATAAATTACTTCTGTGCTATGAACTACAACAACACTGCCATCTCTAGGCTCACTGGAAAGCCAACAGTATGCCCCATTGAAAGGCCATCCATTTTGAACATTAACCTGCCTTCCATAACCATACCAAATCTTAGAAATTCCATTACCGTAACCAGAACCGTTAAAAATGTAGGACCTTCCAACTCCATTTATAGAGTTGCGATCGAGCCTCCATTTGTCAGCAGCGTGTCAGTAGAACCTCATGTCTTAGTCTTTAACCATAACACTAAGAAGATCACCTTCACAGTGACGGTCACCACAACCTACCAGGTGAACACAGGGTACTTTTTTGGGAGCCTAACATGGACTGATGGAGTACACACTGTGAGAAGTCCCTTGTCTGTCAGAACCGAAATCTTACAACCTTATATGGTTGAAAACTAAGAAATACTTGTTTCCATGAGGCTCATCATTTCACATATACCGATTCAATTTAAATGGAGTAGCTGTTTTTCTTTTTCTTTTTTTATTTCTGTGCCCATCAATTCAATGTTTCCATATTCTGTATGCTCCCATGGTCTCAAGTGTAGCTTCAAAGCAGCTAGGCCTTAATACACATCCTGTATCCCTCTGATTTACTCTGTCGACGCTCCAATTTTGTAGTGAAAAGGTTTAGCAATGGATAGTGAATAGAAGTGTCGATGAATCACGTCAATTTCATCGCTTCGAACAGAAAATAAAAGCAGATTATTGAACAGAATTCCAAACTCTGATTGATAATTAATTCCCAACTCGAATTTTGGAAATTTTTTAATATGTTGGGATCCTGATTTCTGATGTATTTCTTACATTAAAATGCACTTTAACAGAGTAGAATTGGCTATATTCTGCATGATTTATTTGGTCATATGGCCTACGAGAAATAGGATTTGAAGGAGCCAGTAGTCAAGGAGATAGAGTTTGTGAATAATTTGTATGCAAATCATGTCAAGAAAAATCAAGAACATTGTCCAACATTTAAGATAGAAATCAAATATTCAACAATGCTGCATTCTAATTTGACTTCTGAATTTTCTGGATCTGTTGAAGTAAATAGTAGAATGAAACAAAACTTTATGTGAAAGGTTCGAGAAAATGGTATGCAGATGGAATATCATTTCTCCAAAATCTTAAGAACTTCTGATATGTTTACAGTTCCAAATCGACATATATGCTGACAGGATTATGGCCAGAGTCGAGAGTACTCGATGACGAAGGGTATGGTCCAATTCCAACACGTTGGAAAGGTCACTGTGATTCAGGACAACTCTTTAATGCCACAACAGATTGTATTAGAAGAATGACGTGTACAGTATTAGTTAACTTGTTAGTTAGAGTAGTTATCTAAATCTATTATTATAAAAACACATAAAATGCGTGTTGTACGGATAATGAATAGAGAATCAATTTCATAACAAAGTTTCTCAACTCCTCCGCTCTCTCTTTTCACTCGCTTCGTTGGTTTCTTCTGCTAATCCATAGCTTCAGCATGCTGCTACATTCTTGATTCGTGAGAAGTTAACATGGTATCGAGCCTCGCATAAACCGAGGTTTAATCTTGTGTTCTCTTAAAATCAATCTTCGTTTGCTTCTTCATCTCTTCTTGATCGGTTTCCATGGAAGAAGCATCTCAAATTCGTCGATTTCCTACTCGTTGAAATCATCTCATCTAAAGACGATTCTTGTTCTCCTTACTACATTCATCACTCGGATCACCATGGATCTTTAGTGGTTACTCCTTTGTTAACTACGAGAGAATTACCCGACTCGGAGTAGGTCATTTGCCCTAGCTCTGTCAATTCGTAACAAGTTAGGGTTTGTGGATGGTTCTATTCCCAAACCCAAAGATGGAGATCAGCTATTTTGTTCTTGGAATCGGTGTAATAGCTTGATTGTGGCATGGTCGCTTAGATTATTATCGCCTTCAATTGCTGCAACTCGTGTTTTATATGAACTCAACTCAACAAATTTAGGGAACTGCGAAGAAAAGGTTTTCACAACTAGATGAATCTTGAATTTGTAATCTTCAATGGTCACTTTGTTCGATCGGTCGGGGAACCGGACACCGTGACTACTTATTTCACGGAATTGAATGGCATATGGGAGGAGTTGAGAAGTTTCGGGCCATTGCCACATTGCTCCTGTGGAAGTTGCAACGAGTGATTGCTTCCAAACGTTTGTTGATATACGGGAGAAAGATTATGTCTTTAAGTTTTTGAATGGGTTAAATGAGTCATTTGCTTCTTTGAAATCTCGGGTTCTTGTCATGAAGCCCATACAAAGTCTAGACGAGATATATAATTTAGCATTGAGAGAAGAATCATAGAGGAACATACATGCTCTCACTCAACCTTTGAGTGAGCATTCTGCTATGTTTGTGTATGCCGGGAACAAGAAAGCAATGCAAGTTACTTGTTCTTATTGTGGCAAACACTGGCCACGGTAAGGATAGACTGCTATAAGCTTATTGGTTTTTCGAGAGAACTTCAAGTTTACTAGAACGAAATCTTCATCGATTTGGATATGAAAATGGTGGAAATGTGCACTGCGGGGGAATAGGAACTCTCGTTCTAGATATATCAATAAAGGTTCAGCTTACGGATATATCAATGGTGTGGCATCACATATAGAAGGAGATACCCAAGGTTTTGCCCAAAATCCTCAATCAAGCTTGTCCACGGTGTCTCTCACTCAAGAGCAAATTTCCGGGCTAATGACACTTTTGAGTGTTCAAGACTCACAAACTACGGTTCTTCGACGATACAAACACTAACTTCCAACCTATATCTAGCCTCACGGGTAATGATTCGAGCCTTACCCAACCTGTTTGTTGCCAATCAAACAATATCCTTCCAATTTTCAATTCACGAGACTTGGATATTAGATACGAGTGCCACTGATCATATCTCATGCTCACTTGCATATTTTCAAAACTATAAACATGTCTCCGGTATAACTTGTTCAAATGCCGAATGACACCACGACTACTATTACTCACATTGGCCAAGTTTATTTGTCATCCTCGTTTGTTCTCCATAATGTTTTTTGTGTTTCTTCATTCAAGTTCAATCTAATATCCGTCGGTAAGCTCACCATTCATTCACGAGTATAGACTAATTTTCTCTAATAACAAATGTATGATTCGGGACGACTCTTCATGGACAATGATTGGAATTGCTAACCTTCAATCGGGGTTGTTCATCCTTCAATACGTCCAAGCTAGTCAAGTCTCATCCATTCAAAGGTCTTGTATTGGTCGGTATGATAATTCCCAACATGCTAATCATGGTGTTTTTGGTCATGTAATATCCGATATTTGGCATTGTAGACTAGGCCATACTTCGGTTGATAGAATAAACATGATTCATAATAATCATTCTACTCGTGACTTGTAATGCAAACCCGCCTTGTCTTGTCCGTCCTCCGGCAAAATAGAAACGATTGCCTTTTCTCATTCATAATAAAACCACAGCTTTTCCTTTTGAATTGATCCACATGGACATCCGGGGGCCATACTCCGTAGCCTCTCTTAATGGTTTTCACTACTTTCTTACTATTGTTGATGACTACACACGAATGACATGGGTGTTTTTATTAAAATACAAGTCGATGTTTTGTCTCTTATTCCTTCTTTCTATCGGCTTATTCATACCCATTTTAATCACAAAATAAAACAACTTAGGTCTAATAATGGACTCGAATTTCATCTTCCCGAGCTTTTATGCTTCCAAAGGGATCATCCATCAATTGTCTTGTGTAGGAACACCACGACAAAATGCTATTGTTGAAAGAAAACATCAACATACGTTATCCATAGCTAGAGCCCTTCTTTTCCAAGCATCCTTGCCATTACAATTTTGGGGAGATGCTATCCTTACTCGTTACCTACATTATTAATCATATTCCTTCTTCTCTCGTTAAATCATCTATCCCCATATGAACTATCTGTTTCGGAAAGCACCTCACTATACTCATCTTAGAGTATTTGGTTCCCTATGTTTTGTGTCTACTCCTACTCATAACGAAAAAAGTTCTAACCTAGAGCTACACCTTGTATTTTCTTGGGTTATCCTCCCGGTATTAAAGGCTATAAAGTGTATGACCTTCGATCACATAAAGTCTCGGTCTCCGGAGATGTGGTTTTTCATGAGTTTGTATTTCCTTTTTCCTCCTTTGTGCCTTCCTCTTCTTTCACGCATTCCTCTTCCGATAATTCTCCTTGCCATGGATCTTCTACTTCAAACCTATTTGATTTTAGTCGGATTCAACCTTCTCATCATGTTATTTCTCCGGATACACTTGATACACACCCTGCTGTCATTTCTCCTCCTACCATAGAGAGCCTTGGTCCTACTCGTGAATGATGAGCATACGGCCGACAATATTGATTCTCCTTTATCTACTCGTAGATACTACTTGTCTCTACCGATGACATGCATGTTTCCTCTTCCATTCCATCTCTCCCTCCTATTTCTCGAAAATCTTCTAGAGTTAGTAAACCTCCAAAGTATTTAGAAGCATACCAACACTCTCTTTCTCACTCTGTCATGTCCAATAGCTTTATTGTTCATTCCACACCATATCCCATTCACAAGTACATTTCTACTTCCCAATTGTCCCCATCTTATGCTGCATTCACTACATCATTGTCCTCTTGTTTTGAACCTAAAACTTACTTACAAGTCTGTGAAGTTTGAACACCTGGAAAGATGCTATGAAATCCGAGTTAACCGCTCTTGAGGAGAACCACTCTTGGTCCATTGTTCCCCTCCCTCCTGGACATCACACTTGTAGGCTGCAAGTGGGTTTACAAGGTGAAGCTTAAGGCGAGATGACATTGTTGAACGTTATAAGGCCGGACTTACAGCAAACGGATACAATCGGATTGAAGGCTTTGATTATCAAGAAATGTTCGATCCCGTTACTAAACACACCACAATCGAGTTATTCTTAGCTTTGGTCTGCTATTCAGTAGTCGAGTCTTTCTCAACTGGACATCAACAATGCTTTCTTGCATGGTGACTTTGCTTGAGACAGTCTTCATGGACATTCCTCTCGATTATCGGCTCGAGGGGAGTCCGCGAGTACTTCTCCTAATGCGGTTTGTCGATTACATAAGTCATTATATGGACTCAAACAAGCATCTCGACGAGTGGAATGCCAAGTTTACTACTTGCTCTACTTGAGTTTGGTTTTAAACAATCTAAGGCAGATTATTCACTTTTCACCAAGCATTGTTCATCACAACACTTTCTTGCCCTTTTGGTTTATGTTGATGACATTGTCATTGCCGGTAACTCTCCTTCGTTGTAGCTGTTCTTAAGCAATTTTTGAGCTCCAAGCTTAAGCTTAAGGACTTGGGAAATCTTAAATATTTCCTAGGGATAGAGGTAGCTCGGTCTAAGCTTGGCATTCCTATTTGTCAAAGGAAATATGTGCTGGATTTACTTGAGGATTATGGTTTTTCAGCTGCTAAACCTATTTCCACTCCTATGCATCCCAAACGAAGCTTACCCACACATCGGTTGATCTTCTTCTTGATCCTACCGAGTATAGACAACCGGTCGGAAAGCTCCTTTATTTGACTTTTAGCGGACTCGATATTGCATACATTGTCCAAGTTTTAGCCCAATTTATGGACAAACCTACCTTGATGCATCTTGAAGCTGCTCATAGGGTTCTTCGGTTTTTAAAGAATACACCGGGACAAGGCTTATTGTTTTCCTCTAATTCCACCCTTCGATTCTGGGCTTATTCGATAGTGATTGGGTCGGCTACCCCGAAACAAGACGCTCCGTGTCCGGTTTTTGTGTTTTCTTGAGGCAATCTCTCATTAGCTGGAAATCTAAGAAACAACCACTTGTTGCTCGCGATAGCACCGAAGTCGAATATAGGGCCATGGCTGCCGTCACTAGTGAAATCTTATGGCTTTTATATTTGTTGACCGACCTTGGGGTTCCTCACCCTCACCCGAGTTCTCCTTATGTGTGATAATCAATCTACCTTACACATTTGTCGTAATCCAGGTCTATCATGAACGCACTAAGCATATTGAGGTTGATTGCCATTTTATCCGTGAGAAGGTATTAGTTAACTTGTTAGTTAGAGTAGTTATCTAAATCTCTTATTATAAAAACACATAAAATGCGGGTTGTACGGATAATGATAGAGAATCAATTTCATAACAAAGTTTCTCAATTTCTCCACTCTCTCTCGTTCACTCGCTTCGTTGGTTTCTTCTGCTAATCCATAGCTTGCCAGCTACTACATTCTTGATTTGTGAGAAGTTAACTTGTAACAAAAAAAAAAAAAAGTAATACGAGCAAAATGGTTCCTAGCTAAAAACAAAGAGCCATTCAACACCACCGAAAAACCGGATAACTTGTCCTCTATAGATGTTATTGGACATGGCACACATGATTATACTATTTCATGCTGTGGCCAAAAGGTATTCTCTTAGTTGTCTTGCTTGGAAACACCGGACTCGATGCTCGGACAGTACAGAATACAGCACTTTGGATTCTAATCGTTTCAGCTACTATCTATAGTTTTAAATAATGATTGAGGTTGAAAAAAAGTCACAATCGCAATTATGGGTCACGACTTATCGCGATAGTAAAATAACGATCGCCGAAATCGATGTCTTGAATACATTAACAATTGTTAATAAATTTATTTTAATTCATATATTTTTAATAGTTTTACTAATTAAGCATATTAATAAGTAATAACATATTCTAATTTCGATAAATTTATTCGAGTGTTGACTAGGTTTAATGTAAGATATTTTATTTCATAATTTTTTTTCATCATTCTTATCATGATGCAAATTTATTTTTTTATTTTTTCTAATTTTTAGAACAAAAAGGAAAAAAAAGAAAAAGAAAATGACATAAGGTTAAAAAATATGACTAAACAATTGGTTTTGAAACAAGAAGAACCAACTACTTTATTTTTCCAAACTAAAAGAACTAATTTATAATTTACTTAATTAAAGCCTGCATTTATTGCCTAGCACACAAGACGAGACAACCTCAAGTAAATTATACATTAGTCTCTCTAGTTTTGATAAATGAATTAATTAGTTCTTAATGTTTTAAAAACTAATTATTTAATCTTTTGATCATATTTAATATAATATATTTTATTCCACAAAATGTGTTTTTTTATCAATATTTCCATGATATAAATTTATTTTTTCAAACAAAAAAGAAAATTAATTAGGAAATAACATAAAATGAACAAAAATAAATAAATAATTGGTTTTTGAAATAAAAAGGACTAACTAATTTATTTTGTTAAAATAAAAGAACTAATTCAATATTTGTTCAATCAAGCCTACAACTCTAGTATTTGATTCTTATTCTATAATAAAATAAACTCTAAAACTCTAAATCTAAAATGATTAATTTCTGGTTTTTTTTTTTTAATGTATAATGCCATTATATAATGGCAAATAACGGTGTTATTATTATATAATACCGTTATTTAAAGTTATACTTATGAAATAGCATTGGGGTATCCATAACGTTGAATAATAATAACGGAATATTTCGAAACCGTTATAATAGTCGTCATGTAACGTAACAATCATTTTTAAAAACTATGATCAGTCTTTTCTGACTCTCCTTACACTTCGGAACAATATATAAACATGCTGGTATTTTTTATAATCTAACTTGCTAGTATCAATTCTACGTTCTAAGTACCCTGGAAATCATTTGAGGAAGTACCATGTTGAAAATTTTCAGTAAGGAATGACGCTCCAGCCATTTTGAAGGTATTAATCTATCTTCTGTTCTCACCTTGGCGTAAGGGTTCTGTCGCTACAGATATGGCGGCACCTGGTGTAAGTATATTGGCTACTAGTTCTCCTGCATATCCCTTCGCGGCTGGTGGGTTCTCTATTCTTGCTGGAACATCATTTTCCACTCCCTATTTCTCAGAAATTGTGGCACTTCTTAAAGTAATCCACCCCTCTTGGTCCCCTTCTGCTATCAAATCAGCAATTGTCAAAACAGGTACATCCATAACATCAACAACAAGAAAACTTCCTTCTACTTACATGGACAAATTTTATTGCCGTAGTTTTTGGCTTCATCACATATGACTAATTAACCATAAGTCATGATTCTTCTTTTCAGCATGGAAAACTGATCCGCATGGAGAACCTATTTTGGCTAAAGGCTCCTCTCGGAAGCTGGCCGATCCGCCGATCCATTCGACTTGGGAGGTGGCTTGGTGAACCCGAACAAAGGTGCAGAACCTGGTCTTGTTTATGACATGGGCACAAATGACTACATACATTTCCTCTCTGCTGTGGTTTATAATGACACATCTCTCTCTCTTGTTGTAGGAAAAGTAACAATTTGTTCAAGTACCAAACCCTCTATTTTGGATGTCAATCTACCTTCCATTACAATTCCAAACCTGAACAAGTCATTGGTCCTGACTAGAACAGTAAAAAATGTTGGTCCTGTCAAGTGTCAACTCCATAGACAAATCCTTGATTAAACCTCCTTTTGGCATTTCGGTATTTGTCAGACCTAAAAGTTTTGATTTTCAACTCTACCATCAAAACCATTTCCTTCAAGGTTACTGTCTCTAGTCTCTCCAGCCCACAAAGTGAATACTGGTCATTACTTCGGAAGCTTGACTATGACAGATGGTGTGCATGCTGTGACAAGTCCTATATCTGTACGAACACAGAATATACAGTCCTACACTGATTATAACTGAAAAATTAGCCATGTTTGTTAAAAAGTAATTATTTTGTCACTAAAATGTAAGTTTTGCCTTCTTACTCTCTAACTCCGCAGATCATGGATTTAATTCTCATCTTTAAATTTTTTTTTTTTTTGTGTGACATTATATATGAATTACTAGTTACTTCAAAGAATTTGATTCTTAAAATTAATAAAAAACAATAAATTTAGTCTCGATTAATTTAAAAATTAACTTAAGAATACTTCATTACTTGTAAAAAGAAAAAAAGAAAAAAATTAAAATCTTCTAGCAGGTCAGCAGGCAACCTGCATGCCAAGTTCAAAATTTGGATAATTAAATTCTTTTTTTCTTGGGTTTTTTTTTTCTCCATATAAAGTAGAGGGTTCATTTCACATATCACAAATCATTAAGTTCATCTCTATGATTGCAATAGAAAAAGTCAAATGATTATGTCCAGTGGTTTTAACTATGATTAGACAGCAACCCGCCTATTAATTTCACATTGACAGGGGTAGTTAGCCATGGCCAAGGATTGGTAGAAGATTTATTTCTCAGCTGATCAGGAAAGGCCTTGAACAGATATTGTTCTCTAGAAACATAATCAGCCAAGAGCAACTATTTTTATTTTGCACGAGTTTTTTACAACTAGAGAAAGGACTGGCTCCCGACCCACAGACAAAAGAGACTAGAAAATAAAGACTTCCATACAAAATTGTAGTGCAACTCTTTATGTCACCTATAAAGATAATGGAAAACCAAAAGACACATAAGCCGGCATACTTTATTATTATGTATCAAGCAACTGCATGTTGACATAAAAAGTAAATATTCTAAACTATAGATATATGTATAGGATTTGTTTATTGAGAATTTTACATGTAGCTGAAAACAAATACCCATTCAACAATACTGAAAAACCAGATAACCTGTCCTCTATAGATGTTATCGGACATGGCACACATGTGTCTACTATTTCTGCTGGCTCTCTTGTCGGTAATGCAAGGTATGAATGTAACGCCCCCGCCTCGGTCATATTTCTACTACCCAAGTAGGATACTAGACGAAGCGCGTTACGGCGACATACCCTAAACTCTAAGTAGTTTTCTTATGATATTCTTAGGACTTTAACGAGTACATTACGTATATAACTCCTTAAGATAAAATTTACATAACATAATTAAATACATTAATAAAACATTACGGGCGATATTCAATTTCTCACGAACTCCATACCCCAAATTTACGGACAAAATAAAAACTAATAAATGGTGCCTCATATGAGCCAATTAGGAGGAGCCGACCGCATCCGTACCAACTTGTCATTTTTCCGTCAAGACATAAAAAAATAACAACGGGGTGAGCCGAAGCTCGGTAAGCGGGGTGATGCACGTGATATGCAATGTTGTTTTGACTTCCCACCATACTCATAAATTTTAATCTCGGGTACCACGAGTATTAGTCGATCTACTCTATTTATCATCCGGGTGGTCCGCAGATCACCTTCTGCTACAATGGAATTATCCCTCGTTGTAACTACTGTTAGCGGGAATCTATCGTCTAACGAGTGCAAGCACACGACTTGATTTCATCCGGATGATCCTCGGATCATCTTCCGCTACAACGGAATTATCCCTCGTTGTAACTACTATTAGCGAAAATTCATCGTCTAATAGTGCGAGCACACGACCTAGAGTATTAGACTACTAATACCCATTTATTTTTAATTCGGTTACCAAACCGTGTCATTTCATGACTCGATGATTTTTCTCGACTTATTCCACCTGCAATGCACGTGATGTACGTGATGACATGTTTAATCACATTCAACTAAACTCGGGTACCAACCCTTCTTTCTTAAGTCATACTCATGGTTCAACCAATACTCGGGATTCACCCGTCGCTCACATACCAATCATGGTACTCATAACGGGAACACAATCTCCGCTCATTAATATTGTTCATTAGTTTCATTAATATTTAAAAGAAGGTCCAAGTCCATTTACTTTAATCCGAGCCCATTAACTTTATCCTAGGTCCATTGACTCTATTTAATTCTATTTTATTTAGTCCAAGCTCATTTAGTTTATTCCAAACCTATTAATTTTGTCCAAGTCTCATTTTTCTGGTTTTAGGGTTTATTACCGGGCAACTCCTAATCGAGTAAATAATTTTCTAATTTCAGAACATAATTAAATCTTACCCATTTTATTTTAGATACTAGACATATTTATTTATAACATATCCAAAAATTAGGTCTAAATACCAATTACACAATTAATTATAAATTTTTGAAACTTAGGGAGCAATCTGCCTAATAGTGATTTATCTAGAGCTATCCATACTAAATCGGGTATAACTCCTTGTACAAAATCCAATGATCAAGAAATTTTAAAGGGAGTTAGTTGAAACATAGATGAACAACTTTTATGCTTTAAGTTTCACCTAGAAATCGATCTAAAATCCTTGAATATACACCCCAAAATTCGGACAGAATTGACTCCTTCTCAACACTAATTTTTATTAGTTCATTCCAAGCCAACTTTAAACATGTTTTAGTTCACTTAAATTTAGTCCAAGTTCAATCCAACCCATCACCACATACTTGGACATTTTTCAAAACATCATAACATCATAAATCATCACAACAAGACATCCATACATAGATTTATCCCAAGCATCAAGCATATAACCATTGAAAATTATTACAACCCATGAAATAAACACTAACAAAATAACTTTAAAAAAATAATTTAAGACATTAATCAGCTAAAATAAATGAAACCTACTTACCTCTTTTAGGTTTGATTAGAATTTCTTTAGCTCTTTTTCTTTCCTTTTTCCCTTTTCTTTCTCTTTTCTTTCTTTCTCTCTTTTTGCTGTTTTTCTCTCTTCAATTTGGCTTCTCTTTTGAATTCTGGATGGCTACGGTTTTGGCCTAAAAATGGCAGCCATTTAACCCTCTCTTTCCCTTATATACCCACCTTTTATCCTCTCATTTATTTATATCATAAGTGTTAAAATTTAACTAGGCTAAATGTAAAGTGGAGGATGCTTGGAAGGCAAAGCTGGCATGTTTGGGAAGTCAAAGGTGATGATTTGGCTTCTAAGCATTTAATTCAAGTGCTTAGGTGGCTAAAGAAAACTTAGGATAAATAAAAACATTAATAAGCTGGGTTAATGTAATTAGACAAATTTCTTTCATCAAAAATTCTGAAATTTCCATTTTTAAAATTCGGAATTTCTTTTCCTCCTAAAATTCCAGCAGTGTTTCCTCCTAACCCATCTATACTAAAATGTGCATAACTCTTTCTATATGTATCCAAAATTTATGAAATTTTATATAGAGCTAGTAAACACATAGACAAACAACTTTTATTCTTTACGTTTTTCTCAAAAATCAATCTAATAGCATCAAATAAATCTCACAAGATTCGGGCAGATTCTTCTCTCAAAATTCTAGCAGAATGCATTTCGAAACAACCCTCACTATAATTGGTATAACTCTTAATGTATAGGTCCAAATATTATAAAATTTTATACAGGCCTATTAAACACATAGATGAACAACTTTCATTCTTTAAGGTTGACCCAAAAATTACTCTAAAGTCCTCAAATAATTCACATAAAACTCGGGCAGAATATAGTCCTTAAAACACTGATTTTGCATATTTGATTTCTTTAATAATTAAACCATTAATCTTAAGCACAATAACTTTAATTTAACATAAATCACATATTTCAAGCATTAATTTCTCATGATGAAATGAGAATTATACTTACTCTTAATATACATATATATAGAATTATTCTAATACACGTCACATTACGGATAAGGGTTTTTACGGGGATTACAATGAAGGCCTTATACCTTCAATATGCTGATCAGCTGATTTATTTAGAGCCTTTGATGAAGCAATGCATGATGGAGTTGACCTGCTGTCCCTTCCCATTGGCAGCATTATTCCTCTATTTTCAGATGTTTATGAACGTGATGGGATCGCCACTGGTGCGTTTCATGTTAGTTGTGCTGCTGGAAACACCGGACCTGAAGAATACAACACTTTGGATTCTAATCGTTGCAGCTACTATCTATAGTTTTAAATAACGATTGCGTATCACAATATATAGTGGTAATAAAATAACAATCGCTTCAATTGATATTGTGAATATGTTAGTAATTATTAACAAAATTTATTTTAATTCATATATTTTTAATAGCTTTATTAATCAAATATATTAATAAGTAATAACATATTTTAATTTTTCTAAATTTATTCAGCGTTGATTATGTTTAATTTAAGATATTTTATTTCATCTTTTTATTTCTTTAATTTTTAGAACAAAAAGGAAAAAAATTAAAAAATAACATAAAATTAAAAAATATAACTAAATAATTGGTTTTTGAAACAAAAAAGACCAACTATTTTATTTTTCCAAACAAAAGGAACTAATTTATAATTTACTCAATTAAAGCCTGCATGTGTTCCCCGAGCATAGAAGACAAACAACCTCGAAGTAAATTATACATTAGTTTATCTAGTTTTGATAAATGAATTAATTAATTCTTAATGTTTTAAAAACTAATTATTTAATCTTTTGATCATGTTTAATATAATATATTTTATTTCACAAAATTTTTTTTCATCAATCTTTTTATGATATAAATTTATTTTTTCATTTTTTCAAACAAAAAAGAAAATAAATTAGAATATAACATAAAATGAACAAAAATAAATAAATAATTGATTTTTAAAATAAAAAGGACTAACTAATTTATTTTGTCAAAATAAAAAAATAATTTAATATTTATTCAATCAAGCTTGCAACTCTAGTATTTGATTCCTATTCTCTAATAAAATAAACTCTCAAACTTTAAATCTAAAGTGGTTGATTTCTTGGTTTTTTTTTTTTAAATATATAACGTCCTTATATAATGGCAAATAACGACGTTATATAACAATAATACCGTTATTTAAAGTTATACTTGTGAAATTATGTTGAGACATCTATAATGTTGAATAACGATAACGAAATGTCTCGAAATCGTTATATAACAACCATTACGTAACGTAATAGTCTTTTTTAAAAACTATGATCGGTACTTTCCTACTCTCCTTATACTTTGGGAACAATTTAAACATGCTGGTATTTTGTATAATTCTAAGTACCCTGGAAATCATTTGAGGATGTACCAAGTTGAAAATTTTCAGTTCCGAATGACGCTCCAGCCATTTTGAAGGTACTAATCTATCTTCTGTGCTTACCTTGGTGTAAAGGGTTATGTAGCTACAAATGGAAAAATCCAAGTTAGTTAATGCCTTTGTGCTCCACGGCCAGATATAGCAGCACCTGGTGTAAGTATATTGGCTGCTAGTTCTCCTATATATCCCTTCGAGGCTGGTGGGTTCTCTATTCTTGCTGGAACATCATTTTCCACTCCCCATTTCTCAGAAATTATGGCACTTCTTAAGCAATCCACCCCAATTGGTCCCCTGCTGCTATCAAATCAGCAATTGTCACAATAGATACATCCACAACCTCAACAACAAGAAAACTTTCTTCTACTTACATAGACAAATTTTATTGCCGTAGTTTTTGGCTTTATCACATATGACTAATTAACCATAAGCCATGATTCTTCTTTTCAACATGGAAAACTAATCCATATGGAGAACCTATTTTGGCTAAAGGCTCCTCTCGGAAGCTGGCCGATCCATTCGACTTTGGAGGTGGCTTGGTCAACACAAAACAAAGCTGCAGAACCTGGTCTTGTTCATGACATGGACACAAATGACTACGTACATTTCCTCTCTGCTCGGGGTTATAATGACTCATCTCTCTCTCTTGTTGTAGGAAAAGTAACAACTTGTCCAAGTACCAAACCCTCTATTTTGGATGTCAATCTACCTTCCATTACAATTCCATACCTGAGCAAGTCAGTGGTCCTGACTCCATGTACAAATCCTTGATTAAGCCTCCTTTTGGCTTTTCGGTATGTCTCAGACCTAAAATTTTGATTTTCAACTCTACCATCCAAACCATGTCATTCAAGGTTACTGTCTCTACAACCCACAAAGTGAATACTGGCTATTACTTCGGAAGCCTGGCCTGGACAGATGGTGTACATGCTGTGACAAAGTCCTATATCTGTAAGAACACAGATTATACAGTCCTACACTCATGATAACTGAAAAATTAGTCTTATGATAAGTAACTTGTAAATGCTGCTGGATGTTTTAGAGAGTTCCATTCTTAAAATCTATTAAAAGTTAAATATAATATGATGATAATCTAATCCAAAACATAATAAATTTAATTTCGATTGATTCAAAAACCAACTTTAAAATATCTCATAACTTGTAAAAGAAAAAAAAAAAATCTTCTAGCAGGTCAGCAAGCAACCTGCATGCCAAATTCAAAATTTGGATAATAATTTTTTTTCCATGTTCATTTCTCATATCACCAATCATTAATTTCATCTCTAATGATTGTTTGCAATAGAAAAAGTCAAATGCTTACGTCTAATGGTTTTAACTATGATTAGACAGCAACCCGCCAATTAATTTCATGTCGACGGGGGTAGTTAGCCATGGCCAAGGATTGGCAGAAGATTTACTTCTCAGCTGATCAGGAAGGGCATTGGACAGATCTTGTTCTCTAGAAACATAATCAGCCAAGAGCAACTATTTTTATTTTGCACAAGTTTTTTACAACTAGAGAAAGGACTGACTCCCGACCCGCAGACAAAAGAGTCTAGAAAATAATGGCTTCGATACAAAATTCTAGAGCAACTCTTCAAGTCACGTATAAGGATTATGGAAAATCAAAAGACACATAAGCAGGCATATTTTATTATTATGTATCGAGCAACTGCATGTTGACATCAAAAATATTTTAAACCATAGAAATATGCATAGGATTTGTTTATTGAGAATTTTACATGTGGCTGGTATCAACTGACATATAAAAAACAGTTTGAATCAAAATTAGAGAAAACTGTAATTTTAATTTTAATTTTTTTATTTTTTTTGTTAGAGTGTTTAATTTTTTATTTTACCTATTTGAATGATTACATTTTTTTTTTTTAATTTGAGTGTATTTCATTACATGAGACTGTTAAATACAACTGAGATCAATATACACTAATACTTAACCATTTTGTACTAACATGTACAAAAAAGTATTGCTCAAAATTATTTTTTAGAAACAAATATATATAAAAAAGAAAAGAGATGGTAGAAATTCAAAACAAAAAATAGAAAAGATATATAGAAACACTAAAAAAGTTTTGAAATATTAATATTGTATCAACTCAGCATCCTTCTTAAAAGTTTCTTGTTTCGAAGACATTTTTCATCACTCATCTCGTTTAGTAATAAATAGCTCATAAAATAATATCATTTTCTTTTTGCAAGGTCTTATGGCATTCTTATTTTATTGTTGGTTTAATGTATTAGAAAATCACAAATTTATATTTTTATGCATTTTATCTCATTTTTTCAATTTTGAATAAAAGGTCATGAACTAAGCTTTTTATAGCAATACTTGCATTGTGAGTTTTTTCAGTTTCAATTTTGACCAAAGCTGATATGGTGCATGACAAAGCATGACAACTTGGCTCATTGTGCCATATAGGATCCATATGGATTTTTCCTCAATTCTCCCTTTTGTTATAAGGGAACCCCAGAAGAGAGAAACATCAGTTCACCCTACCGCCAAAGGCTAAGCTCCAGTAGTCCTTCCCCCTGCCACTAAACTTTTTGTCCAGCCATAGCCCACTCTCCCTCGCTATGCCAAAGCCACCCTTCATCTAAAACCATTGGCCAATCGATCTCCACTGTCATAAACCTATCAACCTTAACCCATCATAGTCACCTCTCAACAGAGCTTTCTCTCACCTATAACCCATAACCACCACCTCTCGTTGTTAACCACTGCCACTAAACATCAGCCTCTTCTATGTCGTCACTAACCACTCCATCCATCAAAACCCTCATCGAATCTCTCTCTCCCATTAGCCACTAGCCTCACCGAACATCTCTCTTTTCTGTCAACCATGCCAATCAACACTCTTCATGCCATTTCCCTTCTCCACCAAAATCACACCTACCATAAAAAATTCAAAACAATTCCAATTCAGTCACAAAATAAAAATGAATTGTAAAAGAGAGAAATTAGTGATTAAGGAAGACTTACTTTTTGAAGAAGTGTGGAATCGAAGGAGTCTTGGAGGGGAATTAAATTCCTTTCTTTTTGGAGAGAAGAAGAGGAGGAGGAAATGATTGCAGTAGAGAAGCTTAGAGTTTCCATAGCAAAAACGGAGAAGAAACATGAATGTTTTTGCTTTGGTGAAGGGCAGTTGATTTAGCAATGGAGGATGTCGAGTTTGTGGGTTTCAGGGCTAGTTATGGTTGGTGATGCTTCGAGGCTACTATGGTGGCTATGTAGGTTAATGGGTTTCAAGGCTACTATGGTGGCTTTTAGGGGCGGTGGTTGCTGTGCATGGAGGAGAGGAGCAATTCGTTTGATAGTAGAGGATGTCGAGCTTGTGGGTTTCGGAATTGATTGTTATGGGTGATGACAACAGTGGGTTTTGGCTAATGGTGGCTGAAGGCCATGGTTGGTATAAGGGGTTCAACTATGATTATGTGGGTGGTAGCTAAGGTTTTATTTTTTAGGAAAAGATGAATAGTCCCTCTTGGCTGATAGAATGAGGGAGATTTTGGGAATTTTCTTCAATTAATAAGCCACGTGGATCCTAAGTGAAATCCTACGTGCTACATTCAGCTAAGTTATCATCTTTTATCACACACTACATTAGTTTTGATCGAAATTTAAGCTGAAAAAACTCACATGTGTTAATATTATTATCAGAAGTTTAGTTCGTGACCTTTTCTATCTAAAATTGAAACAATAAAATAAAATGCTTAAAAAGTATAAAATTCATGATTTTCTAGTACACTAAGCCTTTATTTATTTATTTTTACTTAACATATAATCAACTAACCTTTTGATCCTTTATTCTATACTCGACTTCAAATGATCTTTGAAAAGTGTGTGCAAGGAGTACAAAATTAATTTTTATATTTTATTTTATTCTTAATAATTTCAAATAGAATTCATCTTTTGTTACATGTGAGTATAAAAAGGCCAAATGTGAATTGATACCTGCCACATCAACATTTAATAGTCTTTAAGTGATGGAGTGCACTTAAATAAAAAATAATAATCAGAGATTAATCCCTCAAATAGGTAAAATAAAATAAAATTAAGTATTCAAACAAAACAAAAATCAAAGGTTAGTAACTAAAGTTATAGTTTTTTCTAATGGATTTACATTTTATCACATGTTCGTACAAAACAGCCTCATGTTAGTTGATATCAATCACATCAGTATTTAACAATCTCACGAGACAAAATGCACTCAAAAAGAAAAAAATAAATCAAAGATTGGTTACTCAAATAGGTGAAATAAAGGTTAAACACTCAAATAGAATAAAAATAAAAAATTGAGCACTTTCTTATTGTTTTCTTTTCCATGCAATTTAATATATATATATATATATATATATATATATATATATATATATATATGTATGCACATCTCTATATGTATAACTCCTTAGAGTTCACTCACATAGATCTTTGTGATTTATCACTCAGCGCAAACTCTATAAATTTGTTAATTGTAATTAGTCAACGTAAAATCACATATCTACTATTTAATGAAAACTTAATTGTTTAAATTTGATTTGGAGTTTTATGGTTTTTACAATCGGATATAAGTCCTTGAGACTTATTTATTAATTTAGTTAGTTTTCCTGGCTCCTTACTTATGTAGACTTATTGTGTTTAAATGTTTTAAAAACTTCATGATTCTTCTTGATTGCGAAGTAGTTGTCAGTTTCTCCGTGAATTGGATTCTAAATAATAGAAGAAGTCTTTCAGCTCTATCGAAGAAAGGAAGATATTTATATTGATGACAATAACATTTTTCAATAAAAACAACTTATTATCCTCTCTATTGTATAGCTCACTCGATTAAAAACAATAAAAAAACACTCTGACAAATAACATTTAAACATAGAAATAGTTCAAAAAGAGAGAAATTTTGATTTAGTCAACAAGAACCATTTTCATGGGGCAGAAGCATTTCAACTACTTGTCTCATGGTGGGTCTTGCATCTTTGTCTTCGTTTACACATTTCAGAGCCACCATAACCAGAATTTCCATCTTGTCTTTATCATATTTGCCCTCCAACTTGGGGTCCGCGATCATTTCTATCCAAGAATCCTTTGCAGTATTGTCCTTCTCCTTTTCTCTCACCCATGTGACCAACCTTTCGTGCTCTATCTCCATTGCTGGACTCTTTCCAGAAGCAATCTCTAACAACACTATACCATAGCTATAAACATCAACTTTGGAGGTGATTGGCAGATTGAAAACCCATTCTGGAGCCATATAACCTCTAGTTCCTCTTATCATTGAGAAATTTGAATTTACACCTCTACTAGTACTCCCTCTTTTAAGAGGGCGAGACAGGCCGAAATCAGAAACCTTTGGCTGATAGTTGGAGTCTAGGAGTATGTTTTGAGGCTTTACATCACAATGCAGAACCCATTCTACACACTCTTCGTGTAAATAAGCAAGGCCTTTTGCGGTGCCTACCGCAATTTCAAACCGCTTTTGCCAATCAAGTGCATTGGAAGCCAGATTGTCTGCTAAGGATCCATGCTCCATGTAACTGTAAACCAAGAGCCTATGCTTTCCTTCTGCACAATATCCCCACATCTCTATCAAGTTCATATGATTAAGCTTCCCGATAATGCTAAATTCTGCTCGGAACTCTGCCTCTCCTTGGTTAGCTTCATTAAGTTTCTTAATTGCTGCAACTCTATGATCCGAAAGTACTCCTTTGTATACAGTTCCTCCTCCACCTCTTCCAATCTCTTCGCTGAAACCCCGGGTTGCCTTTTTGAGCTCAGAAAATGTGAATTTTCTGAAGCTGGTTGCGATGCCGATATAACCTTGGTTGTTTCGGGTTCGTAACAAGAAAAACAACACGGAGAAAACGAGGAGAAACTCGACCACTCCAACTCCGCAAGCAAACCAAAGAACAAAAATTAGTGATCCATTTTGATGGCCTTTTGAGTATGTTCTGTTTATAAGTTTGACAGCGTCAACAGCAGAACAATCTAACCTGAATTCTTCAACTGTTGTATTGGAGGAGACACTGGTTTTTGCCACTTTCAAATAGAAGTCTTCCTCGAAGTTTGCTGATTTAGCTCCGTTTAGTAATGCACTCTTCAGGTAACAATAAGGAATGTTGCTTGGATAGTAGTGTTTGCTGAATCTGATCTGGAATCCCTTGCAATTGCATATCTGTGAGCATAGCTCCTTACACATCGGCACGGTGTAATTGATGAAGAAGCCGTAATCATACCCGAAAAACTCAACTTTAGCTAGTTGAAGATAACTGATCTCATCTCTGCTACAAGAGGTATGATTCAATTCAGCTTCACAGCCCAAAGACCAGTCAGAATGATCCTTCACCTTGAATCCTGGAAGACATGAACATTTCCTGCCAGAACTGGGGACATAGTTACACATACTGTTAGGCCCACAAATCCCATGAATCCTGCAAGGTTGAGACATGGCTTGCCATGAAACTGTCCATGTGTTGGTCCAGTTTTCTCGACTGTACATTCGAAGATTACCATCAAAATCCATTTTCAATCTTCTCTGAACCCTCATTCCGTAATCCTCTGACATGAAGGTGAAATTATCTGATGAAATAAATTTGCCCAAAGAATCAACAAAAGCAATTCTATTGTTGTTGAAAGTGGACCTCCCATTATCCCAGCTCAAAATCCATTGGTCTGGCCAGTAAATGCTTGAAGTGTCAGGACCATCATAACGAAGACGGAGGACATTATCATCACTAGCAAAATGGAACTTATAGAATCCCGAAGAGTAGTTGGTTCGACTTCTTGAGGAGACAAGCTGGCTGTCTTTGGAGAGCAATTGCTGTGGAAGGAGAGTATCTGTAGGAAAAATAAAGCTTTGCCATAGTACTCTAACGCCGTCACCATCTGTTTCGCATAACAAGAGATTACCATTGTCATAGAGGTACAAGCTCACCGAGGATTGTGAAACAGTGTTACTAGCCCAAACTGTGGACTGACCAGCATCGCTTATGACAAGATTACCAGAAAGAAGCAGGGAGAGCTCCGACTTTTTTCCATTAACTGGCTGGTCACGGTTCGCCATCCAGACTATGGTGCAGTTGGCACCGCAGGAAGGATGTTCGTTAAACCATATAGCAAAGTAGTATGCATTGTCAGCAACGGGGAAAAATCCCGCTGAGAAAATGCCACTGGGCGATGTCATGACATCATTTCTGTTCTCGACTGACAATGATGAGCCTTTGCTTAAAGTATCATACGATGCTGAGGATGGAGAGATTAAAAATGAAAGAAGCTGAAGAAGCAAGAAAAAATATGGTATGGCCATGAAATAGTGTAAACTATATGATAATGTTTTAGAGTACTCGGGCAAGTTTGAGCTAGTTTATTACTCCTGCAGCTACTTATAGAAATTCTTTGACATAAGGAAATCCATAACCTTTTATAGAAGCAGCCACAACAGTTAATGTCAACATGGAATTGAACTGATGATGTGATCTTTGGCCTAATTGTCAAAGTTACATGTGCTGGTGGTTGACAAAGAAGGGAACATTGTGCAAGCTAAAATTAATGCTAGGGAGAGATTTTGGATTTCCTCACACCCTGCACACTAGGGAGTAAAACTGTCATAATTCCTTACAGTAAGATCCGATTCACGCAACGTTTGAATCGTAGGAAGCTACACATATTTACCTTTTTATTGGTATACTACTTGTTAGGTGGTTTGCTGGAAATCATTACGCTTTTGCTTTTGAACTTGTGATTTGTCAGGATAATCCTCTGTTTTCGGACATGTTTTTTGTTGTTTATGAACCCTCTTCTAGCATTTTTCCAAGTTCAAAGCCCACCATTCTGTAGGTAAACCTACCTTCCGTTACCATTGTAATCCTGAGAAACTCAGCTATTCTGACTAGTACCTGTAAAAAATGTCGGTCCTGTCCACTCTATATACAAATCTTTGGTCGAGCCTTCTTTTGGCATTTCTGTATCTGCAAGACCCGAAATTTCAGTTTTCAACTCTGCGGTCGAAACAATCTCTGTCAAGGCTACTGTCTCAACCATCCTAAAAGTGAATACTGGATACCATTTAGGAAGACTGCACTGGACAAATGGACTGCACACTGTAACAATTCCCATACGCTGGTGACAACTGAAGAACAAGCCCTCTGAAGAAAAAAATTCTGCACAATTTGATGGCATTATCAAGTATTATGGTGTGTATCTTACCTAAAAGCCAGTATGAAAATTGAAATAACCGTGTTCTGATTGAAACTTTCTAGCCCCTAAATCATGAAATTTTCACACAGAGCCTTGGATTGACCCAAAACTGTTTAGATAACAACGCTGAAGCAAATTGGATAAAGCGAACGGTAATATTCAGCAATTTTGTGAAGGAATACGTACTTGCAAAAGTCAATCACGGTAAACACTCCATGCTTCCCTAGCAATTCAATGAGCCAATTTAACTTACAACTTACAATCAACAAGTATAAAGGAATATAAACGCATCATTACGTTCAACAGTTGACAGCACTTAATTATTGGGAAATATAGGGTAAATAGTTCAATCTGTACCTTTATATAATATCTTCAGTTTTTCATCTCTCTCTATATTTTTAATTTCCATCTCATCTATTTTTAAAATTTTTGAAATGTTCAATTTGTCTTTCTAATTAATTTTTTCGACAATAAAATTTTTTTTTAAACTGTAATGCCTCACGTGAAGTTAAAAAAAAATTCTAAAGAATTTTTTTTAAAAAAAAGCATGCAAATTATGTGATTTATTATTATTATTATTATTATTATTATTATTTGCATTTCAATAAAAGACAATTTCTATAAAAAAAAATTATAGTTGGAAAATTGATCAAAGTGAGCAATTGAATATTTCAAAAAATTACAAATATAGATGGAATGTAATTAAAAATTTAAGAATATGTGAGAGATTCAGAGTATTATATAAAAACATATTGAGCTATTAACACAAAAATATATGGCAAGATACTCAACACAACAAAAGGCTCATTCCATGAATATGCTAATAGGCAAAACCAAGCTTTCAGTACATGGAATTACCTCACAACAATACCAATCTTTGTATGTACTATGGCAACCAAAGTCATGTTTCTTGCAAGTTTTTGGCTCCTAAATTTCTTTTAAGGAAGCTGTTTTATTGCATAAGAATAAGCTTATTAGAATGAAAATATATACAATTTTCTTATAAACAGGATCCAATTGAGGATGATTGAAACTTTTAGGATCAAATTAATATTTGTTTTCTTTTTTAAAACTCAATTGAGAAGGGATATACAGATTAGGAAATAATTTTGATATGTAAAAGTTTTACACACTAAAATGTTCGACAAAATTCCAACAAGAAGTTTGCGGTTAAATAGTCTGAATATGGTTTTGAGAGTTCATCATTGTGAAAATGTTTGATGGAAACGTTATGGCTTGAGTAAATTATAAATTAGTCCCTGTAGTTTTAAAAAATAAATTAATTAAGCTTCTTTTTCAAAAAAACTAATTATTTAATTCATTAACTAATATTGATTACCTTTAATTTAATATTATTTTCTTTTAAAAATGTTTTATTTTTACATCAATCTTTACATAATATCTAATTATTTTTTTAGAAAAAAAAACTAGGAAAAAGAATATAAATGATGAAAAGGATTAAATAATTATTTTTTGAAAAAGGAGACTAATTAATTAATTAATTAATCTGAATTTGGTTTTGAGAGTTTATCTATGTGAAAATGTTTGATGCCCATGTTATGGCGTCAGTAAATTATAAATCAGTTGTTCTAATTTTGAGAACAAATTAATTAATTAGTCTCTTTTTTCAAAAACTAATTATTTATTATGGTTAATTTAATATTAATTTATTCTAAAAAAGCCTTATTTTCTCATCAATATTTATATAATATCTATTTTTTATTTTTTAGAATAAAAATAAATTATAAAAAAACATAAAAAGGACAAAAAGAACTAAACAATTAGTTTTTTTTTTTTAAAAAGGGGACTAATTAATTTGTTTCTCAAAACTAGAGGGACTAATTTATAATTTACTTGCTATGGTGCATATGCTTGTTTGGCTGACCAATGGGCACCTGAGTAGGCAAAGTCAGTTGACAGAGGAAATGCTTATGTAGACTTCCATCTTGAGTTTCTGAAGATGTAGAACTTGGAAGGGGAGGCTTGAGATCAGCTTTTCAAAATGCAACACTAGCAAGTATATAGAGGACTACTTTAGCCAGAAAAGAATTTCTTAGCAGCCACTATCATTTATATATATATATCTTTGCTTGTTTTTTTTTTTTTCAATCAAGTGTAGGGTTACGCAGAATTTTCATAGGCGTAGCCTTGATTGACCAAAGCCGTCTGGCATTCCATTTGGCATGACACTTAAGTTACGGTTCAACTCTTACCTCCTAAGAAAATCTCTTCTCATGTTTTCAAAGCCTGATTTGAACAGATGGATGGCTTGCTGTGGCCAAGGCCATAAATATTTCAAAATGATAACAACTGAAGATTCACTGGCTGCCTACAGAATAGAAGGTTCAGCCGAAAAGATTGAATCTTGCCAAATTTTACGAGCCAAGAGAATTATCTTCAAGGTTGCTCTTTTGACTACCCAATAGGTGATGTTAACTTGCGTGGCTGTGTAGAATTCTCTCTCCCATATCAGAACTGAAGTTCCCTCTTCATCACTGAAAATAAGACTAAGATTTCACATCATTGTTGTTATCTTAGTTTTTTGGTTTTTGTTAAGATATTACTCCAATAGGGGACAATCAAATCATTGATTTTCAAAAGCTATGAAAAGTTTAACCTTTCATTTTCTGCTAGTTCCTTCCCCCCACTTCGTTTGAGTTGCCAAATTTTACAAGCAGACCCTCACAGAGTAATAAACTTTCTTGCCAAATTCCTTGGGGTTTCAGAATTTGGTCTTCAGCTTATGCTCCAAGAGATTTCTGATTTTCTATTTCCAAGTTCTTAATCTCTTGTTAGCTTGTATCTTCCTCTAGAAATCCGAAACATTGACAGATAATATGGGAAAAACAGGTCCAATATGTGCGTTGGTTAGTCTTCTTTTCCTTCTGTATGGCCAAGGCATCATGATGACAAAAGTGGAGGCCACTAGCAAGGTATGTAACTTTCATGAATCAGTAGACCATCTATTCTTGTCCATAACGGAGGAGGTACATATTACTTTGTGGCTATAAATTTGTTTGCTTTATCAAACAGGTTCATATTGTTTATCTAGGAGAGAAGCAGCATGATGATCCTATTCTGAATACAAATTCACATCATGATATGCTTGCTAGCGTTGTGGGGAGGTATGGTAAACTTCGTTAAAATTTTGGCATGAGATATTGTATGTTCATTACTTCATTGAGGATAATTCAGAATCAAAATCAGTTTTATTCTGCAGCAAGGAAATGGCCTCAGAATTAATGGTGTACAGCTACAAACATGGCTTCTCTGGGTTTGCAGCCAAGCTTACAGAGTCTCAGGTTCAAAAAGTTGCCGGTACTTACGCAAACATTACTTCTTCTAGCCTCATTCTTGTTTTCCTCTCTAGTTCAATCAATGCAATCAGTAGTTCAGTACTGATATGATAATGTTCAAGTGTTAGCAAGCCATGGACTGTTGTTTGTGATACTATGCCTAGATTTTGATACACTGCAAATTATTAGAACTGCCTGGAGTTGTTCGAGTAATACCAAACAGTCTTCACAAGCTACAAACCACAAGGAGTTGGGATTTCCTTGGCCTCTCTTCTCATTCTCCTGTTAATGCTCTTCACAACAGCAGCTTGGGAGATGGAGTTATCATAGGGATCTTTGATACAGGTTAGATGTCTCTTCTGTCTCTCCCTCCCTCTTGCTTATGCATAAAAAGAAATTCTGAAGTACTCTGATGAACAGGAATATGGCCTGAGTCTAAGGTTTTCAGTGATGAAGGGCTTGGACCTATCCCGTCGCGTTGGAAAGGTTCTTGTGAACCTGGGAAGCAGTTTAATCCTAAAATCCATTGCAACAGGAAAATCATTGGAGCCCGTTGGATCATTGATGGATTTCTTGCAGACTACGGTCAGTCATTAAACACATCTGGGAACCAGGAGTTCTTATCACCAAGAGATGCAAATGGACATGGGACTCACGTAGCCAGCACTGCAGCTGGTGCTTTTGTTCACAATGTTAGCTACAAAGGCCTTGGTGCGGGGACAGTAAGAGGTGGCGCACCCCGTGCTCGGTTGGCTATATACAAGGCTTGTTGGGGTATTTTTGGATGCTCATCGGCTGATGTGTTGAGAGCTTTTGATGAAGCGATACATGATGGGGTTGATGTGTTATCTCTGTCAATGGGGTATTCTACTCCTCTATTTTCCGATATTGACGAACGTGATGGCATCGGTATCGGTTCCTTTCATGCTGTGGCCAAAGGAATCACAGTTGTATGTTCGGCTGGAAATGATGGACCTTCTGCTCAAACAGTCATTAATACTGCACCTTGGATTTTAAGTGTTGTAGCAAGCAGCATTGATAGAGCATTTCCTACTCCAATAACACTTGGAAACAATAAAACTTTCCTGGTACATCTTCATTGAAGTAAAAGCTTGCATTTTGGGTTTTAACCACAAACCGTAGCCACCATTATTATTAGATCAATAGGCTCCGATGTTGAACTTTTCACATAAATCTGGCAGGGTGAAGCCATCTTTACCGGAAAGAACATTGGTTTTAGAAGCTTGATTTACCCAGAGGGCAAGGGACTGGTCCGCAACTCTGCAGGGTAGTTTGAGTTATTGGATTACATGAACATGCACTTACGGTTATTTCAGAATATGCATCACACCAGGATTCATTGACTAATTTCTCTGGTATGCAGTGTCTGTGAATCTCTCTCACTTAATGCTTCTATGGTAGCTGGGAAGGTGGTTCTCTGCTTCACCGCAGTTACTAAGATCCCAGGAACGATTGTATTAAGTGCTGCAGAAGTTGTGAAGGAAGCAGGTGGAGTGGGCTTGATTGTTGCCAAGAATCCCAGTAATGACATGTATCCCTGCACTGATGGATTCCCATGTATTGAGGTCGACTATGATATTGGAACACGGATACTCTTCTACATTCGTTCAACCAGGTAACATCATCTTTGTTATTACCTTAGCTTCATGATTGCCAGAACTAGGTTGCTTTTTGATCCTTACATCATGTGTCCAATTGTCCATGTCTGTTTGATTGCCACTACACAGATTCCCTGAAGTGAAGCTGAGCCCTTCTAAAACAGTTGTGGGCAAGCCAGTGCTGGCAAAGGTGGCTCATTTTTCATCTAGAGGGCCTAATTCAAAATCTCCTGCAATTCTGAAGGTAGACTATACTTCTTAAATTTTTGCAGCGAGCACGATGCACAGGCTCATGTTTGTGAGCTGCAGGAGCTGGCAAAGGTTATCCTGCATGATATTTTCCATTTCTACTAATTTGAGCTTTGAAATTATCACTATACACCTGGAAAAAACCTTGTACGCATTCATTAACCAGGCACGGTACTGGCGTTAATCGCGAGCATTCGTAACTTCTTTGTAGTATAAACAACTTGAGAATAATTTCAAATTTGCGTAGCATTCTGTTCTGTTGCATAATTTGATACATTTTCTGTGGCACAGCCTGACATAGCTGCACCTGGGGTGAATATTTTAGCTGCTGCATCACCTCTCGATACAGTCCAGGATGGGGGATATGTCATGCATTCAGGATCATCGATGGCAACTCCTCATGTCGCAGGAATAGTGGCTCTTCTCAAGGCAATGCATCCTGAATTGTCACCGGCAGCTATTAAATCTGCACTTGTCACAACAGGTATCCACTCCATTAATTAGTAATACTATTCTGATCACAATTACAAGACCATAGATATATACAGGTTTCACTGACTGTATAGTGAATCTTCAAAAATCTTAATGCAGCATGGAGGAATCATCCATCAGGTTTCCCAATATTTGCGGAGGGATCTCCTCAAAAGCTGGCCAATCCGTTTGATTTCGGAGGAGGTATTGCGAATCCGAATGGTGCCGCAGACCCGGGTCTAGTATACGACATGGGTACAGCGGACTACATCAGTTACCTCTGCTACATGGACTACAACAACACTGCTATCTCTATTCTCACAGGACACCCCACAGTTTGCCCCTATGAAGAACCATCCATTTTGGACATTAACCTGCCATCCATAACCATACCAAACCTTAGAAATTCTGTTACCCTCACCAGAACTGTTACCAATGTGGGATCCTCTAATTCCATTTATAGAGCTGTGATTGAGCCTCCATTTGGCACCAGTGTGTCTGTAAACCCTGATGTCTTAGTCTTCAACCATAAAACTAAAAAGATCACATTCACCGTGACGGTCACCACAGCCCACCAGGTGAACACAGGATACTTCTTTGGGAGCCTAACATGGACTGATAGGGTGCATACAGTGAGAAGTCCCTTGTCCATCAGAACAGAAATCTTACAACCTTTTTAATTATGAAAATTATGATTCAAACTGATTGAGATGGCGAGTATTAAAAGTTATATCTGGAATAATTTTTATTATTCCATCTATACCATTTAAAGTAACAGTGTCTTATTTCTGTTCTTTCACAGCCTCCTTTATTTTGTAATCTGCAATGATCTTCAGATATTCTGTTCATTCAAAGTTTCGTTTACTTGTATTCTGCCATGATCTTCAGAGTAGATAGACACGGCCACACATCCTGCTTCCCACTAATGAATTCTACTGATTCTTCAATTTTCAGGAAAATCATTCTTATCATGACATACTAAACTAGTGCTATGAGCATCATAGCATATATCTAGAAGAACCGCAGTTATATCACGGAAACAGAATATGGCTTAGCGAACAGGATTCCAAATACTAGAAGATGACTAATTCCCAACTTATACAAACAAGCATAGACTAATGGTTGTGTATCCAGTAGCTTCTTTCAGTGAAGCAGGCTCGAGTCCTAATGGCTCCGTTTATTTGATTATTATTTAATGGTCTATAGCTAATCCTCTTTATTCCAGTGGCAACAATGCATGGGAACCATGAAAAGCAAAAAAGGAATATGGAGATAGTGGGTTGAGAATTGATTCTGAGCTTTAAACATGATTACATATGGCATAGAGAATAAAAGTTAGAGATCAAACACACACACAAATACTCAGATCATCTAACCTACTAGAGACAGATTTAAGAGAAGTGGGGCATCATATTTAACTGTAGCCATGTCTTCCATTGAGTTTCAAGTTGCTGACGTTGATAAAGTTGCATCTGGGGTTGAATTATCAGATGGCTTCATCCCTCTCATTGACATGGATGAACTTCAAGGTCCTAACCGCTCTCAGATTGTCCAGCAGATTTGCCATGCATGCCAAAACTATGGTTTCTTTCTGGTACTGTTTTCTTTTTTGGGGCATTAATCTGTTTTAGGTAGTGATCTATAAAGTTTGCATGTATTGGCAGTAATCTCCAAATTGCGTTGCATATAATGGGTTATTAGCATTAAATAGTGTTTGATCTTTATGAAAAGAATTTGATTTATGGTTAAACGCTTAAAGTTGATTGAATGCTAAAACATAGCGACAGTTTAGAGTATCTGTCAGTGTCAAAATAGTCCCTGAACTAAGAAATTTGATTTTTTACTACCTTAAACTTTCAAAATTTCCAACTACTTCTTGTATTAGGTTTCCATGCAAAACTTAATGGAGCATTTTGCCAATTGCCACTTTGCATATTCAGGCAAACAAAATCTCCATTTTTCACCTATGAAATTATGCCCTGATCAACATCTCAACCCTGATCACTTTTACTTCTAATCATCATTCAATATAAAGTTTTTAAACCCAAACCAAATTTTAAATGTAAAACTTGAGCTTTTTGGGTTAATCTTTATAAAAGTTGAACAGTGTTTCAGACTTGTAATATGCTAAGAACCTTATTCTAACAAGTCAGGCTGCCAGGTGAAGAATCATAAAATTCCAGAGACGAATATGAACCAGATAATGGGGACAACTAGGGAATTTTTCAAACTTCCAGAGCAAGAAAAGTTGAAATTCCACACCACTGACAGCAACAAAAGCATCATGCTATTTATAGCTTTTAAAGATGAGATCGAAAATGTCTTCATCTCGAGGGAATCCTTAAGATTTAGCACTTTCCCTTTTGAAGATCATGTGAATGAATGGCCTTCAAATCCCCCTTCATTGAGGTAAGTAAATGTGCACTATTATACTATTTACTCTCTCCGGTACATTTTCACATTCTTTGTTATTCAGAAAGTGAAAAAATATTATGAGAAATAGTAAAGAAAATGTGAATAAACAAAGTGGCCGGAGAAAGAAATTAATTAGGTATTTCTTTCATTATGATTAGATCTTAATTTTGCATTTGATGGTTGACAGGAAGGATGTTATAGAGTATTGTACAAGTGTTAAAAAGGTGGAATTTGCAGTCCTTGAAGCAATATCAGAGAGCTTAGGCCTGGAAAAAGATTACATAGACAAGATGTTATGCAACCATGGACAAAAACTATCTATCAACTACTATCCAATTTGTCAAGAACAAGATCTTGAGTTTACTCGAGGAATTCGACCTCATACAGACCCGGCTATAGTCACTCTTCTCTTGCAAGACGATGTGCCTGGCTTTAAAGTTCTCAACAATGGCAAATGGGTGGAGGTTGGCCATGTCCCCAACACCTTGGTTGTTCATGTTGGAGACCTACTACAGGTGATATATACGCCCTGTGTCTTGTTAAAATTAAATAAAGGTTTTATGCATGTTGAAACGTTGTACCATTCGGATTTTTGTGATTGAGAATCTTAATTTTTTTTAATCTAATTTAAGAGTTATATGTACTCTTATGTTATTGTTGTTTCAGATCTAGTTAATAATAAATTGTCACGTAAGCACACATGACGAGCTTTAGCTAATGACAATTTATCACGCCACCAATACAATCACCCGATTTGAGCTATCATAATGTGTGGCAAGCTGTCATTAGCTAAAGTTTGCCACATGTGTTTACGTGGCACATTAAGACTCGAAACGACAATATATAAAAGTAGAACTCTTAAAAAAAAATTAGGATCTGAATTAAAAAATTCGAATTGTATGAGGTTTTTATATGTGCAAAACCTAATTAAATAAGAAGAAGAAGGGAGTGAAAAATATAATTAATTAACTTCATGTTGGTGAAAGAATTAGTAACTTTTTGCTTCTTTTTTTTATCAGGTAATTAGTAATTGCCGATACAAGAGTTTGCATCATCAAGTGTTTGTGAATTGTGAGAAAGAGCGTTTTTCTGTTGCCAGCTTCTGCTACCCATCATCTGATACAGCGATAGGGCCTGCCATGGAATTGATAGACGATGATCATCCAGCAATGTACAGAAATTTTATGTATAGAGAATTCTATCAAGAAATGTGGCGATCTGCAGTTCAGCATGCAACTGATAAGCGTTTGGACCTCTTCAAAACTTCTATTGCCTGATCTTTTTTCTGCTTAATTTCTTCCTTCTTTTCAGATATTGCAAGTAATTTGTAATAAGAAAAAATAACGACTCTTTGCCTCTTTGCCATTGTTCAGCAAAACATATAATAATATTAAATTGATAATTTCCAAAGCATATGCTATCTTTTTTATTTTAAGTTGCAATGTAACATTTATTTATCTAGGAACGATATGAGATGGAAATCCTTAGATTAAAATTGATGGTTAAATGGTTTTCAATTCAAATTGATCAATCCTATAGTTAATATAATTTGTTATATGTTAAATTAAAAATGAGTACCAATAAAATAAATTCTCTTTTGTTGTTTGAATTAGCAACCTCTAATAGTTAAGTTAGCTTACGAAAAGAGATGTATTATATAAATAAATTTTAAGAAATTTTGCTCTTATATGAAGAATATATATAGTATTTTATCTATTTTGAGTTTAGAAGACACAAATAACAATCGATGTGTTAACTTTTATATAAGTAGACTGTGATCAACTTGTATAGAGTGAATGATAGATTGATCTCTTCTTTTATGTTCAACAATTACTTATTTCTACTAAAAAGTTTAGAAATCATTTAGACAAATGTCATTGTCTAACATTTGGTGATAATACTACATAAGCATTTTAAAAAATCATATCTTCATTAAATATATATATATTTTTTTATCTAGCAAGTAGGAGGAGGAATATCTTTTTTATTAGAATCATCTGTCTATATTAGTAGTTCGGGTTTTAGTCAATTGTGATTTATGTAAAAAAAAAAAAAAAAGCTAACCACCCTTTTTGGCTTTTTGCACACAATAATATTAAATTGATCCTCATTGTATATATAGGTTGAGATTATTGAAATTCCTCTTTTAATACAAGATTTATTTATCCATCTTTTCAAAGGCTAGCCGTCTTTATGTCATTCTTAGATATGCAATTGAAGCCCAATGCTTACATGCTGACCCAAATATTTTGTCATGGATTATTGAGCGAAGTTTTCTGAACACCTGAAATTTGGTCCCCAATAAAGCAACAGAACTATGTATATAATTGAGTAAACTATCATTAGTTCCTCTTTTTTTATGATTTTGTAAATTAGTTCTTTTAGTTTTAAAATTTGTATGTTAGTCCCTTGATCAGAACTAACTGTTAATGTTTTTTATATTATCCAAATTTTCCTTTTGGTTTTATTTGTTGTAGGTGAAATTATAAAATTTAACTACAAAAGAAAGGTATTTTAGAAAAAATAACTTAATTAAATTGAAATGGAAAATTAACCAAAGATTGAGTTATAAACATATGCAAAGAGATAGGAATCCAATATATCGTTTTACCAAAGTAATTAAGGGACTAAACAATCAAAGGAACAAATATATATACTCCTTTTTAAGCACATTCATCGACTATTAAAGATTTTTTTTTTTTTTTTTGGTACCTTCCACACGAACCCGAAAAAAAAAAAAAAAAGGTGGGCTCTTAGTAAAGAATCCACAATACACCAACAGATTCTAAATAAATTTTTAATTAATGTATAAAGTTTAATTTTGGCATTGAATTTATTGAAAAGATTTAAATTTTATTGTTTTTTTTAAATATAATTTATCCTATCTCTGATATAAAATGAGAATACATAGGTAAAATCAAAAAATAAAATCCACAATACCCCACCACTTAAAAAAAAAAAAAAAAAAAAAAAAAGAAAGGTAATCAAGGAATTTTCTTAGCAAATTTTGTGATTAAATTACCAAGGGAGCTTTTCACTTCTAAGTTCCAAGGCCCTAAAGTAGGTGCCAATGATGATTCTTATTTGAACAGGTCTTTGTTCCCCTCGCAAGGTACGGTCTCCTTTGGGTCTAAGTCTAAGCCAGCATGGTTTGTCAATTTAGAATAAGATAATAATTTTCATCATAAAGCAATTAGTTTGCCATTACCTTAGGCTCAATCATAGTTCCAATCACTACAATCTTCATTCCATTGAATTTGTAACATTTTAACCTTAAGAGTTTGCTGGTGTTTAAAAAGAATTGTTCTCTCTCTCTTTTCGAGTTTGAATCTTAAAATTAGTGTTTAGAAAGATTTATAAAATATCTCTAAATATATCAAACACAAACTGTAAAAATATATATTTTTAAGTTTTTCTTAAGATATAATTTAGTTTTGATTAACATGCAAATTGGTTCAAAAATATTTTTTATAGTCGCTTAAAAAAAATTAATAACGCACATTTTAAGTAGGCTAATTGATTAAAAATTATCCTGAACTCTTGATCAACAAAAAAATGGAGTAGGTTATAAATTAGTTTTTTGAGTTTCAAAAAACAAATTAATTAGTCTCTCATGTCTCGAAAGCTAATTATTTAATCTTTTTTATCCGTTTTATCTCCCTTTCTAATTTTTTAAATTTTTTAATGAAAAAAATAGATATTATGAAAAGATCGATGAAAAGAATGATTTTTTTAAATAAAATAATATAAAATTAAGCGTAGGCAACACTAGTCAAAGACTAAATAATTAGTTTTGACATAAAGTGAACTAATTAGTTTGCTTCTCAAAACTAAAGGGACTAATTTATAACTTCAAAAAATAGACTAGTCCCCAACCTAATGTTATTCTAATTTGAATCCTTAACCGATAAAGAGACACTCCTAGACTCGTTATTTTTTCCTCTATTTAAAAAAACTGAAAAAGTGAAATTAAAAGAATGAAAAAAAAAATCGAGAAGAACCACTGTATTTATTAAACCACATAAGGATAGAGAGAAAAATGATGACGGGTTAATTTGAATTTGTTGGGTTAATTGTTTCCTTTTGTTTTAAATTGAAGCATGAAATTTTCCATGGATTCTTGGGTGTGGAGAGGTGAGACTGTGAGAGGAGACAATGGACTGGTGGCCAGTGGTTTTGGAACAACAATAGTAAATGAGAGTAAATTATAAATTAGTCCCACTATTTTCGAGAAAAAAATAATAATATATCTCTATTGTTTCAAAAACAAATTATTTAGTCTATATTTAATTTAATATAACTTTATTTTATAAAATATCATCTTTTCTCAACAATTCTTTCATATTTTTTTCTTTTTTATTTTTTAAAAAACAAAATAAATTAAAAAAAGGATTAAATTACAAAAAAAATAAAAATATTGAGACTAAATAATTATTTTTTGAAACTAGACAGACTAATTAATTCGTTTCTCAACACTAAAAAAAGCTAATTTATAATATACTCTGATAAATAATGGCACTAAATTATTTTAAAATCACTTTAGAGCACTTGTTGTATTCGTAATATATTATGTGATAGTATGAGTAGTCAAATTTATCATATAGATATATAGAATTCTAAATGGCAGAATGACATTGCTGATCAACAAAGAAGTTAATGACTCAAATAAAAATAAAAATAAATTAGAAAGTCATTTTCTATTGAGCAGGATAGTTATTAACCAATTAATATTTTAGTTGTCATCAATTATTAATCAATTTGGATAACCATTTTTGTTTAAGATTTAGAGACTTGTCCATTACAACACAGGAGAAAAGGAATCATGACTACAGTTTTGGTCGGTCCACATGAAACAGAATTCCTCAAGTCATCATCCATCTTGAAGACCTTTTTGCTCATGTCATCTTCCATCTTGAGAACCTTTCTCCTCGAGCATTACAGAATTCCTTATCTGAAACACTTTCCTTAAAGCTATGTCTGCCATAGCAAAGTCCCCACTCGGTTGGAAAAGGATATCAAAAAGCAGAAGATCAATTTGGAGATTGTGGGCTGGGAATCTCACGTCCGGTCTTAAATCAGGCAGTACAATCATTGTGTCCATAGAGGCCGGCCTGCATCATCTTCTACAATGCTTTTGGAATTGGATATATAATTCTATACAAATTTCATAATATGTTTGCACAATCATATAAAAATCCAGAATAAATGACATTTTCTGTGACGTAAGTTCATTTTTCTTGTCAGTTGTTTTGGAAAGCATCAGTCCGCCAACCACGAGCCGGACATGACCAGATGTTGCAACGAACCGGAAGTCTGGGCAAATGCCTTCGAAACCATAATTTTAAATCACGGAGAGTGAAAAAAATAATTACAGTCATCATTCACATATTATGACTTAATAAAATATTAAAATAATGATAATAGAATGATTTGAAATCATTATATAACAGTGGTTCTATAACTAAACAACCTGTATTTAAAACTATGTTTGAAACTGCCTCCAAAAGCTAGCCTTGGTGAAGGACCTATGGTTACGCACGTTTTTGCTACTGCCACTTGTCTAAAAGGCCTTCTTCGATCAACCTAGCCGTAGATAAAACCATAACAGTTGTTTATTTTCAACTATAAATAAAAATAATGAAAATGGTTTAATTTATTTTTATATAATAATCTAAGTTTTCAATCTGTTCTTATGTTTCTAATTACAACTATCGTGTCTTTAAATTATGTTTAAGTCTATAATCTGTCATTTCGATTAATTTTTTTTAATCACAAGCCGATTTTGTAATTAAAATGTTTTTTATTGAAATACAAAAGATAAGATTTTTTTATAAAAAAAAACTTCAAAAATAGAACATGCAAGGTATGTTATTCTAATTTTTTTTTTCTAAATATTCCGGTAAAAAAAATTACTTATAGTTAGAAAAATTAATTGAAAGAGTATATTAAAGACTTTAACTTTATTAAAAAATATAATAGATATAATTAAAAACATAAAAATAGATTGAAAACTTGAAATATTATATAATAACAGAGACAACTATTTATCCATCCCTCTCCAATATCAAACATTTCATGTGATAAGATCAAGAAAAATCCAAGAAGATTGATAAATGAATACATGACCATTATCTTTTGTTCGAGAAGACTAAAGATTATGCTTTACAGTAGTACTTAAAAGCAGTCTAACAAGCATTTATGCCCTACTGTACAAGTTGACTAAAAAGAAAAAAGGCAGGAGACATGGAAAGAGGGATCAATTTCAGAAGAACCTTTCAATACAAAATCATGACTCACATGGCAATGCATACATGATTCCCAATCCATCATCTCCCTCCTATCCTCTTCCCACCCAGCAAAGCCCTCAGTCACTTTCACTTTCATTTGTATTGATTGAGCATAAAGAGCAAAAAGTGTACCCAAAGAATGGTCTTCCCCTTTATTTATATTCCTTCAAGCTCTAATATAATTGCAAATGCAATAATGACCAACTTGTAAACCTTGACAAAATTTAGAAATCCTTACTCGCAAACCATCACTTCTGTTTGTGTGATGGACCCTAAATCACGTAAATGGAGAGGGCCAAGCAAAAATCACTGCTTCATGATCTTAGCTATCTTTTTAGTTCAACACCAGCTACATATTTCAGTAACATATGCTGATCAGGCCACAAAGAAAGTGAGTGTAAATATTTCTAGTCGAGCACAACATCTTTTATTGGTAGTTCTGAACAGGAAATTTTTCCAGGTGCACGTTGTGTATATGGGAGAGAAGAAGCATGAAGATCCAGCAATAACCAAAAAAATTCATTACGAAATGCTGTCGACATTGTTAGGGAGGTATGATTTGATCCACGTAACTCATGAGAGTAACTACATGTGATGTTTGTATTTTTACATATAAAAAATAAAACTTTCTTCTACTTCTGATGAAGCAAAGAAGCAGCACAGAGTTCGATTATCTACAGCTACAGGCATGGCTTTTCTGGGTTCGCCGCAAGACTTACAGAGTCTCAGGCAGCAGAAATTGCAGGCAACATGATTGCTCAAAACTCTACTAATCAGCTAAAATGTTTCCATTTATTAAAAGATTGTTTCCTTTAAATGGCAGAGTTTCCTGGTGTTGTCCAAGTAATTCCAAATGGCGTTCACAAGCTCCATACAACTAGAAGTTGGGAATTCATTGGTCTCAATCATCATTCTCCACAAAATCTGTTAACACAAAGCAACATGGGCCAAGGAACTATCATTGGTGTGATTGATACAGGTAATATTCTTTTCTTTGCTAGAAGCTGACATCAATGCTTTCACAGGGTCACTGAAAATTGGATTGATATGAAATTCTGCAGGAGTGTGGCCAGAATCCAAAAGTTTTCATGATCAAGGTATGGGGCCGGTGCCATCTCGTTGGAAAGGAATATGTCAGCAGGGAGAGCAATTCAAGTCATCCAATTGCAACAGAAAGATCATTGGGGCTCGCTGGTTCGTAAAAGGATTTCAGGATGACACACCTTTTAACTCAACTGGAAGCATCGAATTTATGTCGGCACGGGATGGAGATGGCCATGGAACTCATACAGCTTCCACAGCAGCTGGTAATTTTGTCGAAAAAGCAAGCTATAAAGGACTGGCTGCAGGTTTAGCAAGAGGAGGAGCACCTCTTGCTCACTTAGCAATTTATAAGGTTTGTTGGAACATTGAACATGTAGGATGTTCCGACGCAGATCTTCTGAAAGCATTTGACAAAGCCATACATGATGGAGTAGATATCCTATCCGTGTCAATTGGCATTGACATTCCTTTGTTCTCCTATGTCGAGATGCGTAATTCAATTGCCATTGGCTCATTTCATGCAAATGCAAGGGGGATTCCAGTTGTCTGTTCAGCAGGAAATGAAGGCCCTATCTCCCAGACAGTAGCGAATACAGCACCTTGGCTCATCACTGTTGCAGCCTCTACAATTGACAGGACCTTTCCAACAGCAATTATACTTGGAAACAACAAAACCCTCTGGGTAAGATTACAGTTCTTGACGCAAATCAGGCAAATAGAGACTCTGCTGAGTTTCGTTTTTTCTTGTTGAATTCAGGGCCAATCTATTACTATAGGTGAACGTAATCATGGATTTGCAGGCCTTACATACTCTGAGCGCATAGCTTTAGACCCCTCGGTTTCAGTGTAAGATCACTATTGTTTCTGCTATTTCATGAACTATCATTTCCCTCTTACATCCTGTGAGCTATAATATTCCATAATCCATATCTTCAGAACGGATTGCCAGCTTGGAAGTCTAAATGCAACATTAGCAGCAGGAAAAATCATCCTTTGTCTCTCAAAATCAGATACACAGGATATGTTTTCTGCATCAAGATCTGTGTTTCAAGCAGGAGGTGTTGGACTCATATTTGCCCAATTTCACCATGATGGGATTGAGTTATGTGAGTCGATTCCATGTGTCAAAGTAGATTATGAAGTAGGGACACAGATATTTTCCTACATTAGAAAAGCCAGGTAAGGATGTCTGAAGAGGTAAAGGCATGCGCATGCGCGCAAACACTCAAATTTCGGTCAAGAAAACAAATTACATTCCTCTTTAACTTTTTATGAAGGTCTCCAACTGCGAAGCTGAGTTTTCCAAAGACTGTTGTTGGCAAAAAGGTATCTCCACGACTAGCATCATTCTCCTCCAGAGGACCGAGTTCAATTACTCCAGAAGTTCTGAAGGTATACAAAAAAAAAAAAAAAAAAAAAAAAAAAAAAAAAACTAAATTCGAATCTACTAGACATGAGTAATCCTACATCAGAATCAATAAATGTTTTGTAATTAGGCAATGTTTAGTGTTTGCATTCCTTTCAATGTGTATGATGTCACAATTGATTACCTGTTGATCCAATGTCTGATTGATGATGGTAGCCTGACATAGCGGCACCCGGTGTGGACATCTTAGCTGCATATCCACCAGCCAACAAAGACCAAGGTGACTCGTATAAATTCCTTTCAGGAACTTCAATGGCCTGTCCCCATGCATCAGGAATTGTGGCTCTCATCAAATCTTTACATCCGAATTGGTCTCCTGCAGCCATAAGATCAGCTCTTGTCACATCTGGTCAGTCAAATTCAAACCTTGATTATTTACTCCAATTTACAAGTTAACAGCAAAAGTCTGACAGAATGAAGCAAATTGCAGCTTCCCAAGCTGGAACAGACGGAATGAAAATACTCGAAGAGGGCTCAACTAGAAAAGAAGCAGACCCATTTGACCTAGGTGGGGGGCATGTCAATCCTGAAAAAGCAGTGTATCCAGGGCTTGTTTATGACACCAGCACAGAGGACTATATTCAGTACCTCTGCTCCATAGGCTACAGTAGTTCATCTATTACCAGGTTAGCCGATACCAAAATCAACTGCAAGAAAAAAACCAATACCATGCTCAACCTCAATCTTCCTTCCATCACCATTCCAAACCTGAAAACTAAAGTAACAGTGACAAGAAAAGTGACAAATGTGGGAAATGGTAATTCAGTGTACAAAGCTTTAGTCCAGCCTCCATTTGGCATAAGCATGACTGTTGAGCCTAGAACTTTAAGTTTTAACGTGACAAACAAAATTCTGTCCTTCAAAGTTACCTTCTTGTCAACTCAGAAAATTCGGGGAGAATATAGATTTGGAAGCCTAACATGGACTGATGGTGAGCGTTATGTTAGGAGTCCAATATCTGTACGTGCTATAGAGACTTATGCAGGTGTGTAACTCGGTAGAAAAAATTGAAATGCCGTCACAAAACAATAACTCTAGCATTTTGTACTCTCTAATTGAGGAGAAAGAACAAGGACATTATTGCTGCAAACTATGTACTGCTAATATTTATAGCAAGTAACAACTCTGTAAGGGGTCGGAAAGATTACTCGAAATCGCTTCAGAGGTAGGGAGATTAATCTTTCAGGCTCCTATTTTATATAAGGCCAATCTCAAAGTATTCTCCTTAACCCAAATTTCAATTAATTCTTCCAAGACTGTTTTGTCTCAACCGAGTACTGCAGATGAGTTCGGAAGTTCTAAATTGAGAGTTTTGTCTAAACTCTTCACAAAAACGTTAAATACCCTTCAAAATGACATAGAATTATTATTTTTTTCCCATGAAAAACATACAATTTGGACCGAATTTTATTAAAGAATATGAATGGGAGGACTAACGGAGTAATGTTGGATGGACGGGAAATCCAGTTGAAAAGTATATAGAGACATTGCAGTAGCTGCCCTGTTCTTTGGAAACAGCACGAACTCACCAATGTTGTCCTAATATTTCCATCCGCTGACCTTTTTCGAGCATTATAGAGTTTCTTATCAGAAACAGTACTTTCTCCTTAGAGCCAAGCAGCAAAAGAAAAGTCCCCATCAGTTGGAAAAGATTAAAACATCAAAAGCAGAAGATCAACGTGGAGATTGGGAATTGGGAATGTCACGGCTGGTTTTTGAAGATAAGGCAATACAATCATTGTGGCTATAAGGGGCTTATATCATTTTCTACCAGGCCTTCGGATCATTCTACATGAATATTCCCACTTCAATAATGACCAGATTGTAAGCCTTGAAAAATATTTCAGTATAAAAACAACTAAAAATTCATGATCAGAAACCATCACTTGAACAGGAAATTGTGCGATGAACACAAAATCAAGTAACTGGAGAGGGACAAGAAAAAACCACTTCTTCCTGATCTTAGCATTCTTTGTAATGGTTGTAAAAGAAACCTTTTCCAGGTGCAAATAGTGTATATATATGGTAGAGAAGAAGCACGAGGATCCAAAAATAACCAAAAGACTTCACTATGAAATGCTGTCGTTGTTAGGCAGGCATGATTTGATCCCTATTCCTGATGATAAAATTAAATGTTGGTATGATTTGTGTTTTTTTTGATATAATTAAATCAGCTAAAGCTTTCCTCTATTTCTGTTGAAGCAAAGAAGCAGCACTGAATTCAATTTTATATCCATGAGAAGACCTTTCCGAAGCATTATAGAGTTTCTTATCAGACACACTTTCCTTAAAGACATGCAGGCAAAAGAAAATTCCCACTTAATTGGAACAAAATAAAATATCAAAAGTAGAAGAGCAACCGTGGAGATTGTGGATTGGGAATCTCACGGTTGGTCTTCGAAAATAACCTATAATTAAAGGCTCACATCATTTTCTACTATGCCTTTGGATAATTCTCAACAATTTCCTTAATATTTTGAACAATCACATGATAGAAATCCAGAATGGAATTGACATTTTCTCCTAACATTTATAAGTTTCCTTGATCATGGATATCCGATCCAACAGTTTTCTTAAAGATTATGCTTTAACGTACTTAAAAAAAAAAAAAAAAGTTGCAGCCTAACTAGCCTTTATGGCTTACTACTCAAGTTGGCCATGTAATAATGAGTAAATAATACTTTAGTCCATCTAGTTTAGAGAAATGAATTAATTAGTCTTCTTAGTTTTAAAAACTAATTATTTAGTTTTTATATTTTTAAATTTTCTTATAATTTAATTTTTTTCTCTATTTTCAATTTAATTTGATTTTTTTATTTTAAGTAATAGAAAAAAATAATATTAAATTAAACGTTATCAACACTAGTTAAGATATTAAATAAAGAGTTTTTTTTTTAAAAAAAGGGATTAGTCAATTTGTTTCTAAAAAAAAAGGGACAAATTTATAATTTACTCATATAATAAGGCGGGAAAGATGGATCTAGGGATCAATTTAAGCGAACATGAAGACCTTTTTGCAAACATTATAGAGTTTCTTATCGCAAACACTTTTCCTTGAAGCCATGGCAGCAAAAGAAAAGTCCGACTCAATAGAGGGGAAAAAATATATATCAAAAGCAGAAGAGCAACTTGAAGATTAATTGTGGATTAGGAAACTCGTTGCCGGTGTTTAAATATCAAAAGCATAAGGGCTTCATCCATCTATCTTGAAGGAACCGCAGATAAAACCACAAACAATCAATCCTTTATCTTCACCAGCACAGAAAATGCTCACAAGTGATGAGACCTAATAAAATTCCAAGAAGATGAAAAAAGTATGCATGATCTTTTTCTTTAATTTGTAAAGATAAGCTTTACTGTTCTTAAGAACTGCAGCCTAACAAGCCTTTCTTCCCTATACTGTACAAGTTGCCTATATGATAAGGCAGGAAACATGGATAAAGGGATCGATTTAAGAAAATCACATGGTATGCATGATTCCCACTCTATTCTGCTCTGTAAAATATTTCTCAGATCATCTTCGCGCTCCAGCGAAGTCCATAAATCACATATCCTATAATGACAATTGCTTGTAAACCTTTACAGGTTTTCATTATAAAAACATCTAAAATCCATGGTCAGAAACCATCTCTTCAGGAATTGTGCAATGGACACAAAATCAAGTAACTGGAGAGTGACAGGAAAAAACCATCTCTTCCTGATCTTTGCTCTCTTTTTCCGCTCAACACCAGCAACATATTTCTCTTATAAATGCCAAGGCCAAAAGGAAAGTGAGTGCTGTACATATTTCGAGTTAATTAGACAACAATTTTTTTATTATTTTATTTATTTATTTTTTTTTTTTTTTTTTTTGTACATTGTGTATGTGGGAGAGAAGAAGCATGAGGATTCAGCAAAAACCAAAAAACTTCACTATGAAATGCTCTCGACGTTGTTAGGCGGGTATGGTTATATCCATTTTCTTAATAGTGAAATTTAATGTTGGTATGATTTGGTTTTTTTGACATAAAACAGCTTAGAGTTTCCTCTATTTCTGTTGCAGCAAAGAAGCAGCACAGAGCTCAATTCTTTACAGCTATAGGCATGGTTTTTCTGGGTTCGCCGCAGGACTGACAGAAACTCAGGCAGCAGAAATTGCAGGCACCATAAATTGCTTAAAACTCTTAATATCAATTAAGATATTCCCATTTCTTACGACATTGTTAAATTTAAATTGCAGAAGTTATATAAAGATATGTAATTCTATTAAAGTTTGCCAATAGAACGTAAAAAGAAGGATTAAGGGGTCAAATTCATTCGTTGTTGATACTTTTCTGGTACAATTGTAACTTTTTTAACTCAAAAGCCCATTTTGAAATAAGAGTTAAAAGAGATGTACCTTTTAAGATTTTGAAAAGAATGTAAAATAAAGATTGAGGACCAAATTGACTCGTTGTTGATAGTTCGTTGGTATAATTGAAGGTTTTTTTTAACTTGAATGCCTTAATTGAATAGAGTTAGAAATTGGAGGATTGTTATACAATTTTTCTTTTCCACTTGCTGATTTGTCTTGCTTGGCTGGATTACATGGAATTAATTGTGATGTGACTTCAATGTATTTTTTTTTAAATAGATTTCCTACATAAGTTATTTATCAATTTGATATATTTTGAAAATTTTAATAAATTCTTCAAAAAAATAATGAAACGGAAGATATCTTCTTAACTAAATTAAAGAAAAAAAAAACTAAGCCAATGACATTCTTCCTTATGAATTTTAATGATTTTTAGTGTGAATTGAACGTATTTATTCTATAGTCATCTTAGAAAAAATAGAAGGCATGTGATAATGGCTGCCTACAAAGTCATTAAAGGACAGAGAAAATAATGGTGCCATTGATTGAAGTTTGATTATTGGTATAAAGAGGGATTTGTTCCTATTGAAAATCATTTGATTTGACCCATTAGATGGAATTATATTATAGATAAGTTAAACAGAAAAAGATATCCAAAAATGATTAATCTCCATCGCTAATCATCAAAGTCGTGTAATTTTTAATTATTATTTGAGTTTTCATGACTGATTAGTTAACATTATTTATGAAAAACTAATCAAAAATTCAATTCCTCAACTTTTCGTGCAATATTTGAGCTTTTATGTCTGATCATCTTCAGATCGTCTGATCCTAGTAAACTTTAAAATTACGTAGAATTTGATTAAGAATGTACAGCTCCATTCAAAACTATGTAGAATTTGATTAAAACGTATAATTTGGACAAAATTAATTAAGGAACCTGAATAAAAGGACTTAATTGAAAATTGTTTGAAACTTTGAAATTCCAATCGAGACAAAAATTTGTTTGAGGATTCAATTAATATTAAACCTTATTTTACTTAGAGACTTATTTGATATTTTTCCTTTTATATTCTTCTTTCAATTTAAATTTCAACGTTTGTGATTAAGGTCGTCACTCGATCAAACTCGAATTGAATCATATATATATAATTTATTTAATAAAACGAATCAGATCGAATTTTGTAAATTCAAATTAGATTTTAAAAATGTGAAATTGAATTCGATCTTAACGGATTCGGATCGGATTCATAACTCTATCGGATTTATCATTTGGTTTTTGTAGAAAATTTATACTTACTACATCTCATATATTGCTCGTATCTAAAATATATTCCAACCACTACATATATAATAAAATATATTAAAATAATATTTTATTTATTGATTTTGTAAAAAACTCAAAATGTCACACAATTCAAAAACACAAAATCAAATAATTTTAATAAAAAAATTGTCTTGAGCTAGATAATAAGTATGATAAAAATAAAATAAAAAAATAATAAATAATTTGTATTTCTTATCCATACGATAACAAAAATACGAGTAATGAAAAATATAATAACATCATTTCTTGAAAAGTTATACAAGTCAATTTATAAGTGATTTTTTTTAAAAAAAATATAGTCATCATTGTAGAAGATCATGCGTTATTTGAATTTTATAATAAATAAACTCTAAATTTTAGTTTAGTTTCATATTTATATAATTTATATATTTAAATTTTTAATATTTTAAAAATATTATTTTTAATTTCGAATTAAATTATTATCGGATAGAAACAAGATAGATCTGGATTTAACTTCGTTTAATAAAAAGGCTAATGAATTCAAATCATAATAAAATTCGATAACAAAATTTATTTGCTAGATTTATTTAATTAAATCAGGTTAATATCCAATCCATTTATAACACTAGTTGTGATTCCATAAGTGAAAATAAGTACAAATGCATAGATACAGTAGAAATAATGATTTTTCTTTTCTAGACATGAATATAGTTTTGAATAAATAAATGGTATTTTTAATATATTTTAATAACTATTGCATAAATTATGCTAGAAAATGTGAAATAAGGATTAAGTGCCCAAACTTACGGGTTGTTGATACTTTGCTAGTACAATTACCAGTTTTTGAACTCAAAAGCCTATTTTGAAATAGAGTTAAAAGACGAGTAACTTTTAAGTTTTCGAAAAGAACGTAATATAAAGATTGAGGACCAAATTGACTCGTTGTCGATACTTTGTTGGTACAATTGGAAGTTTCTGAACTTGAATACCTTGATTGAATAGAATTAGAAATTGGAAGATTGCAACGCAATTTTTCTTTTTCCACTTGCTGATTTGTCTTGCTTGGCTCGAGTGCATGGAAATTGGAATCAATCATTGATGTGACTTCAATGTGTGTGTGCGTGTTTTTTTCCCAATTGGAAATTCACAGAGTAACTATAAATTACTCCCTCTATTTTTAAAAAATAAATAAAAATATTTTTTTATTAAAAAATTAATAATTTAATCTCTGTATCTTGTAACTTAATTATTTTTAAATTTATTTTAATTTTTTTTATTAAAAAATTGATGAATTTTTTAAATAAAATAATATTAATTTAAATATGATCAATACATATTAAAAAACCAAATAGTTAATTTTTAACATTAAAAAACTAATAATTTATTTTTAAAATTAAAAAGATTAATTTTTCGAAATTTATAGTGTGTTTTTTTCTTTTTCATACCATACAGAAAATACACTTTACACATCATTCTTTCATCCATTTGATATATTAAAAAAAAAACTGATAAATTTTTCTACATATTAATTCCAAATTCAAAAACTTTAAATCAAGAAACGTAACATTACTCATTAATTAACAAACCAAAACAATGACGTCTTGTCTTATCCCTCTTGATGTGACTTGAACATAATCATTCATGTTAGAAAATAAAAATCCCATTTGACAATGTATGCCCACAAAATCATTAAAGGGCATAGAAAATTAAAGGTGCCATCAATTGCGGTCTTCTGCAGAAGTTTTTTTATTCATCGTCACCCTGTTTAATACATTCAAGAAGAATCACACATCAGAAATTCCACTTAATTTATTTGTTTGCTTATTTTTTTTATTGCCCATGGGGCTTGCTGTCTTGCTAACAAGGTCTATCCAGAGACAATGATTAACCCAAAATTTTTAAAATATATATGAAGTATTTTATAATATTTATTTTTTGAATCTATTTTAATAAAAGAGATAGATAAAAAATAAATAAAAAAATTACATCCTAATCTTTTAAAAATAATCAAATATTTTCATGTAAACTCAAGATTTTATATATATATATATTGTTAATTCTTATAGGACTAATATAAAATTTCTGATCGGTAGCTAATGATGATGACGTTACTCCAAATTTTATTATTATCTATTCATACACATCTTAAATAAAAAGAAAATTATAACATTTAATATATTTAACATACAATTTCAAATTAAAAATATTGTTTATGCACCTTATTTAGTTAATACTATTAAAATAATGTTAATGCACAACTATTTTCTCCAAAACAAAATGTTAATGCACAATTACTAAATCAACCTTTGACTTTTAAACACAATATTTTAATCTTTGGCTTTTTTTTTTTTAACATCTCACACGAATATCTATTTTTTTAGCAGTTTATTATATTAAAAAATTTTACTTTCGTTGATATTGATGGACGTTCTTTTTATTTAATTTGAAATAGGGATGGAATGGCCGAAACTTTTATGAGTGTTCACACTCATGTTTTCTTTTCTTTTTTTCCTTTTTCCTTTTTTTTGAATAATTTAAGTAAAACAATAAATATTACCCTTTAATTCCTTATAAAAAAGCCTTTTCTTTTTGAATTGCAACCAAATTGAAGATGGCATCATGATCAATCCTCCTTTAACAGGCTACTCCTGCTTGGACGAAAAAAGAAAAAAAATTTCTTGAATAATTTCGATACCAACAATGCTGGAGTTTGCAGGGCAGATTTGGGAGATTCGTGCCAGTTCATGTGATGGGTGATAGAATTCACCTTTGTTTAAAAAGGAGGAAAAAAAAAAAAACTAAAGCGTTAAAATAATTCAGTGAGGAGGAGGAAATGAAAAATCGAAGATCAGACAGGCAGAGGAAGAAAAGGGTAGCAACTCATTAATATCCTCAAGCTATATAAAATCAGATCGAGAAAAGCATTTACAGATGGAGATAAATTTGTCTATGGTTCTGCTGCTTCAGCTAACTTGTTCATCCATAGCAGAATCATCATAACCAAATATAGACATTGCAGAAGCTCCCATTTTCTTTGGAAACAGCATGGACCTGCAGGTAGGGCAGGTAACCTGACCATGACCAACCCAACTATCCAGGCAATTTAGATGGAACACATGAGAACAGTTGCATAGTTCTCTGACTTCATCTCTGCCTTGTAAACAATCCAAGCAGACAAGACACATGCTCTCTTTATCATCTTCGAGCTTCCCTGATCTTTCAAGAAAACAGCTGTATGTTATCACTGGAAGTTTCTTCTTGATCAGTCTTGTGAGAATGGAAACTGGGACTGGAATTGGTGATGGGCAAAGTTCATCCATTACAAGAACATAATCCTCTGCGGTTTCTTGATCTTGATCAGAACTGTAAGGTTGCTGTTGAGGTGGCTTGAACATACGTAGATTGCTGAGTGTGAATAGAAGCAACAACTTGATGAAAGTTAGAAACTCAAGCAGGAATTTGAGACCAAAACATTTTGGCATCTTCACTGCAACAAAGGGAATCCCCATTTTTTTATTGAGAGAGAGAGAGAGAGAGTTTTGAGGTTGAAGAAGTGGAGGAAGCCACTAGCTAACGAGGGTTAATCACGGAGGATCACGTCAAATGGGTAGTGAAATAACAAGGAAGCTACAATTTAACTAGAAAATTACTGGATGATTTCGTAATTCTGATGGCCCGCTGAAAGAAGTTAGGTTGAGACATGTTAATTTGCTATTTGTCATTGTCCTTACACAGTATCGTCCTAATAAAACACTCCGTCGTTACCAAGCATACTTTATTTTTTTAATTTTTCCCACATATTATAAAAGTTATTAATTATTATTGTAATATCAGATTTTTTTGTCATATTTTTTAAAAATGCCTTTTAAAAAATTATATTTTGGCAATTTTTTATGAAATAAATTTTAATTAAGAATATTTTTAAAAAATACGCTATTTAAGATTTTTATTAAATAATAAATAAAAAGATAGACAATCTATTTAGAATGTATAGAGTATATTTCTTTTTTATTTTCTCCAAATGATAAGACATTTTGGACTACATTCCTACTCCATCAATCCAAAAAAAAAAAAAAAATTCTTTTTTTCACACATATAGATTAAAAAATTATTAAAAAACCTGTTTTAAAATACACTTTTTAGAAATATATTTTGACAATATTTTACAAAATAAATTTATTTTAAAATAATTTAAATATATGTTATTTAAAATTAAACTTGTGAAAGCAACTTTTATATTTTAATATATTTGTGAAAGTAACTTTTATATTTTAATATATTTATTCTAACATTTTTTTTCTCTTCTTAAAATTTGACATACATCCTTCACATTTAGTTTCAAATTTACGTTTGATGTAAGAAAAATAAATAAATAAAAGTTGAGGTTTTTAAACAATAATATGAGAAACCATGCTGGAGTTACGTTAACTGTGAAGGTAAAACGACCTTTTCAACTGGAGAGGGACAGACGAAGTAAGGGCGCCCACTTGAGATATTTATTTAATTAGCCACTCAATTTGAAATCTTCTCTAGAAATTAGAAAGGTCTAAACTTTGAAGCCTGCTTGCGGATGCACTTGACTTGTCAGCTTTGGATCAGAAAAGTCTCTGGCAGACAGCTGAATGAATCTGTCGTTTAGGTCAGATCTTCATATCCAACGGATAAAATCAAGTGGAGATAATGGACTGGACTTTGGAAGTGAACGGGAGCTAGACCCAGAAGCTTTAACGGTGGAAATTTCCGTCACGCTATTGGATTATTATAATTTATAAAGTCCGTACTATCAGTCGTTTCCTTGTGGTGCCAACAGATGGCAGCCTTTAATCACTGAAAAAGCTCATCGGGAAAATTAAATTATGAAATTTAAGAAATGTGGTTTAATGAAAAATTTTATCCCTCAACCATTAATATTACGAAAAAAATAAGATTTATATTATTAATTTAAATTATTTGAAACTCAAATTATTAATTTCTCAACAAATTTTATCAAAGACAAATCATGTAGAGAATAGTCCTATCGTAGAATCTTACAAAAAAAAAAAAAAAAAAAAGAAGGAAATTTCTTAGAACTGGCCAATATTTGTATGATAAAACTATGCAAGCGGGCACATGATTTTTGTCTCAGACAGCTCTCACGTCAAGGTATGCGTTTGTTTTCATCGGGTGTAAATGTGTAACACAATATATATATATATATATATATATATATATATATATATATATATATAACATCTCTTTTTCCAAGAGAGAGAGAGTGAGGAAATTTTTTATAGAAATTGTATGCTTCAAGAGTTTGAAGTTTTCATTGCCACCTATGGGAATAGGTCATAATTAAGTTGGATCTAAGTCAAGAGTGCCTGCCTTTTGGTATTATCTATTGCGCAATAACGTTGCTTAACTTCCGTGAAAATCGATTTCCTTATTTTAAACCTAATTTGACAAATAACTATAGAGAATGTTAGACTAAAGCCGTTTGATTCATGAATGTATGAGACCCATTATTATCATGACTAGATGTAATGGTTTCTCTCTATAATCAAAGAATTTGATCTAACGGTAAATTTTTTTTCTTAATTTGGCCAAGTCTAAGATTCAGTACCCACCATCCACGAATAATTAGTTATAACTATATTTTAATGATATTAGACTTAAATTAACTTACTTTAAAAGACAGCTTGATAGATACAAATTTAAACATATTTTGACGTTAATTTAGTTTAAAAAATAAAAAATTTAGTTTCAATAGATCGAAAGCTAGCTCAATAATACATCATTGCCTATAAATATATATTAAAAAATAATAAAAAAGTTGTCTTGATTTTTCACCAAGAGTAAAGTTCAATACTCGCTATTTACGAGTAATTAATCATAATTATTTTTTAAATGTATCAAATTTGGATTGATTTGTATTAAAAGAATGTCCAATAATCGATAAAAAAACTAAACATGTTCTTGCATTGGTTTAGTTTAAAAAATAATAAATTGAATCTAAATTGATCGAAAGTTATCTCGAGAATACGTCACTATAAATATATATATAGTTTTTCTCTATAAAATAATTGTACCAACTATAGCAAGTGAGTCTCTATAATATCCTTTTTATATAATTAAAGTTAAGAATTAGAATTTCATACATGATACTAGGAGTGAGCAAACGATTCGGTTAACCGAAAATCGAATAAAACTTAACCGAATTATGAAATTTGATTCGATTTTAAATATAAAATTACACAATATAAAACCGAATCGAAAAAACCAAAATTATTTCCGTTAGGTTCGGTTTTTAGAAAAAAATTTCGGTTTCGACCGAAAACGAAATAAAAAGTAAAAAATTTTCTAATTTCTAAATCTCTAACTTTTCAATCTTCATTCTTGTTGAAACCGAAACACACATATGAGAAGCAAATTTTGAGGACCGTTGGGGTAAGAAAAGAAAGTAATAGAGTATAATTAATTAGGATACAATGTGTTTGAATGAGCAAATTTATTACACTTGGACTTGTTTTCATTAAAGCTTAGTTAAAATCTTCAAGGGCTTTGTGATTATTTATAAAAAGGATTAATTGATAACAATATGTTACTTCATTGGCTAGTGGACTAAGTGTTAGTACAAAATATCTCTATGTAATGATTTTTTTTTTATAGCAAAATATTTTGGTTAAAATCGAAATATTTCGAAACCAAACTCGAAATAATTCGGTTAATTTACTAAATTTATTTCGGTTCGGTTTTGGTTTTTATTTTTTTTTAATTCGGTTAACTAAAAATCGAACCGAATTGTTTAACCGAATGCTCACCCCTACATGATACCTGTGTCAAAATAAAGAAACTACAATGACGAATTTCAAAATTAGTTGAAGTTTAAAAATAAAACAAAAAAAAAGTATCAAAGAGAAAATATGATTTTTTGAGGGGCCAAATGCTCAATTATTTTACTCTTTTTCTTAAAAAATAAAAAATCAAACCTCCACTTGCATTAATGGAGACATTTTTTAATAAATTATATATTATCTGTAGTAGGATATTTTTATATTAATTTTTGGATTAATGGAGACCTTTTGTTTGCAAAGAAAAGGGCACATTGTCAGAGCAGGTGTTGTAAAGGACAAAATACTTTAGACCATAACCAAATGCATTACGTCAAGGGAAGTGGACCACAAATAAAGTAGTCGGTAGTGCTTGAGGTGTCATCACCTCCAATGCTTTGTGGTTGATCCCCACTGCAACACTCAGGAGGATGTTCTTGATGAGTAAATGATAAAAAATTTCTAGTGGAAGAAAAATTCTATAATAGATACGAATAGGATAAAAATAACTAGGTCAGAACGTGATTATTAATAAATTTATTTAAAATTTTGTTTTTATTTAAAATTTTAAATAAAAATATATATTCATATGCATTTATATAATATTCAAAAATTTTTATTTATTTTTAAATTTTTAATTACATCACATCTATTTTTAAAATTCTGAAATGTATTTATCTTTGTGATCAAATTTTTCGATTACAGATAAAATTTTTTATTAAAATATCTTTTATTAAAATTAAAAAAAAAACATAAATATATCCGTATGTTTTTATATAATAATTAAATTTTAATTAAAAAATAAATAACAATAATAGTACAAAAAATACAAAATATATGCACCATTTTGTAGTAAATAAATATTTGATAAATACTAATGAATGATACTCACCTCTTATAAAATAATTTATAGAATTAAGGAAAAGGATATGCATACATGAACAAACCACACTATAAAATTCCATACAAATAGATATGCAACAAGTGATAAATCGATAAATTATGAATCCTATAAATATTAAATGATTGATTAAGTATAGAAATCAAGAAATATTTCTCATTAGTTTCTATCAAAATTTTTTATAATTTTTTTGTATATTCTCCAGTAATCATGTTGTACATAATTCCAAAATTTATAAATTTATAAATCTTAAAAAGAAAAAAGATGCTCATGCTCGTAATCACATTGGTTTGGGCCATTGGCATTTGTAATACAACTTTTGGACCCCATGGAATATCAGCCCATTTACAAAAACAGAAGTTGACGACAGAAATAACAAGAAAAACCCAGCCCATACATATATTGAAGGCCCAAACAGATATTGAGGATAGAAAGGACATGACAAGTTTTATCCAAAACATTATTTCTTTCAACCCTTCTCTCCTTCATCAATCACGCTCTCTTCAACAATGGCTTCTTCTTCTCTTTCAACCCATTATCACTTCACTTCTCCTCTTTCTCCTTCTCTAAAGAACAATGCTAACATCAAGCTTTCGTCTTCTCTTTTCGCTTCTCCCATTAGCTTATCTTCAAACCCCAACATTTCTCTTCAATTCTTTGACAAGGGACACTCCCCACTCCTTTCAACAGCTCCAAGAAGACTCTCAGTTATTGCAATGGCCCCTCCTAAACCTGGTGGAAAGTCCAAGAAAGGTAAAATTAATGTGCCCTTTACGTTTTTGTCTGTAAAGTTTCAATTTGTTTTGGTTGGTTTTGTGAATTTTTTTTTTTTTTTTTTTTTTTTTTTTTTTTTGCAGTGGTTGGATTGATAAAGTTGGCTTTAGAGGCAGGGAAGGCAACTCCTGCACCACCTGTAGGACCAGCACTTGGTTCAAAGGGTGTAAATATTATGGCTTTTTGTAAGGATTATAATGCCAGAACTGCTGATAAAGCTGGTTATGTCATTCCTGTTGAGATTAGTGTTTATGATGTAAGAAATTCATTCTTTTTTGTTAATTTTTGACGGGTTGAGATTTTGGGTGGGTTTTATGGTGTTTCTTGTTTTGATTTTGTTATGGTCTTATTTTTCAGGATAAAAGCTTTACTTTTATATTGAAGACTCCTCCTGCTTCAGTTTTATTGCTCAAGGCTGCAGGTATGCTTGCATATGGTTTTATTCTCCAACCGTTTGATTATTTTTTTTTCCTCTAACCATGTTCTGTTTCTCTTCCGATTTCCTACTTTTAGAAGTTATTATGTTGCCTAAAGCTTGAGGTCAATTAATGTTTCAAGGGTGTTGTGCTTTAGTGCATAGATAGAATCTAGAATACTATAATTGTTTACTAACATATGAATGATTTCCTCTAAATATTGAATTCCCAAAATGTCTATACAAGTTTTATATGGGGAGAGGCATTTATGATGCTTGTAAAACTAAATATGTCATGTGAATGGTAGAATAGACAAGTTGTATGCAGATAGTTAAATGATCAAACTATTGAAATGCTCCTCTAAGAGATACACGTATAGGTGTAGCATCCACACAGAATAAGCAATTTTGAAAGGCGCTGTATTATTAAGTCTGTGAGAGTTGGTGCTAGCCTTGTGCACAAACTACACCTGCTAATATTCTCATTGAAGCTTCTTGGTTAGTAGGTTAGAGTTTGTGGTGTTATGACTAGTTCTTTGTGCACTTAAATGAAATCAATTCATATTCAGTAGTGTTGTGTTTTTCTTTGATTATTTATGAGCAAAAGAGGTTCCAGTATTAGTATTTGTGAAATTTAATGAATTTGGGAGTGTAGGGAAATAAAAAGGTTATCATTTTGCAGCGCAAGAGCATTTTACTTGTTGTACAGTTTGTTTTCAAATATCCTGGACCTGAATTCTTTCCTTTGTTTTGGATTCCCTCATTGTGGTGTATTAGGTTTTCGATGGAGGGATCCAATATTTGTCCAAACTGCCTGACTCTAGTATGGAAGCTATTGTGCAGAAGTCTCATATCACAAACTGTGCTCAGTGATTTGTTTGATTAATTTTTTTGTAGTAAAGTGAGCTTTGGAAGGGAACTCCTAAAATTGTTACCTCAAAGACTCCATCTTTTCCCCCTTTTGTTGATTAGAAATACCTGATTCTCAATGTTTGGAACAATCTAGATTAGATAAGTGATATTTCGCTTTACCATATGTCTTTTATTGGACCACTGCTGATGCAAGAGTTGGCTTGTTGTGCTGATGTTTAACATAGGGTGTTCACTCAGAGAAGAATTTAGCTGAAACTCTTCCTAGGTGCAACCTGTCCTTGTTGAAATGGACCAAAGCCAAAACTTTTGTTCTTGGTATTACCCACTTCTGGTTTTCTGACTTGCAAAATGAATACTTGACTCTGAAAATGGACAAGTTTGCTGAATATATTTTTGTGCCCAGTCGATGCCAGAGCATCTACAATTTTTTTTACATTTCCCACCCTTTTTTTAGTTAGAATAGAATTCCTACTACCAATCCTAGCCTTTTTTATTTTTAATGATGTCAATATAAACATTTAGACACCCTATTAGCCTTTAGAAATTTAGACTTGTGTTGCCATGTATCTGTGGAGGAGCTACTAGCATTATGTCAGGAAATGTGCAGGTTTCATGCATAGGGCTTCAACATAGTATATGAATATATGCTGATGACATGCCTAAGAATTTCTTATTTTGAAAGAACCAGAAATGTTTTGCTAGTTCCTTCGAATAGGTGTTGCTTGTAGTGAGGATAGGAAATTAGCATTTAATTCACAGACAAGTTTGTTATTGTAGAATAGTAGTTTTTCAAGATAAATATGACATGTTATGTCATCTACCCTTCAAATTTCATCGCTGCAATATAGATGTTTAATTTTACCGAGTTCTTAATTAGGAGTGGAGAGAGGTTCTAAAGATCCAAAACTGGAGAAAGTGGGTAAGGTCACAATTGACCAACTGCGCGCTATAGCTACCGAAAAGCTGCCAGACTTGAATTGCACAAACATTGAATCAGCGATGAGAATCATAGCAGGCACTGCAGCTAATATGGGGATCGATGTAGATCCTCCTATCCTTGAACCCAAAAAGAAGGTTGTCTTGTAGTTCACCTAGTTATTTTTTGCCTTGATTTGCTATATTTGTATTTAGAATCATCTGTAGAAGCAATTCATGGAAAGATTTGTATTCATAGTTCTGTATCTTCCGGCAATGAATTTTACAATCTGATGAATGACATAAGCTTTATTTGAAAATCTAAACATGTATCCAAAGTTCATGTTTCAAAGGGTGAGGACTATACTGTGCTGGAACTGGTCCTAGCATGCTAGTTCCGCATTTCTACTGTTCCATGTTCAATTACCCCAATTTGATGGATGGTAGCATTGTGTGCTAAAAGCTTTGTTGGAATATGTAATGAAGTGACAAAAGCCAAGCATTGATGAAACTGGAAAAAAGAAGCAAACTTTTTCCTGGATAATGGAAGTTTGCCTCCACCTGTACTCAGATCTCACGAATGGGAATCAATAACTTTTGATTACAATTTGTCCACCATGTGCTGATTATTGAAGTCAAATGATACTTGATGAATACCCTGCTGAAATGGGATTATCATGGAGAATTCATGAGAACTTGTTGAAGAATCAGGTAAAATATATTGAAAATTGAAGAGAAATCATTAGATGTTGCAAAATACCTCCATGGGGAGCATGTTTTTTCTCTTTCTCGATTTTTATAGTATTCCATTTGAGGTCAGTGCAATTTTCTACACTGACATCACATGGTCTGTGGTCATTGGACTGGGCTAATCTTTGAAGATGACATGACCTTCTAGGCCCAAAAAAAAAAGCCCTATGAAATCAAGAGCAAACCTTCGATGTACACAAGTTTCAAGAAGCAATGAGAAAGCTTATAAAAAGGGATAATTTGAGTGGAAATCGAAGGTGTCAGCCACGTTATCTCTGGACCAATAATTAATGGTTATTTTTCGTTTTCATGTTGGTTGGTTTCCAGCTACTCTTGAGGTGATGTCCGATGAACTTTAACTACTTTTCAATCTCATAATTCTTATTTAGGAAAATAATCATATCTCATAGACAAGTATTTGGGAATTTTAGCAACTTTTGATTTGGTTTCTTTACTTAAAAAAAAGAAAAAAAGAAAAAGGAAAAATATTTTGTACATCAAGAATAAATACTTTCTTAATCCCACAATTCTCATTTAAGAAAATAACTAAATTTCGCAAACAACTATTTTGGATATTCTAATAACTTTTTATTTGGTTTTATGTTGGTTGGTTTTTCACTTAATATCTACTAGATAATGTTTAATACTCTTTTAGGGATTGGATTTTTTCCATTTTGGTTGGATTCAAGTTTCCTGAAACTGCCATCATATTAACTTTTTCTTCAAGGGGAAAAAAAAAAACTTGAATTGAACTTCTAGTTATATGATTTTTATTTGAAATTATTTTGGTTTACTAATAAAAAATCAATACAAATAACTTAGCTTCTGGCTTAAAACTTGAAAAAGGATCATATAGATCTCATGCAAACACTTTACTCTTAAATAATTATAATTATCATCCTTTCAGTTCGTTTATACCTAAATAAAAATAAAAAAAGTTGGTACGATAATTAAAAAGATTTATTTTATTATTTTAAATTTGTTCGTTAAATGTACAAGATCGAAGTGAGAATACATTAAAAAAAAAATTCAATCTCGATTAATTTATAAATTTACGAAAATAAATAAAAACCAAAAAATTATATACCAAAAACAAATTTAAAATTTTATGGAATGTTTGTTGGGGAAAAAGGGGTAAGGAAGTAAAAGGGGCAAATTCCTTAATTGGAAATAATTAACTACTAAACGACAGTCAAATGGGCATTAGGCTATGAAATCAGCAAATTCAATGGGTACAAAAGAGCCAAACCCAACAGAGAGGAAAACATTGTCAAGCACGTGAATGATGTGGTCTCTTGTCTGTATAAAATACTGAAAATCATTGCTTAACGCAAACATAAACATAACAAAAAGAAAAAAAAAAAAAGTACGGTTTGTGATGTAATGCTCTCTCCATCTGTAAGGGAGAGAGAGCAATAAGAAGAAGCTGGAACAACATAATATTGCCAACACCAAAAAGCTTCGGAATTTAATCATAACAAAAGGTACTTTCTTTGTCTTTCTTTCTTGTTTATTGATTGATATTAGATACGGAATCTATTCTTTTTTTCATATATATGTGTGTGTGTATTCTTTTTTGATCTTTTAAAGGGAATTTACCTTCTGGATTAAAGTTCGTTACTTTTTGTCTTTGGGTTAATGGGTCTCGTGGATTTTTGCTTTTCATTTTATTTTTAGGCTTCTTTTGTATTTTGAATAACGGGCTTTTGAGGCTTCGGTTTTTTTGAACAAAAAGTTTGATTTTTTGATGATCATGGATGAGTTTTTTGTGTTTGTATCTGATAAAGTGGTTTCTGGTTTGGGATGAGATAATCTTCTATTGATTTTAAGGCATGCATGTTAATGGTGGATTTGGTTGGTTTGTTATATTGGATTTTCAAGGACTGATTTTGTTCTATGATTTTAAGCCAATATAGAATGTCGTACTAGCATTGTATAAGCACTGCGTGTCTCTGAAATTATTCCTTGATAGAATAGAGCCACCAAAAATTATCAGAATGGGCTGAAGCAACCAATGACGCATTTGTATTTACCGCTGACATGGTTTATGAGATTGCTAATTTGGTCCAATACTAAGGCAAAACTGCTGATTCAGGGGTTTAGGTGTTCAGTTGCATAAATCTTCTTTCTTTTTTTCTTTCGATGCTCAAGGATGGGAATCGAAGGTTGCACAGTAATGCGTGACAACATATATGTAATGAGATAGAAGTGCTGAATTTAATTGCTGCAGGAAGTTATAGTTGCTAGAGATATGTTTGTGCTAGAATACATTTCTAGATTAATGTTCATTCAAGTTTTGTTATTGCTGTTGGTTAAATTCAGATGGAAGTGCGAAATTCAGAACATGGACACATAATTGAAGTACATGTAGATGTTCCAGCTTCGGAGACTAGTCTAGGTGGTAGTAGGATTTGTGGGGGAGCATCATGTGGATTTTCAGATGCTAAAACCAGTTCTAAAGATGCACAGGAACGAGGGGCATCCATGAAGAAACTTGGGTGGGCAGTTGGGCTCTGTCTTGTCTTCATGGGTGTTGAAATTGCTGGAGGCATAAAAGCCAACAGTCTTGCGATTTTGACTGATGCAGCTCATCTTTTATCAGATGTTGCAGCTTTTGCAATCTCCTTGTTTTCAATTTGGGCATCGGGATGGGAGGCGACTCCACGCCGGACTTATGGTTATTTTAGGATTGAGATACTTGGTGCTCTTATTTCCATCCAGATGATATGGCTTCTTGCAGGGATCCTTGTGTATGAAGCTATTGTTAGACTTATTCATGATACAGGTGAAGTTCAGGGCGCTCTCATGTTTGCTGTTTCTGCTGTTGGATTACTGGTTAATATTGTCATGGCACTCTTGTTGGGTCACGACCATGGGCACAGTCATGGTCACGGTCATGGTGGGCACGGTCATGGTCAAGATCATGGTGGGCACGATCATGGCCACAGTGATCATGACCATAGCCATGATGAGGATCATGACCATGCACATAACCACGGGTTGAGTGGAGGAGCCACACATCATAATCATCAGCATCATGAGGGAAGCTCCAAAGACAATGATGAGCATCATCATACACATGGAGCAGATCTTGCTGAGCCAATGCTTGCTACTCACACAGACGACAGTATAACAAAAGGTGGGCATAAACAAAAGAAGAAACGGAATATCAATGTTCAGGGGGCTTATCTTCATGTATTGGGAGATTCAATTCAGAGTGTTGGAGTGATGATTGGTGGGGCAATTATATGGTATAAGCCAGAGTGGAAGATTATTGATCTCATATGCACTCTTGTGTTTTCGATAATTGTGCTGGGCACAACAATCAGTATGCTACGGAATATCCTGGAGGTTCTAATGGAGAGTACACCGAGGGAGATTGATGCAACTAGGCTTGAGAAGGGTCTCTGTGAGATGGACGAGGTGGTTGCCATCCATGAGCTGCACATTTGGGCAATAACTGTAGGGAAGTTTTTGCTGGCTTGCCATGTTATGATCAAGCCTGATGCTGATGCTGACTTGGTTCTAGACAAGGTTATAGATTACATTAGGAGAGAACACAAGATCACTCATGTGACCATTCAGATAGAGCGACAGTAACCTTTCGGATGGGGTAAGTGCAAGTTGCATAAGAGTGGCTTAGCTTCAATTTTGAGGGTAAGTGCAAGTTGTATTAGAGTGGCTTAGCTTCAGTTTTGAACTTCGTAATTCTTTGTCATTGATTAATAACTGGTTTATGAAATTTTGGCTGCCTCATGACTTTTCCTTACTTGCTTACAAACTCCCATTCAACATCCACTAATTTTCCAATGCATCTAACATCTCTCATAGAAAGCCACAACCATCATGTAGAATGTGTTTGTGGTAACTAGAGATAAGAATTTTATGAGAATTGCAAAGTTTAGGGTACATCAGTTACTACTTATACTAAGCTGATGTTAATCACAAAGCAATCACATATTTTTTATCAACTCCACTTCTGAAAAAGCACAAGCACAACAAGCAACTCGAATATGAAAAACCCAGCTTCTTTAGCTGAACTTTTGAACTCGTTTACTGTCCTTTCCTTTACACATGGATTCATGCTTGTCATGTAGAAAAAGAACTGTAGCATGCTTTTAGCTGCAAAACTGGTTTCAGGGGTTTCTGGAACTACCAGATCCACTACAATCACTTTTCCATTGTCTTGCAAAGCTTCATAACAATTCTTTAGCAGTTTTATGAAGTGCTCATCATTCCAGTTATGGGATATGTTCTGTTTCATTCAAAATTATGCTGTTAGTCAGTAGGCCTGATATTGCAGAAGTAATGAAGTGCTTTTTAAAGCTTATTGTTTTAGCTTAGAGACAATACATATCCCATAGATTCAATTCCCTTAAATAGAGGAGATTTTAACTTGAAATCAAGAATAAGAAAATAGCCTTTCAGTTAAAAAATCAGAGCAAAAATATTAAAGTAATACCTGGATAAGATGGTGAGTTTTCTATAACTGTAGCCTAATCATAGTTGACACCGTTAAGGGTAGAATGGACATGTGAAGGACAGAACCATTGCCACCACCCACATCCACCAAGGTTTTTAGACCTTCGAAGTCATTATATATCTCCAGAATTCTTTCCATAAATATGGGGTCGAAACCTCTCATTCAGACACAGATAGTTCTCCAAATCTGCTATCCTTTCTAATGTAGTCTACAGCTTTGATCTTTTGAGCCTTGTCTAAAGGAATCCCCCCTTCCAGAACTGCATTTTTTAAGTGGTGACTATTATTATTTCATTGTCAAAAGGAGTACATAGCATTATTAACATGACTTAACAGCAACTACAGAAAATTTAAAAAGTTCAACGGTATTGAAGATCTCCTACCAGATATTAATTATGACCTTGTCCTAAGGCATAAATAAAAGGCGATTAATTGATACAGTCACACTACAGAGATTAGATTCTAGGATAGCTCACCACTCTATGGAATCCATCATAGAGATACAAGGCTAAAAGCAATCTTAACAAGCTCACTTTGGTTTTATTCAACAACAATTCCCTCCCCTACATTACTGAAAACAAACATATTTATACTTGGAACAACCCCTTCAAGCTAGGAAAACAACAAAAACTGGAATTCTACTCTTAGACACGTTTTTTCCTACTTACTAGATTTATAGCTTGCTGTAAAAGAAACAATAGAGGGCTTTATTTTCTACCATGGCTGCCAGCATATGAGTTCAAGTCCATTCTAGCCTAAAATTTTGGCTTCGTTGACATGGCCATTTATTGGTTTAACTTGCATTCTTTATCTGCATATAATCTTTAGCTTAAATGTCTAAGATCTTAGTGCTAGCTTGTTGAAAATGGAGATTCAAGCAAGCGGTGAATGTTGTCAGAGGTAATGAATGTTTAGCTCTTGCCTCAACTAGGAATGCTCCTGCATTACCTACCTCTTTCCTGGTAGAGGTTTCCATTTGGGTTTCCTTTTAGTCTGTTTGCTGCTGTATCTGGTTTGGACTATATAGACGGAAAAAAAAGGTCATAGGCAATTTTAGTTCCTCTGCCAATCAGCAACAGAATCCAAATACAATTTTGCTACACGTCTCAGATCTGTTTCATTCGGTGCCGTGGGCTAGAAGTGAGAATTAGCATGTCAGGAATGTCCATTTCGAACTCTTTCTCAAACATGCATGCGTGCAAATGTTGCCTTTATACCCACTCCAACCAGGAAAAAAACTATCCACAGAGACTGGAGAATGGCATTGGTTACAATCGAGCCATAATTCTTTCGCTTACGTAAATCCGTTTCTGCATTTTCTCTGTCTTTTGATCGAAAAAAATAAAATAAAATAAAAATTACATAAACATAGAAAACTGGAAGTATTTTATTTGGTATAATTTGTTAGCTACATTATCAATTCACATTCTTTTGATGAACTCCACTAATGAAAAGTTACAGGCAGAACAAGCAACTCGAACACTAGAAAATCCCGCTTCTTTACCCAAGCTTTCAAATTCTTTTTCTGTCCTCTCCTTTCCTTGAGGATTCATGCTTGTGATGAACAAATAGTTCTGTAGCATGCTTTTAGCTGCAACACTGGTTTCAGGGGTTTCTGGAACTACAATATCCACTACTATCACTTTTCCATTGTCTGGTAGAGCTTCATAACAATTCTTCAGCAGTTTTAACAAGTGCTCATCATCCCAGTTATGAGTTATCCACTGTTTCATTCAAAATTATCATGTCAGTTTTTTAACAGAAATGCTTAGCTAACAAAATGTTACAGCTTCACTAGTGTCAAAACTCACCTTCATGAAAATGGCATCTCCTCCTTTCGGAATGCTGACGAACGCATCCCCTGCTACATGCTCAATACCTGCAGACAAAATATGTTTAGAATGCTCAATTCTGTACACATTTAAGTAAATGATGAACAATTGAATATATACAAATTTCCTGCTAGTTCCAATTCAACATCAAGAATAGGCAAACAGCTTTTCGCTTTGTTAGTGATTCAATTAAAAGAAAAGAACAAAGCAGAAAATCTATACCGGGATAGGATGGCGAGCTCTCCACAACTGAAGCCAAATCATAGTTGATGCCCTTAATAGTAGGGAACTTAGAAATGATCATGTTAAGGATAGAACCATTGCCACCGCCCACATCCACCAAACATTTTAGACCTTCAAAGCCATCATATATCTCCAGAATTGTCTCCATAAATATAGGGTTGAAACTTTTCATGGAGCCACTGAATAGTTCAGCAAATTTGGGATCTTTCTTTAAATACTCTGAAGCATTGATCCCATGCGCCTTGTCGAATGGAATCCCTCCTTCGAGAACTGCATCTTTTAGGTGGTACCTATTGTTATTTCATTGTAAAATAGTAAGAAACATCACAAACATCTAAAGCAACACCAAAGTCAAGAACAATAGAAATCATGAAGAATAACATCTTTTACCACATATCCATCATGACTTTGTCCTGAATCATAGCTAAAAAGGGGCTCAATGACCCTCCATCTTGGTTCTTGGTAAAGTATTTAGCCACAGGTGCCAATCCATATAACCTTTGGGATTGACCGTCCTGATTCTTGGTGGACAGAGAGCAAGTAAGAATAGAATGGCTTGCGAGTAGGGATAGGATACGGTCTAGCACAATATGGGCATCTGGGTTGTTCTGAGTGGGAAGTTGAGAGACAATTTCTGAAGCTGAGAGCAAGGCATTAGGACCAGCTTTTTCTATGATCTCAAACACACTTAGCTCTACTGCTGCTTTCAAAACCATAGGCAGTACCGATGCACTTGAAAGTTGCAGAGCATAGTGGAGATTAAAGTCTGCTTCGCAGGTAGAGGTTGCCATTTGGATTTCCTTGAAGTTGGTATTTTTCTGGCTTAGAATAGGAAAAAGAAAACACTACAGAAAATTTGGTATTTAAGTCAACGTAAATACTATCAGGTTCCTTGCGTCGTTTTCCATGCAAAATGAAGAAATTTAGACCCTTAGACTGGAGACATTTCTAAACTAATAAAGTCAAATATTTAGCGGTAAAATTTGGAATATTCTCATATGGGGCGGCTTGATCTTTCCGACATGTTTCTTAGAAAAACATTTCCTCTTTCGCAGACTTCCTCTGTTGCTTTTAGTAATTGACAAAAGCCGCCACTCAACAAGAAGTTAAGCCTGTCAAACATGTCACTTCCAGACCGTTTTTGTGTCAAACATGTGCCCATGAGTCTATATCGCCGACGCACGCTCCAACCAACCAGACATGTCCATCCACGAAAGACAGATCAGTTTTCATTTAACTATAGTAGAAAAAGATGATATTGTTTGTTAGAATTAAAATCGGTAGAATTTGAGGATTTCTTGAAAAACTAACTATTTCAAAAGATTTTTTTTTAAGAAACTAGCACTCTTAATTTTTATTATATTTATTTTCATAAAATAAATATATTTCTTATTGATTTTTTATTTTTATTTTTGTTAATTTCGATTAGTTATTTTTTTTAAAAAAATGATATCAAGATATTTTATAAATTTCGAAGATGAAATTGAAATTTATGCATTTTAAAAAATAGGTGGAGGGGGTAATTGAACAAAAAGAAAATGAAGACTGATTGGAACAGAAATGAAAAATATGAAGTCTAATTGAAATAAATAAAAAGAAAGTATATAAATGTCAGATTACAAATTGAAAATTTACCCTAAGTTTTACAACTTGACCTCTTTATTAGGTTTAGGAATTGGATCTCTTATTATATTATAAACAACCCCACCAATTTTAGCCAAGAATCCAAATTCCTTTTATGTACTTTAGCTTTCGATTTAAGTTATTAATGCTCTGAAAACTAGGTTAATTTATGTTGTTTTTCAATTTAAATGATTTTTTTAATCACTTATAGTTTCGTTTTTGGTTTGTTTCAATTAGATCCTGTATCTTTCATTTTTGTTTCATTCTGTATAAATTTTAATTTTATCTCCAAAGTTTATAAAATATTTCAATATAACCCAAAATGTAAGAAATGAAAAAACTGAAATTCAAAAAAATAATTAAAAGACATTTTTTTCAATAAAAAAAGTATGGAAAATTTTTTTTTTTCATCAACACTATCTAGCTTTCCTTTAACAATACAAGAATAAAATTAAGGTAAAAACAAATATGGTAAAAACATTTTGGGTAAATTTCAATTTTCCTCCCTTGAGTTTTATGTGTCTTTTCAATTTCACCTCAATTTTTTTTGATTTTTTTTAATTAGATTTGTACCTTTTATTTTTGTTCCAGTCAGTATAAATTTCAATTTTGTGTCTAAAGTTTATAAAATACCTCAATATAAATTAAAGGGTGACAATGAAAAAAAATAAAATTGAAAAAGTCATTAAAGAAAGACATTTTTTCAATAAAAATAAAATAAAATAAAATAGTATTTTTTAATAAAAAATATCAACAACAATTGTTGTTGCCTCTTATACCCTCTTACTAGCATAAAACATCTACACTTTTTATCTAATTTTCCATTAAAATCTTAGATGAGAATTCTGAAATAGAAAAATTAGAATCCCATTTGAATAGAATAGTACTAACTTGAGTATATGACACTTTCGGTATCAGCTAGAATATGATTATTTGCACATATCTTAGAATTTTTCAAAATAAAAAAATATTTTTTTATTTATTAAACATTAAAAATATAATAAATAAATAAATAAAAATAACTCAGAATAATTCCAAAATTTTTTAGAAGTTCCATATAAATATCACTAAATGATTTTTTATCATGAAGCTATTTAAGTGATTTGGGATTCATGACAAAAAAACTAAAGGATGGACTAAATCTCAAAAAATTAAAAATTCAGGGATTTCAAAAACTAAATTTAAAATTCAGAGAATTAATTTCAAATGAGTTGGTTATCCATTCAGCCAATAATAATAATAATAATAATAATAATAATAAATAAAATAAAATAAAAATTCCAGCAAACAGAAACCTACAAATTGAATGTCAAACTTGACACCCATCAAGAGCTTTTTTGTTTAAAATCAAAACACAAAGAAGAAGTGGACCCTTTAATAGATAGATTTCTTAAACCACCATTATTTACTAATAAAATAACATTAATAAAGAGAAGTTAAATTACTTATACTTGGATAAAATGTTTAGCATTTTTTGGAAGATTTAGTTAAATTTTCTTAGAAAGATTGGCACATGGAAGCTTGAATGCATTGTGGATGCAGTGCATCTGGCATGGCAGTCAGGCATCTAAAATTTGATTTAACTATGATTACCATACCACTACTACTATCATCCAACTATTATTATTACTTATCATCAAGATAATATCACTGTCGTAATTAAATAACCATCATTTTTTTATTATTATTTTGCCATCACCATCATTACCATCACAATTAACACAGTCTCTATTTTTATTTTATTTTTTTACCACCATCACCTCTTTTGACGTTGCCAACATTAAGATTAACTTTACCAAAACTACACGTATTATCTTCATAAGTTTGACAATGATTATCTTTGTTATTATCATATTATTCAAATCACATCTATCGTATCATTATCACTCTTTATCATTATCATTATTTATCAATAAATTAACAATCATAATAAATTTTTATATTACTATAACTTTTATTATTATTTTTAACATCACACGAATGATTACCATATTGTTATCACCATCTCTATTATCATCCATATTATTGTCATAAAACCACTATTTAATCATCTTAATTAGATTATGTAATATTATTATTTTTTATGTTTTAATTAATAATACATTATTTTATTTCTAAATTTTCCTTTATGTATATATATATAAATTTTTAAATAAGCAATAAACATACAACAATTCTTGACAGAAAACTAATAGAGAAAAAATGGTACCAAACAGCCTCTCTTATCAATTATTTCAACTATAAACTCAATCCAAAGAATTCATATTATTTAATCTATATATCAGTTATTTTTAATGAACTCCACTACAGAGAAATTACAAGCACGACAAGCAACTCGAATATGAGAAAATCCAGCTTGTTTAGCCAAGCATTCAAATTCTTTTTCTGTCCTTTCCTTTAGCTGTGGATTCATGCTTGTCATGTACAAATAAAACTGCAGGAAGCTTTTATCTGCAGCACAGGTTTCAGGTCTTTCAGGAACTACCATATCCACTGCTATCACTTTTCCTTTGTCCGGTAAAGCTTCATGACAATTCTTTAGCAGTTTTAGCAACTGCTCATCATCCCAGTTATGGGTTACCCACTGTTTCATTCAAAATTATCAAGTCTGTCAGTACAGTTTGAAGCTCTTTTTGACGTTGAGATATTTAGCTGGCAAATCTTACCTTCATGAAAATGGCATCTCCTCCGTTTGGAATGTTTTCGAACATGTCCCCTGCAACACTCTCAATACCTGCAGTGGAAAAGATACTTAGAAGGCTTAATATTTATAAGGAACTGCAAAACTTCTACATCAATTTTTTTCTACTTGATAACAAAAGTTAAGATCAACATCATGAATAGGAAGTGATCAATACCTGGATAGGATCGTGAGTTTTCTATAACTGGGGACAAATCATAGTTGATACCCTTAAGTGCAGGATACTTAGAAATGATCATGTTAAGGATAGAACCAGTGCCACCACCCACATCCACCAAGGTTTTTAGACCTTGAAAACCATCATATGTCTCCAAAATTTTCTTCATCAATATGGGGTTTAAGCCTTTCAGGGAGGAACCGAATAGTTCACCAAACCTGGTATCCTTTTTAAGATACTCCATAACATTGATCCCATGAGCCTTGTCAAACGGATTCCCCCTCCCAGAAAAGAATTTGTCAAGTGGTACCTGTTGTTTTCCCAATTGCAAAAATTTAATACGCAGAATTTAAGCAAGGATAGCAGCAAGTCAACAGAAATAATGGAAGAGATAAAAAATAACATTATTGAAGGTCAGTTACCAGAGATCCGTTATGACTTTGTCCTGAATCATAGATAACATGGGACTCAATGATCCTCCATCTTGGTTCTTGATAAAGTATTTGGCTACAGGTGCTAACCCATATGTCCTCTGAACCTGGCTATCCTGGTTCTTGGTAGCCAGAGAACAAGTGAGAATAGAGTGGCTAGCAAGAAGGCATAGGATTTTGTCTAGCACAAGATGGGCGTCTGGGTTGTTTTGAGTGGGAAGTTGAGAGGCAATTTGTGAAGCTGAGAGCAAGGCACCAGGACCAGCTTTTGCTATGATTTCAAGCACACCTAATTCTGTTGCGGCTTTGAATACCATAGGCAGAGTTGATGCACTTGCAAGTTGCAAGGCATACTGGAGATGATAGTCCTCGTCATTGCTTGAGGTTGCCATTTGGTTTTCCCTGGAAATTGGCTTGGGTCTGGATTTGAGTAGGAAAATAAATAAAGCACAGACAGTTTGCCATCATGACTTTTCTATGTGAGAAACACAAGCCATCACGTCTCTTCACTTGTTTTTTCATACAAAATGAAGAACTTGACTGGAGAATTTTCTGCAAAGTAAAGTCCAATACCATTTGGTACTGCTGTTTGGAATAATTCAGGCTTTAATTGGTATTTTTTTTTTTAGAATGCTTTAATTGGAATTTTAATTAACCAATGGATAAATAAGTATAATTTTACACAAAATAATTAACTTGAGGGCTTAAATAAGTGTAAAAATTTTCTATATGCATAGAAAAATTCACCTAAGTTCAAAGAATATTCCTACACGTCCTAAATAATTTTTCTATGCCTATTGATAATTTTCAAATACATTTAAAATATTCAAAATAATTAATTTGCACGAAAAAGCACTATTCATACATTGAAAATATTCACTGAACATCAAAAAATTCATCCAATGGCATAGAATAATCTAGCACCTCTCTAGCAAATATTCTATGCAAATAGAACATTTTTCATGCACATTTAAAATATTCAAAACATTTATTTTGCATAAAAATTACTGTTCATGTATTGAAAAACAAATAAAATATTCACTAAGTACAAGAAAATTATCCCAAGCACACCAAATATTCTAACATCCTCTAGACAACTATCTTATGCTCATAGAATAGTTTTCATACATCCTTAGTATATTTTTAATTTATTTAACAACGGGTTCGAGATATTACAAAATGAATGGAGATACTCGTTGGAGTTTTCATCTAAAATCTGTTTTTAGTTTGATGAATATGTTTAGTGCAATTATAGTTGAGCATCATTACAAAGTTGACATAATCAATGCTGTGATAGATTCTCAATTGCAAGAATTGAATAATAGATTCAATGATCACACGATAAAACTACTCATTTTTAGTTCGACTTTAAATCCCGGAGAGATGCGCATATCATTTAGGATTGATGATATTTGTAAGTTGATACAGAAACCCTCAAACTTTGTTGATCATGAAATGCTACAATTAAGGATGCAATTGAACATTTTGATTATGTATGAAATCTTTCTAATTTTGAAACATTGTCAACTATATATGATTTGTGTCAATGGTTGATGAAGACAAGAAAATTTAAAAGCTATCCAATTGTATATAAAATGATAATAGTTATTCTTACTTTTCTAGTTTTCACTACTAACACGAAGCGATCATTTTCAACTATGAGCATAGTTAAGACTAAGCTTCGTAACAAGATGGAAAATGACTTTTTTTTTTCGATTGTTTCTTAGTATATATTTAAAAAAAATTGTTGAAAATTTTAATATAAATTCACTTATAGATGATTTTCGTTACTTGAAAGAATGAAAATTTCTATTTTCAATTATTGTATTTTGAGATTATTTTAAAATATATATTGATATATTATTTATAATATTTATATAAATTTATGTAAATCATGAAAAATTTATAAATTTTTATTTTGACTCCGTAGATATTTGGTCTTACATCTGCCACTGCATGAGCCATACACATACACAACAATCATATAATAATATCAGTTCCTGAGCAGCTTCTTAGTTCATTTGAGCATGTTAGGCATGTCTGTTCTGGACTGTCAACGTGTCGAACATATGTTCGTGCATGTGCAGGGCCTCAACGCACTCCAAGCAGCTACGTCCATTGACAGAAATCCTTTGTTGATCATAATTGAGCCTTAAATTCAAGTTTAGTTAAGACGAGTGACAAATGTAGCTTGTCAATAAGATACTGCAATACAAATTATTGCACTAATTTGTTGTAGTTTTATGCAATAATATAAGCGACATCGGAGACTCAAAGTTTAGAAACAGCGGAGATTTCAAAATTTGAGCAGATGGATGTCGTATGCAGAAAGCTCTTTTTTGTCAGCATGTCTTCCCTTCAGGATTAGGTATCCTGCGGTTTGAAGTTAACAAATGTCATGAAGGATGTGTAATGGTTGAATACAAATATTTATAAGGCGGCATTACCTTTGGTTTTTTGAGGGCAGGTTCTCCATCTTTGTCTTGCGGGATTGATGCTGAGAAATTGGTCGTCTGAAAGTTTGTGAGGCCTTGCGTAGGCAGTTTTTCAGTGATGTTATTGAAGCTGAAATCTGCATCGTTGAAGAAGCATCGCTGTATAAGAAACAAAATATTGACTGAATTATATGATGAGAGCAAATGCAAAGGGTTTTATTAAACAGTTAATAATTGATGATTCAATTGTTAGGAGTGTTGGAAGTGGACCTTGATGATTTTTCAGAGCGGGATGGTAAGAAATGTAGTTTGCGCTTTGTTGCTAGGGGGTGAGAGAGAGCCAGTAAATGCTCTTTTGGGTCTTGAACGATGGTTGGGCCAGGTGAAACCAGTGGTGGATGGGATTCGTTGATGGCAGGTGTATCTGGTTCATTCGCTTTTTGAGGAGATTTGGTCAAAGAGCAGGACGCTGTGACTTGTTGCTGGATAATGGCTGCATCAGAACCTGTTTTAGGGACTATTGTGTCATCAAGTGCATCGGTGCCATCGCAATTGAACACATTAGTCACCAAGATGTCACATCTATTATTCGCCGATCTAAATGTGCCAAAACGAATCTGAAAAATGTGGTATTGCATTAGTTTTGCAGCCATTGGTGGTGGGATTTCATATGGATCCTTGAATCCCTTCTCCAGTACATATTGATGTGCACTGCTACCGAAGAAATTTTCAGCAGATCTTCCAAGCATGATAAAGTCAGCAACATCATCTCCATCTGTGACAATACAATTGACTTTGAACCTGCGTACAGAGTATGTTTGTAGAAACTAAGAATGAGTGTGAGATAAACTGGAAATGAGCAACAAAAGGAATTTTCACTAATGGTTGCTCACTAACACACTTTCTTCACTCTCCTTTAACAGGCCAACTAACTACTATAATTGGCTCCAGAACCGTCAACTCATATATTTGCCAACTCTCCTAACTAAACTTGCGTCTCATTTCCAGTGATTCTAACAATTCATAAATGACTACATTTATATCCTATTTTTTTCAGAGTCCTTAAGGGTCAATTGAATAACCTGATGCTCCAATAGACAAGCAAGTATTCAGTTTCTTAACTTGAATTTAACTTCTATTGTAGCTTCAATCCACCCAAGTTTGACATCATGCTATATGAAGTGACACCCAATTCATAGTAGAAAGAAATGCTATATAACCCGATGCAATTATTAAAAGCATTAAGCTCCAACACTACTATTATTTCGGAATTTCTTCAAGTCTTTTTCTTTTTGTTACATCTATTTCTTCTGTCATCAAACATCCTTTAAGAACTTTGCCCGTAAAGTTCCATGAAGAGATAGTAATTGAATCATGTTATGTACTTTTTGTAACACATTTCAGATCATCACTTTCAAGATTTTCTATCATTATACTGAAGCTTTGGCTCAAATTTCTTTAATTTTAGTTTCATTTTTAGATCAGGATTCCATTTAAATGTCATTTTTATAAGCTTTTTTGTGAATAAAAAAAGCAAAGAATGGGAGTTCTATTTGTTCCTTCATATGTAGCCTAATATCCTGAAATATATATATTTTCAAGAACGGGAGTTCAGTAACTGACTTGTTTTTCATTTTAGCAATTCCAATAATTCATAAATTACTATATCAGTTTTTATCCAACATTGGAATAGACTGGGAATTCAGTTGGCAAACTTTTGTTTCTCGAAAATGACATTTTTTGACTGCATAAAATTACAAATAAAATCCAACGGACATGGATGGATGAAAGGACTCGATTAAGAATTACTGATAAATCTGTTAGGAATCCAATTAAGAAAATTGTTAGTTCAGGAACCCTCAATTGAGAATTATTTTATAGGTTGAGGATTGATGTTACTTCTCAATTTCTTAAATAACAGCAAAAAAAATTTCTGTATTCCATTAAAACAAATTTCAAAACAAATCAGGCGAGCATTTGCAATTGCTGTCACAGTAAAATAATTTTTTTTTAACAAATAAATTGGTAATATATAAAAATTACCAAGGGAGTGGTGGTCTGTCAATATAGCTGTGAGTCTGGCATATGAAGCGATCTCCATCTTCCTCAAGATGCTTGTTGCACAGTGGACAACTTTTGTACCACCATCCCCAGTTGACGTCAAAATCTGTTATTGAAGCCCGACATGTGAATCTTTTTCCCTGGGATGTGTTAGAAAAGGTTATGGTAGGGTATATATGCAGTACATTCTGGTTTATTTTTTGCTTCTTTTGAACAATTTTTTTTTATTTTTTATTATTATTTTTTTTTTGTGTGGGAAAAAGAAAGGCCATGCAGCTGCAATCATTGGAAGTAATCTTATCGACATGCTTATTGATATATTTTTAAAAAGGGTAAAAACTTAAAAGTGGTCCAGGCCAAGCCTAATAGACAAAACTGATTTCTGTAAAATCACAGGAATCCTCTTTTCTGAAAAAATGAGTTAATTTTCGTTTGCAACTGTTCTATAATGGTGGTTGTTTATAATGATGCTACGTAACAGTGGGCAAAGGGAAATGGAGACATGGGAAATACTGAGTTGTGAACTTTAAATGAAATACTGACCTGGTGATTGTAAGGGTCCATGCAAAGCAACTCTCTAATGGTTTTTCGATTTTCTTTCTTTTGTTGTTCAATGGTGGCTCCGGCTGTAGCAGACATAGGTAATTGCTGTATCTCAGATGGTATAGAAGCAAAGCTGTATAGTCAATGATCGGAAAATCAATTGTTAGAAGCATAATTGGAAACCTTGCGAAGGCTGTAGCAGGATAACAAAACTTACAAATGTTTGTAAGATAGAATTTCAGGTATGTCTGGGTTGAAATACCACAAAGATGAAGCTGTTCCATTTAGCACAGGCTTTCCTGTAGTAGTGTTGAAGGGAATTTGGCATGTTATCAGGATAATAAATGAATGTG